CAATATGGCAATTCATACCTCATTTATGCCACTGAACTTATCCCCCATTGCATACGTTCACACTCTGACAGCAGCTACTGCATTGCTTGTGCACTTTGTAAATATTTCTGTCATACTTTTTATATTTTTATTATATTGTATTTTTCCTAGTGCTTTACTGTGTGTTATCTCTACTTCCTTGGGTCGAGTGGTTCTTCTCATCCAGAACATTTCACAGCATTGTTGACTATGTTTAACCTGCATATGACAAATAAACCAATCTGCATTTTCAGCTAAGAGAAAAGTTGTCTTAACTCTTTGCTTGTCACTTTTTCTTAGCGCTACAAGAAGCTTTGAAATAGGCTTGAGAAAAACATGTCTTACATTGTTTCTAAGATACCAGTTTTATTGCTTTTCGCTGTTGTAAAATTAGAAGTAGATTAATAAAATGTGTCAAAGAAATGAGATTTCATAGGGCAGAGATGTATTTGTTCTTTAGTTAAAAAGAAGAAGTTGAGCCAGTGATGTAAACAATGTCATGTATTTATTTCAAATCCATAAACCCAGACTTTAAAAAAAATCAAAACTTCTAAACCACGGCGCCGTGGGGGTCCACAGGGCAGAGAAGACAAATCACACTCTGTTAGGGCTTTCTAACAAATGCCCTGAACATGTTGTTTTTTCCCCTTTGGTTTGTCTTTGCTTCTTTTTTAAAAACACTTCTTAGAAAACTAGCCTCAGTATTTAATCCCACGCGGCTTGAGTGCAACTTCCAAATGTCACGGTAAAGTCGCTTTTGAGCTCTACCTGTAATACAGCACAGCACTCTAGTGGCCACGAGGGTAGTAATTGTGTGTACGAGTGTGAGTGTAAGATGAAGCATACTGAGGAATGAAGGTGCCTTTTTGCCCCCTTCAACCTTTCTGAGTCTCTCCACCGTTGTAAGGGAAACACTGAAATTACAGAGGAACTTCTATTGAGGTACTCATAAATCAGAAAGTGCAAAGAGAGACAAAATTACCCTTCATGATGTGTGCTCAGTGTGTCCCAAAGAGAGTTGATGAAACAAACATGCAGCAATCAGAATGTGAAAATGAAATGCAGGGTGGTGGTGGGCAGGAAGGGTTTCATCCAGAAAATAAGATATTTTCATCCTGGATGACATCTTGACACAAAGAGTCTGCAGACAGAGACAGAGAAAATGCTTGACTAGTCATACAAACAAAAAAGCGGGATGTGTCAGTGAAATGGAGAACTCTTAAGGACCATCAACTCTTTTGGAAATATGTGAAAGTTTAACTTCCAGGATACAGCTACTGTGTGGAGCATTTTATAGCCCAAAGATAGACCCAAAAAACACATGTCAGTAACATCTAAAAATATTAGAAGTGTCACAAAAAAAATATGACTCAGTTTTATTGATGCAACTAACTGAAAAATCACCTTTAGAAAAAATAGCTCTAAGATTCAGATTTCTAAGGTGTCCTATGCATTTTCACTGCCACTGTAATGCTTTTGTTCACCAGACTGGTTGAACGATTACTTGAAAAAAGACAGTCACATACATATTCTCAAGCACTCCTATCTTTCCATGAATCACCTTATATTTAATTAACTGTTATTCATTTTTCATGGAAACACTTCAAGGACCCTTAAACCATGTGACCGTTACCACATGTGTGTCCAGTGCAATTTATCATACAGGGCAAGACCTGAATAGATCAAGCAGATCACAATTAAATGGAATAGGTTATGCGAAGGTAGAAGGAAGGAAGTCTTTCTCTTTATAAGCCTTGTATAAACCACTCAAAAGCACTTCCTTTACATCTCAAGGCCCAGCTGCTTGGAAACCTCACAGGTATTTTTTTTCCAGTTCCAAGGTGAAGACCAAGATGCCGCAATATATGACACAATGCACATAGATGCCAAGCCAGGTGGCTAACTCCAGAAACAAATTCCTCCAGCTCCTTTGAAATATGACTCCAAGTGGCAACCTCATGGTGTTTGAGTATGAAGTCAGTGCTGAAGTGCAAAAAACAGTACAGCTTCTTGGCTGTCCACTTGGAGCTGCCTCCAAAAGTCAAGGAGTCTTCATTAACACCCATGCTTACAGCAGAATTAAACAGACCAGTACATGGTCTGAAGAGCTTATTTCTTTAACTGTATAACATGCAAAGGTGAACTATTTCATAACTCTTCCCTTTGCTTATATCAAGAGTTAAATGGCTGATCCAACAGACAAGTAAGCAATTTGCCGCTGTTTTCCAGGAAGCCTCAGGTATCAGCTTTATCTCTTTGCCTGTTTCTTGATAAATCAGAAGTTTGGATGAGTACGTTTCATATATTGTGGATGACATTTTGAATAAAATACTTCTTCAGAAACCAGCGGGACACATCCCTGCGGCTATATTCATGTGCTGTACAGTCTGTGCATATTCACTTTTTCATATTACATGATTTAGCTTTGTCTTGCCAAGTTTAACTTGCATTAATTATCAGTTCTAACTTACATGATATCAGGTAAAAAGAAAAAAAAAGGTTCAGGAATAAAAGTAGCCAAAATAGTTCATATCAAAAAATGCCTTAAACCATGTAATAATGGGGGAGTAATTGTGACCAGATTGACCCTCTTTATAGTGAATGGATAGATGTGAATCTCACATGAATCTGCAGGAGGAAACATGCGCTTGCAGCTTCATCTTGTGGTTGGCTGGAGCAGCAGCTTGATATGCTTGATAATGCTCATCTAAAGTAACAATATGAAAGAATAGAGAGAAAACAGAGCAATTTCACAGTATATCTCTGTGATTTGATGCTATAAATTGGAAAAGCAGAAGGATATCCAATTCAAAGTGTTATGGATGGATTGTTCATGGACAGGTCCAGGTTTTAAAAATACTTTTTTTCTTGCATTTACTGCATGTTGTCATTGTTCATATGGGGATTTTGAACTCTCCAGAAAGGTTAAATATAACTTATGTGACAGCAATGCTAGGTCACTGTCAGGCATCGTACAACGTCATCTTTTTAAAGTTATATTTTTTGTCATTTTTGCCTTTATTGGATCGGACAGCTGAAGAGAAACAGGAAATGTGGGGTGAAGAGAGCAGGGGGAGACATGCAGCATAGGGATGGAGCAGGGACTCAAACAAGCGACCACCACAATGAGGATTATAACCTCAATACATGGAGCACTTAAACCACCGGGCTGTGAGCACCCCAATGATGTCATCTTTTAACCTCACTTTGCATCATTCTAATTCGTTTCATAATCACTTTTTTAACTCGCCCTGATGTAAGTTTAAAGTTAAAGCGGTGATGTACTTTGAATATCACATATCAAAGATTCACGGCTGTTCCCTCACAGGCTGATGGTTCAGCATTACATTACAGTGCTGTATTAGTAATCCTTTAACACTGTATGGTGGTAGTTGCATTAAAACTTTGTTTAGATCACAGTGATCTGTCAAGGACAAAGAGGGTCAGCCAAAGTTTACAGGGAGTGGTCCAACCAATTTCATACCAACAGCCGCCTACTCTCTGTGCATAACAATTCCGCTGAGCTGGCTCGATTTGACATTGTGAATGTGTCATGTTCACAGAGATGGCTCCTTTTGGAACCCTCTGATGCAGCACTTGCAGACTTCAGTGGAGCCTCACATCCACCTGAGAGGGAAAAAAAAAATGTCACTCACGCATTTTGCTGACAGGGACATTTTCTTAACAGCTTGATTCTTCTGCAGCCATCTGAGCAGGTGTGACTGCTGTTGGGCTACTATTGCCCAAAACATCAAAGTGTGAAACTGTCATCATTGCCAGTATATAAATTTGAATGTAGTTTAAATGTCAGATTAATATCCTTGCTGTTTTGAAAACATGATGATTTCTATGAGACATGTTCCAAGTTTGCCAATCAATACAATCCGTAAGTTATTTACACTTCTATTTACCTAATCAATAATAAAAATCAGCACTGCCAGACTTTCTTCATCAGTTTTTTTTAACCTGTATGTTTGCATCACATTCATTTTACTCCTCTGGAAATAAACAAGAAGACCTTTTAGTGAAAAGTGAAACTATTACATAAAAATTATTGCCTCAAGAAAAGAAAAAGACACAGACTGATAAAATGAAAAGCAAGACTTTATCCACTTCTCAAATTAAAGCTCCATTTACAGTTAATTAAAAACCTCTTGCTTCCCTGATTTCTTGCTTTGGAAGAGTTGTTTCTGTTACTTAATATTGATTGAAATGTACCCGGTTGGAGGATCTACTTAATTTTGGAGTCAAAATAATTCACCTTGGATAATACTCCAGTCTAATCATCCACACTTCATCAAAATGACTATGCAAATTTTGTATAATCATGCATTAAACAATGTTTGAACCTTTAATTTATAACAAATAGTGTTACCAAAAGTGTACCAAATCTACAATGCTTAGAAAATCTTTGGAAAAGACTATCATTCCCATCAAATGTGTTCTACTGTTATAATTTATTAAAAGTCCCTGAAATTAGGTTTCTAAGGCAATGAAAATAGTTTTACTGTGATCATATCCTGTAACACAGGCATTAAAGTTAGGACTGGAGAACATGAAGTAAAAATACTGCACTGATCAAGTACATTGAAAATATATGACTAGTTTAGTTCCTCTAAGAACTTTAATGGCAGTGAATTCAAATAGCCTATTTGCATCACACTGGGCTGATGTATTATTAAAAATCACCTTGATAAGTGAACAATCTGGTAGAACATAAGAATCAACCCTTGTTTTTCTGTCTGCCCCTATTAAAATGTACAAAATGAACCACTAACCCTTCAGGCAGTCAATATTTTCGATCCAATTTGTCTGTTTTTCATTGAATTTCATTAATTTCATTAATTAATATACAGCCAAATTATTCAAGCAAGCTGTCTTGTGTTTCATAATTACAAAATATTCTGCATTAGTTTTACAAGATCGTATTTTTGAGCCAGAAACTAACCCGTGCGTCAGGCTTTGCGTTCTGTTACGTCATCACGCAGAGTTGACGTTTCAGGAAGCGAGGCGCGTTTGGTTTTGTGGCAGCGTGAATGACAGAGCGGACCTGAATTTGCCCCGAAAAGTCGTTTTAGTTTGGTAGAGGTTTCAACCGTGCACAGACGAAGAAACGGGGTGAGAGTTTATGTGTTTTTACGCAGACGTTGACTAACTTGAAATTGTTGTAACGACTGTGAAGAGCCGAAGCTAACAGTGGGGTTAGCCGCGGAGCTAAAAGCCCATGAAAGTGTTGCACACCCCCGGAACTGAGCATCACTTCAAGCGGGGCTTATCTTTCACTCCTCTGCTGTACGGTTCTGCATATAATACATCTAATAATGGATTGCGGTTTTGGCATGAAAATTGTTTGAATTGTATGTCATATTTTAAGTATAATTTAAGTGTAACTTGCAAAAATACGGTTTGCATAATGCGCTTCCTCTGTCACAAAAAGCGAAATAATATCACTGAATACTTCCTCTGTTTCCCCTCTACAGGAATATCAAAATGTCTTCTCCTGAACCTATCATTAGATCGAAGCAGACGGAGACAGAAGTCAATGGAGTTTCAACACAAGTCATCTGCACTGAGTTCAGTAATTACATATTTATAGTTCTGACTCAGTATGGCAAAATTGGGACATTAGTATCTGTGACACCTGACTCCAGATCCAACGATATCAGCACCTCCACAATCTCCACCAAAGTACTGCTGGGCAAAGATGAGGTACGCTGGATGAATTTAATCTGATAAAAGTGTGATTAGTGTGATGTGAACTTGCCCACAGGAAACCAGGCGGGCTTGCTGCAACAAAGACTATCTCATTTTACGCTGTGAAAGGGCAGATGAGATTGGCTCTGATTTTTGGTGGTTAATAGACAGAATAAGATTTGCACTGGCAGGGAGCCCTGTAAGGTGAGGTTCATACAAGGAAACCATTTCCAGCTCTGAATGACACAACACATCACAAAATTCACCAAAGTAAATTGATTTTGAAGCTCTAAAGATTTAAATAATTGTTTATGTGAGAAAATCACTATTTTCATTGAAACACTTTTTTTTTTTTTTTAAATGTATCAGTTTTTTAACAGAACTGCTTTGTACAGTTTAATAACTTATCATATTTCTGTTTTCAGCCACTGACTCACGTCTGTGCCAAAAACCTGGCAACCTTTGTGTCACAAGAAGCCGGTAACAGACCTGTCTTGCTGGGACTGGCTCTGAAGGATTTCTCCTTGGAAGCAATAAAACAAATGAAAGACGCCATCAAAAGTTGCCAAGTCTGGTAGAAAGTCAAGAAAGTGGATCAAGGATTTGAAGGGACAGATCTTCTGAATACCTCCAGTGGTAAATCATGCTGATATTTCAGCAACTACAAATACAGAGGCAGTCCGAACACACACACACTTGGTTCTTTTTGACTCCTTACTCAAAGCCCACCATTAATTTGAAAAACCCAAAAAAAACTGACCGAAGACAGTAATATGATTAAATTGTATTTATTTTTTTACTGGTGAGACATTTTGAAATGTTGGGAAATCTTATTAATATCTATCTGGTTGTAAAGAAGGATTTTCTGCAAGCCATACTTTTCTAAAAAGAGACTGTGCTTTGAGTTGAGTCATAGTATGTGAAATGATGACCAATAATTTAAAATCCATCATTGTTCCAAATGTGTTCTCGTGTGTCTAAATTCTGTTTTGTACTTTGCAATACCAGTTAGTAATATCAACATTTGTATTTGGTTGTGAAGAAAATAATTTGTTCTATGAATAAAAAAGAAGTCAAATGTGTTGTTACTGTGAGCCTTTTGTTTTTCCTTTCTTATGAGCTAAATGAAAAACTAATGCACCTTAGCTGAAACAACTATGAGGGACTCTGACCTGAAGAAGACACTAGCACCCCCTGTGGACTGAAGTGGCAAATGTTTAACCCATGAGTCCACAATACACATTCAAAATAATGTAATTGCATAGAAAAATGTAATAATCTAGCCCTTTCTTTTAAGCCTCGGAGGTCTCTCAAAGGTTTGAACCAGTCGCACAATACAGTGAGAATTACAGTAGCTGTAATATTTTGTCAGAACACTGAAGTGTGGGGGTTACTGTATTGTTTATAACCTCTGAAAATTGTCTAAATAAGAGGTGGGCAAACTAAGGCCCGGGGGCCACATGCAGCCCGATGAACAATTTCATCCGGCCCGCAGAACCCTCAGAAAAAAAAGGAACATTACTCCATGAGCCAAATATTGTAAGCTTGATTTGTTAGAAAAATCCGGCTTGCTAACATGTCCTCTCAAGAAAGTGGGGCCAAAGATCCTTTAAAGCATCATCTACCTCTCCCGGTTGGGGTGAATTAATAGGCTCTTTAAATTTTTTTGCCTGTCATCAAACGCGATTATGAGTTAACACCAAATCTGCATTGTTCGTGCACCACCTGGCCGGCCTGTCCATTGATAGCTAAAACCCAATGTGGCCCTTAAGACAAAATAATTGCACACCCCTGGTCTAAATGAATTTGTAATGAAATAAAAATCTAATCAGAGATTTACAACATAACCTATATTTATAAATGGTAAAGTTTTACTGTTGAGGGGTTGGGAATATTTTTGCGCCCGGCTCTTAACTGGAGTACGTAAGAGGGAGCACATTACTCCCATCCTGGCCTCCCTCCACTGGTGACCTGTGCATTTTAGAGTTCATTTTAAGATTCTTTTATTTGTTTTTAAATCTTTAAATGGTCTGGCTACATCTTACCTCTCTGAGCTTCTCCACCCCTACACCCCTGCTTGGTGCTTCAGGTCAGCTGATCAGCTGCTCCTGGAGGTACCAAGGTCCAAACTGAAGCTCAGAGGGGATAGATCTTTTCCTGTTGAGGCCCCCAAATTATGGAACGAGCTACCCCTCCAAATCAGACAAGCCCCCACACTGTCCATTTTTAAAACTTGTCTTAAAACCCATTTTTATTCATTGGCTTTGAACCCTGCATGAGACTCGGCTCCTGTTTTAGTGTTTTATGGTTTGTTTTTAGTTATTTGTCTCTATGTTTTTAAATTAGTTTTCAAAAACATTGAAACTATATTTTACTTTTTAATATCTGCTTTTATTTTATCCATTGTTTTAATTGTTTTTTTATTGTTTTTTTTTATGTCTGCGTTGTTTTGTCTATTTATGTACAGCACTTTGTTCAGCTGTGGTTGTTTACAAATTACAAAGTGCTTTACAAATAAAGTTGAGTTGAGTTATTTCTTCAGTATTTCAGCTGTCGTAGTTGATTATACTCTATTGTAAGCCAAATACAGTAATGAAATGAGAATATTGTTTAGTTTTTATAAAATGTCTAGAGACTGCATGTGAATCGCTGTGTTTTAATGTTCTTTAGGCTTTAACCTTAATCCTTCAAAGATAAACGCAACGTGATGACGACATTTGTAGAACAGTTGGCACGTGATCAGTTCACCTGTGCTCAACCTGTTTATCTCTTCCGCTCCCTTGACTCGCTGCTTAAGGATACATACAAATCCCGTTTTGTTTACTCTCAAAGTTTGCTTTTGACTGGTTTGTCCGAGTGTACGCCTTGGGCTACCGCGTTTCTCTCTCTGGGCTCCAGGTTAGGTTTGAGTGTTTTTTTTTTCCCTGGCCGGCCGGCTGCGTGGACTTCGACCTCGGTCTTGTACCTGTCTCTAATAAGGAAGTCCAGTCTATTGAACCCGTCTTTGGCAGAGACAACAAGCCGTTTGTAGATGGCAGTTACCGAGCTCGGTTAACTCCTACAGTAAGGCGTTTTTATTTTCAATGATCGTCTTGTAAGGCTGGATTGAGGTAGTCCTGGGCCGAGTGAAACGAGTTTAAAGCTGCGTCTGCCCTCCCAGGGACAAGGTGAGCGGTTTGATACCGGTAGAGACACTGGTCCTTTGAACACCTACCTGAATGACAGTATATTTCTTGTTATGTTGTTTATTTGCTGTTTTATGATCAAATCTAGGTTTTGTTTGTCTTCCATGATTACTCTGCCAATATGGGAAATAAAGCCAGAACTAGACAGGTGCTCATAACATTGAACCCATATGACCCTTCCTTATATTGCCAATCTGTGCTTTCTCTCTGTCCTCAGATGAGCGCTTCTTTGGTAGACATGGATCCATCAGTCGAAAATAGCACTCTAGTTCACCTGGATTCACCTATCCTCCCAGACAAGTCTGACATCTCCAACATGACCATCATTCGGACCGGCAATGGGTCTATTATAGAGAACCAGATGTTTTTGAATACAGTAACTGCTCGGGCCCTCTCAGGGATATTTGTGTGGTCTGCCTTGCTCATAACATGCCACCAGGTGAGTTAAGAGAAGCACCACATAAGAATATGCTTAATAGCCATGTCTTAAATCACTGCTGCACTGCCTTCCCATGAGTAATAGAGCTTTAAAGCACTGCACTCTCACTGATGTAAATGTGTAATCAGAGATGGTTCAGACAGATTGTACCTCCCTTGCCAGGGGACAGGAACAAGCTCCTGTATCCATAACCTTACAGCGCGCTGTGGTAAACTCAGTGTCTTAGCTCACAAAGACACTTTGTCTTATCTGGTCATAAAATATTTCATTCCGCCCGAGCAGGTATTATTCTCTCTGCTTTGTGTTTGCACTGCCCCACTGCATTGTGGGAATGTTTTGCCTCCTTCAGAGTTGATAGTGACTATCAGATTAAAATGGAGGAAAATCCTCTAACTGATTAGAGGACAATGAATTCACAGTGGGCTCTCTCTGTGTGAGAGCAAAAGATGTCCGTGAAGAATCAGCCGTTCAGCACAGCCCACCTTTACCCAGAAACTATTTCACTCCTGCTGTAAATGAGTGTTTCCTCTTGTGTGGGTGAGTTACCCACTGTGTGCAGATGATAGCTTATCATTATGGTTTTATCATTTGCAGAGAATGCGGCAGGGTGCAGTGTATTATCAGCAGGGAAATCAATTGATATTGAGATACCATTTGCAGCGTTACAAAGGATGAGCTTGTTGTTTTTGTGCGCTGTGTTTTTAATGTCACCAGGATCTAGTCGGTTGGGTGTTCACCCATCCAACATGCATACTGTAGCTGGTAGTGTGCTGCAGATCATGTTTATGTTAACACACACATGGCCATTACTGTTTCTGCTCAAGAGAGTTTATGCTTAAAGCGGCTATTTTAGCTTTTTAATATCCTCACAGAGCATCCACATGTTGCATCCTGTGATCCAAACTCTATCATTGTTTAGGGATTTGTGACTCAATATACAGCAAATTGGTTTCTATCTTTTTAATATAGCACTTGTTTGGCCAAACACTTGCCAGCAAGACATTCTAATTGAACAAATAAATAGCAAGTATACCACAGGGAGAAAGGAGCTGGTTTGCTACAGGCGAGCATCTGTCACACAGGGAGAATAAAATGGTTTGCGGGACTAGTGTTGCTATGCTGGCGGTGTTTCATCAGACTGGGCCCCAGAGTATTATAGAGACCTAAACTCACATTCTGAATACCAACACAGACAATGACCTTAGTTCTCCTGTGCTGCAAAGTTGCCGATGCTTTTTTTTTTCTTGGACTGGTAATAGCTGGAGAATGAGTCGATGCATTAATTGGTTCTTTTGCAATTGAAGAGCATTTGGGATTAAGTACAGCAGACCAAATGTTTTAAGGTAATATATGACCGAATTATATTTCCCACAGTTCATTGGTAACAGTATATTGAGGGTCATGTAAGATATTAGTAATAAGGGTTCTGTTAAAGTACCTATACTGTTGAGGCAGAAATAAGTCTTTATCTTTGGGCTCGGAGGAGTTATTCTTCGTACAGCTATAGATGAGCTTTTCTGGCAAATATACAACATCACTCTCCAGTCTGCTTCATTACACATGTTGAGACTTTTAAATACAACATATCCTCAATCTCACAGCAACCAGGCTTTGAAGCGCAATCATTATACAAAGCTGAATATGTTAAGCAAAGCGAGACTGCATGTTGTTTAGTCTCCTCTACAAATAGGCTATGACTTCAGTGTCCACAATGCTCATGACAATACTCGACCAATCATATCTAAGGGTTTCATTTTCCGCCAGTGTGCCATCCAGTCAGTCAGGAAAGTCATATGACTTAAGATTACTCAGTTGTTGCTTATGCTGAAGTAATTACTTACTTGGCTGCACATGCTCAGTGAGTAAGGTAATGGCTGATAAATGTTTCTGTCAAATTAAATAAAAATGTTTATGAAGGATGAGCCATCAGTCATAACCAGACAATGACGGCCATATCAGTGGCTTTGCAAAGAAACCTAATTTGATGTGATTTGAATTCTCTATGCTACAATGACATTAACTGAATGATTCATTTATTTAAGAGTAAAATTCATTTGCAACAAAATTAATTCACTTTATTTTATTTAAAGTTGTCAGATCTGAGTTGATGGCAGGGAAGTGGGCCGCGTCATGCAGTGAAATGTGTCAGCCTGCAGGTCTGTTAGCCTTATGTGGAAAACTTTCCAGTGTTCAAATATTAAATTAATCTCATACTGTATGTGTGGCTCATGGTTACAAAAAGGAAGTGTTACATTTGTTATGTTCACACACTAAATGACAGTAACAGATAGGGAAGTTAGACAAAGACACGCCGTCTATAAAGGTTATCATCCAGCTAGAAAAACATTTGTTTTATTGCAGGTGGTTGGCGTAACATGTTGATCACACCCATGTGTTTTATATTGCTTTGAAAAACGTGTCTGTACTTGTAGACCCTCAACAAACCAAAGTTCCTAAATCATGAAGCCTTTTTTATGAGGTGCAGTTATGACCATTTTTATATTTATGATAGGCTATTATATGATTTCATTTTCCGGTATTACTCCAAAGTGGCAAACCATTAAGTTTAAAAGTGATTCATCTGCCCATTGTTAAATTCATGTACTTTGTTTACATATTAAAAATAAGATTGAGTTAGTAAATCTGTCCTCTGAATCAGAAACACAGCTCATCCAGGGAATGTTCATCTTCCTGTCTGCCCCCGTTTTTCATACGCTTTGTTTGTGTTTGCACTGCAGATCTATACACACCTTCGCTCCTACACTGTTCCCAATGAGCAGCGCTACATCATCCGCATCCTGTTTATTGTGCCAGTTTATGCCTTTGATTCCTGGCTCAGCCTGCTCTTCATCAGCAACGACCAGTTCTATGTCTACTTTGACTCCATTCGAGACTGCTACGAAGGTAAGTACAGCCCGGGGAGGGTTGTTGCCCTGCAATCATATTTTGCCAGGAACGGAAAGGTGAGGAACTGACCAAACTAGTTTTTCACATTAGCCTTTGTTGTCATGATGGTAGACCTCATTATGAAAGGTGTTGCATTTCAAGGAGGATCCCTTTCTGTAAACCGGATTTGTCTTTTCAAACAACAAAACGAAACAAATCCACAGCCTTCTTTTTAGTTGGGATAGATGTCCTCAAGATTTTTTGTTCAAATATTACGTAAAATTTGACCCACATGTTGTTGTTATTATTTTTACCTTTGTACCAGCAAGTGTATGTGTAGATGTTTTAGGCCAAAGAACTTAATCACTGGGAAGATGAATCTTATGAAAAATAGATGTGGAGCAATTTGGGAACAGGAAAAGTAAGAAATATTTTATTCAGGAGATTAGTTTCCATTTGCAGGCCAATTTTGTGGCTGATTGATAGTGTAGTGCATCAGAAAACAGGGAGGATAGAATACCACCAGCAGCTATGGTTAAAACATAATGAACCCTCTCTTGACTGGACACCATCTGCATTAGCCTCATTTAATCCCTCCTTAAATAGCAACAAAGGATTAGGAAGGGATTTCCAAGACACAGAACCCTAGGAAGCTTCTTAATGTAAGGACTGAAACAGTTATTGTTCCAAAATGTAAGTCTAATTATTTTTATCATGTGTGTTCGCAACGCAGTAATAAGTTGACCCTTTTTTAATTAAAGATGTATTCAAAGGTGATGAGAAACGTTTCTACTGTCCATGAAATGTGGTGAGGTGCAGAGTTCATAGACGTCACTCTTCTCTTTGTCTTGCAGCATTTGTCATTTACAATTTCCTGAGCCTGTCCTTTGAGTATTTGGGAGGAGAGAGTGCAATCATGTCAGAGATTCGAGGGAAGCCCATACAGTGAGTGTGCTCTCTTTCCATCCTCCTCTTTACCTGTGGTTCATGTGTAATTTGAACCCCTAACTTGAGGAGTATGTGTCATGTACATGATTTTGATCCAGTCCTGCCTTGTGTTCATGTTGAGACGTGATAACTTTTGAAGACAGCAAATAACACTGTTTAAATCATACACTACTAAGAGACATTTATTTAAATCAAGTATATCTATCTATCATTTTTAAAACTCACAGGAGTTTACAGACAGTCCCTTTTCAGACAGTGTTGAGTCTCCGATCAGCTCCCTGATTGCTACTGGAATAGAAATGAGAAATAGCTTCCTCCACCATCACTCTGACAAAAAAAAAAAAGAAAAAAAACAGCTTTAACTTTAAACTTTTTTTATTCTTTTAACATCATATGAATACAGATTAATGCATAGCCACAAGATGAACACAGAATGTCAGTTTGACTGCATTGTCAAACATGCATCCAATCCATTCATCAGTTCAGTAGTTTCCAACCATCGTTATTAATACTGTAATTATATTGCACTATCATGCAGATTTTCACTAAAGCTCAAAACTTGAAAAACACAAAGTTAGGACCATAAATATTTCATATGATTTGGATCCACTTTTTTCCCTCACCCAGATGGCAGCGATTCTTCCTTAGTAAATGAATCATAAATGTTTCATGCACATCTCCTCCTCTTCAGGTCAACTGCCACAAACTGAAGTTTGGGTTCGTCCTCATATTTACAATCAGAAAAGATGCAACGTCCACTTCTGCTGCCCTTGAATAAGCATTAAGATCGAGTTTGATAATGACCATGCAGCGAAAGGCATACGAGAAGCAATAAACAACAGTGTTGCTTAACTGTGAGAGTTACCCTTATCTCGCAGGATTCGACCCGTCTTTGAAAGCTGTGTTTTATGGCCCAGTCAGCCACAGAGCAGCAGATCTTTGCCAGGTCTAAAGACAGTGGAGACACTAATGTTGTGCCCTGATGAATGATAGCTTTTCTTAACACAAGCCACTGGAGACAAATGGAAGAATAAACTCTAGATCTTGCGTCAGCTGCATGACAGCGAGCTGGATCACAGTTTTTGTAAAGACCACAACCATGATCACAGTAACAGTTCAGCGTGCTTGAAATTATGAATTGATGATTAAAATACAAGTATTTCAAGAGCATGTGAGCTTATTGCTATTAATAGGTAGATAATAAAATGCATTTCATCATTAGTATGGCAGATAACATGCAAACCATTGAAATAACACCTCAGACATACAAAGGCTCTTTGTGAATGAACAACACATGCACGGGCTGTTCTTACCCTGAGGCAAACATCAATTTGTTTTTCAAATTGGACTTGACTGGAGCTTGCACACTCATTTGCAAGTGACAAGGGTGGAGTTCAGTTTGAAGCATCAGTAAACTTCTTGTTTTGGGAATAAAGAAGAAAAAAATCAAAAAAATCTGTAACAATTCCTTTTTCCAGTCTGATGGATACAGACCATAGACTGTATATAGAATGGACAGCGTCTGCCTCCTCGCTGGGTGAAGCCACTCCGAGAACAGCACCCTCTGGTGACGGGGTTCAGTATAGGTCATAAATCCCGCCTCCACCAGTAAAGCTTATGGAGCTGTGGATAAACTTTAGAAATTTATTACACAGAACATAAATTTTTCTCCCCCCTGCTTGTGTTGTCAACATGTAGTTACAGTAAGACTGGTTTGTGCTCAAGTCCTCTTTTTTTCTGTGCAGCTCCATTTTTCAATCTAAAACAGCATCCACATTTTGAAGGAGTATTATAATTAAGTGGCAACTTTAATGACTTGTGCAGACACCAGAGCATTTAAGGACAAGTGCTGTCCAGTTCTCAGAGTCCAGTTTGTTGTTGATTCTGTCATGTACCAAAACATTTTAAATGATGATAAGTAACCCTCACCCCAAAGAAATCAATAGCTCAATAGTTATTTAAATGAATAGCTGTATTAACGATTTTCAGGATTTCTCAAAATAGCATTAATGCCATATTTACAAATAAAGGTCCAGGTAGTTGTTTCTGCTTCAGGAATTTTCAATAACTGTGTTGTAGTGGAAGAAAATAATCTTTGAGAAATATCACAGGTTTCTCTGTAGCTTTTTTCATGCACAACTCAAGCATTCGGGTTTACCTGAACCTGAACTCCACCTTTGGATTTTGTCATGTAGGCAGCTTTGCATAAACTTTTCAAAACTATTTCACAATTTTTTATCCTGGCTTTGATTTTTTTGTATCCTCATATAATCTGATTTTGTCCAAATATTCTTATTAAAATGTATACAAACATTGGCCATGCACCAAAGTCAATTTTTGTACCATCCATAGAGCAAAGTCAACACGCAGCTACCTAAACTTAGGATGCCAATTCAGTCTGCGTTATTTGCCAGAAAGATACTGATAAATAAAAGATACTTGGGGTCTGACAAGGTGCCTTCAAACATCTTATTTTGTTTCAGTGATGGTCTAAAAAAACAGGTGTAATCAGCTGACAAACTGTCAAACTGTGACTAAGCAAATTCTCAACTCCCTGACTGGATAAAGCTGGCAGAAAGAAACGTCTTGCATTTTTAATATGGAGTCAATTATTGAATCATATATTCATAAAAAAAAAATCAGAAAACTCTGAACTGGATGATGGATTACATGTACTTATGATACACGTGCTTTTCACCACTTGTTAGACATTACATGTGCAGGCTGGACATTAACCTTCCTCTGTTATCTGCTGATAAGGAATCCTATTTCCGTGTTGACATGACATAATGGCTCATCATCACTTCCTGTCATCTTCACAGGTCAAGTTGTCTGTATGGCACCTGCTGCCTTGTAGGAATGAGCTACTCCATCGGCTTTTTAAGATTCTGCAAACAGGTGAGCTTTAATCATCCACTTGCGACTGCTCCTTGCTTCTTGGGACAGGTGAAATAAATTTGCACACATTGGAAATAAGAATACGTAAAATTGGTCTTTTGAAACAATACTCCACTTTGAATTATTATTCCGTCCAGATCTGCGGCTCCTTAGAAATGACAGCTGAAATAATTGTCTCTGTGTTTTCAGTGGATAACATCCACTGCTTAAAAAAAGAAGAAAAAGCAATTGAGGCCAGGTGAAAGCAGCTTGATAATAAACACTGAAAGATGATATGAGCTGTCAGTGTAAAGCTCCCTCCCTGTGTCTCAGAGTGCCGCACAACCTCCCAGTCTGATGGAAATTGAAACTGAGAGTTATGTCCTCAAAACAAAATACAGGGAGTTGTGAACGTTTTTAATAAATAACAAACACACAGAGCTCCTTCACAGGACTCCTATGTGAAGTTTTCTCTCTGGGTGAATCTTTTCATTAAAGTTAGTAAGTCGTTATATTTAATAAAGTTAGTTTCTCTGATGAGACGACATAAAAGATCACCAGTTATCTGCTGCCACGCATACTAATTTATTAAAACCAAGTTTTTAAAGTGCTTTATTCTATCGATCACACCAAGCAGACACTTGTGAAAACAGTATGTAGGTGTTAAGATGCTGCAAAGTCTTATCAAGGACGGTGGGAGAGTATCTGCATTTGCTCATCACAGCCAAAGCGGGAGACAGCCTTGGTCCATGTTTTTTTTTTGTGGTTTAAAAAAAAGAAATAAGAAAAAATAAACCGAAGACAGTGGAATTCTCTGCACGGTTAAAGTAGCTTTGGTGTGCGGTGAGAAGAGAGGTCAGCCACTGAATTACTGATATGGAAAAGCAGCCTACAGTAATGGTGGTTCTTATAGATAAGGTTAGAGGATAAGCTGCTTACTGCTTTTTTTTAATCAGAGTCTTCAGTCATTTATCACATTGTAGGACACTTAAGGGTCTTATTTTCTTAAAACTGTAGAAAAGTTAAATCCTATGAAGCCCAGGGGCCACTGTTGTAAACCATCAGGGATCCAAATAAGTATGTAATAAGGAAGAGTAGGTGCTCTTTACTGACTGTTTTTGTAACATTGATAGTTTAAACTAGACTCTAAGCCAAAATAATGGGCAGTCACAGGAGCATGAATGCTGCTGTTCACATCCACAAGTTGCAGTGATTTAATTAATGACCTTATGATCATTCGCATGTGCTGTTTGCAGCACACAGCTGTGTTATTCCAGGCAGAGTAAAGATGCTCCTGGTCAAATATGACTCAAATACAAATGAAAGCTGCTCAGTGACATTTTCACTAGAGTTACAAGTAAAATAAAATACTCCATACATACAATTTAAAAAGAAAAGTGTTCAGCAGTTTTGTATGTTTACAGTGCACAAGCTCAGTCAAGAATACAATTGTATACATACATATCAAATTTTCCTTGGGTGTAAAAAATCGTATCTTATTTTTTCTCACCTGCTTTTTTCCACTTAGAAAACATAATTTACATCTTTCAAACTCATATGTTCCATATTTCCAGATTTATAGCAAAAAAAAATGAAACCATGACAGGACAAACTACAAAAAACACCTGATGATTAGGGAGAATAATAGCAGTTAGAAAACATGCCATTATCTTATAATTATTATTATTTTTATTTTTTTTATTAATTAATTATTTAATTAATTTATTTATTTTTTCACAGCTGAAGGGACAAAAAATGACTTAAAACAAGTTCAAAAAGCAGAAAGTTAATTCAATGACTTGCCTGGTGGGCAAATCCAGTCCAGGCAATGGGATAAAACTTGCATCAAAGTCAAAACAAGCAAAGAAGAAACTGTAGAAAAAGTTCAACTGCAATGCAAGAAATGCTCAGCTACATACCTTCAAGTGTTTTCTCAGGTAGGACAGAAAAGTCTCATTGGCAGTGATGGTGTTTCTGCGACACAAATCATTCTTGGTTTCAGAAACCTCAAAGAAGGTTGTAAAGATTGTCCATGGGTGCTCATGTGAAGAATCAATATCCTTCTCTGAACAGTCCAATCTGAGAGACAGTGCTCCACATTCAACTGTGGGGATATTCAGCATTCATGTAGAGCAACAGACACAGATCAGAACAAAGTTTATTATCAGCACAGGTGTCACAGTTTACTGAGACAGTTGTGTTTACTGGTGTTTGAGGGGTGGCAGGCTGCGTGCCATTGGAAGATGCGGCTCTACCATCTTTACAGTGCGCTGAATCAGTGTAATCTCCCACTGAGTCTGCTGCTTCATCACAACCTTTAGCAAACACACAACTAATTCTGGTGATGAGTCAGCCTGATGAAGGTCTGAGCAACGTCATGAAGCAACACAGTAAATCATTGGAATATCTTTCAACATTTTCTACATCTCTCTCAGGTGTGCAAAACGTTTTAATAACTGAATATGTCTTTTGGAAATTGAACTGGGTATTGTATCATTTATTGTTGCTTACTCTGAAAAATAATAAGCTTAATTGCCAGAGTGATCCCTAATCACTGCGTGTTAGTTTGTGATGGGCTGGGTAAGTGTGCGCATTATGTGGAAACAGTGTTTGATTATGAATGTTGATCAAACTGTTGAAGTGGTTGTTTGATTTTGCTGGTAGAATCAGAGTTGTAGATACAGTACTCACATCTGTTCCTGGTTATATACCTGCTTTAGCTAACTGAATGAGCTCAAACAAATGTGTTGCTCTAGCAGCAAAAGTGGACTCTGACTGTGCTAGAGTTTTGAAATTCACAAATTCTGCCCTTAACCAGCTGCGTGTGTTACCTATTGATTGAGTAAAGAAAAGACAGCAGGAGTTTTCACAATAGATCGATATAAGGGAAACATCAAGTCCAGCAGAGATTTATAAAAAGAAAACCTGAAACTGTCATTTTTAAAGTCAAAGACACACAAGTGGACAGCAGCACTTAGTCATGGAGAAATTACTCCAATCATAAACATGACAGTAAAGCCAACAGCCTTGCGGTGCATTGATTTCATAATCAAACTTTTATCGATGGATTAGCTTAAAGGCGTGTACTGCGAAACACAAAGTTGAGAGATGCTGCTTTTAATTGGACTCAGGAGGAATTTCAAAATCAGTGCTGTCAGTAATTGCAAACAATGAATCATTGCAGTGAGAAAATCCTTGTGGTCTTTTGAGGGGGTTATTTCTCTATGGAACATTATGTAGTGTTGTAAAGAAAGTTCTGTATAGGTCGCTGCAAAAGGTGGAAAAGGTCGCATTGATTTGATATAATAGAAATGGATGACATCCTAAATTTATACAGCAGTTGATTGGTAGGGCTGCTATTCAAGCATGTAAAATTAATTCTCACAGATTCATAAAAATGTTCATTACTTGAAAGGATCCAGCTAATGACTAGAATAATTTGAGGATGAAACCGTAGTTGATTTTTAATCCAGCAGCATTATTAATGCACATTGGGTTTCTGAATGTCAAGTACGTCATGAAGTATCGTGCGGAAAAAAAAAAGCTGCTTTGAGGATATTTAGAGTGACACGTTGGCACTACAACCAGTATGTGTGGAGCAAAGACTGTCAGTACCAACAGCTTCAAAGTAAATCAGTAACATAAATGATCATTGATGTCATTTTGTCAAGCCCACCACCAGCTCTGGACATTTTCAAACATCTCCCTTTGGCTAATCAAGTCGAACACTCCTGGTCTGTTGCTTTCAAGTGCCGTAGTAGTGATGGGAATTTGGAGCAGCCTCTGTCAAATTGGTTGGTTCAGGCTTCAATACACAACACAAAGGACACCTGTCCTCTAGTTTTATATGCCACGCAGGTCCACACCTCCCCGCATCCTGTAAAGTCAGCCTGTCCCTCCCCATGACAGCATTTCAGCATCAGTGCAGCTAACTTTCTTTGACTTTACAACAAAGGACTTATTGTTGACCTTTATATATCACTTTCTGTCAAAGCACTTTGTTAACACCTGTTTTTAAAAGTGCTTTATGAATAAGGTTATTATTATTATTAGTAGTAGTAGTAGTACTATTATTATTATTATTATTAGTAGTAGTAGTAGTAGTAGTAGTAGTAGTAGTAGTAGTATTGTTGTTGTTGTTATTATTATCATTAACTGTATTATTAACTTCCTTTGACTTTACAACAAAGTGCTTATTGTTGACCTTTATATATCACGTTCTGTCAAAACATTTTGTTAACACTTGTTTTTAAAAGTGCTTAATGAATAAGTTTATTATTATTTTTATTATTATTTTTGTTGTTGTTATTATTATCGTTATTGTTGTTATTGTTGTGGTTGTTGTTGTTGTTATTATATAGTAAGCATTTCAAGTATTTGGATTAAAGAAACTCTAAGTTTACTTCTTGTAGATGTTAGGTAAGAAGATGTATGAAAGCTCTTTGCAGAGATGTAGAGCGGGGAACACAGCGGTCAACTTTTGTCAAAAACAAAGTGAGAAGTAACTCTAGAGAGACTCCAGCAAATCATTTTTTTTACATTTCAGAGTTCTGTATTGACTACACAGTAAAACCTGTTTTTTGTGAAATGTGCACTAATGGGCAAACATGGAAACCCTGAGAAGAGTTAGACTAGCTTTTATAGTATCCATAATTTTAATTGATTGTTTTTAGAGCGGGGGGAAACATCAGGAAACTTATTGTCCACATCCTCTTCATCCTTCATCCTCCTCCTTCTTCATAGTGTCCTTTTTTTTTCCTGTCCGGGTGTCTAACTCTGAATTATAATGTGTCCTCCAGGCGACTCTCCAGTTCTGCGTTGTCAAACCCATCATGGCTGTCATCACCATCATCCTGCAGGCCTTTGGCAAATATCACGATGGAGATTTTAAGTGAGCAGCACCCTTTTTTTTCCCCATTTGTTCTTTGTGTATCTTACATATCCATGTCATGGCCAGCAGGCTTGTTTGCTTTTCGCATGCACATGAAGGAAATTTGCAAATGGAGATAATTGTATCCCCTCTTCAGAGTTGGCATGAGAAATGTTTTAGAATTTAAAGGTTTCATATCAAGTAGATAGTGCCAGACAGAGTGCAGGTACACCCCATCTTATTGTCCCAGTTGTGTCACTATCCTCACCATAATCTCTGCTTCTTGGTTGCTGTTGCTGTTTCAGAGAATAATTTTGAGTTATAAACTAAAGAATTGATATTGGCTTGAAGAAAGTGCCCCCAGTTGTGTTTGTTGTGCTCTGAGATGAAGATCCTTAATTCTGCTCATATGATGCATTTGGCGAAGCACAGTACCATAACAGGAGAAGCATTGTTTGATTTCACACTCCACTTTGTACATCAAGGGATCCGAAGATGAGGAGAAACTGCAGACTGACAAATTTAATTTTAACGTATTTTCACCTGTTCCTGAAGAGCCAATAAGAGTCTCCCCAGATTACAGAGAGGGTAATAAATTCAATGAAACTGTCTTGTTCTGTAATCAAAGGCTATAAAATGTGTCGTCCATAAACTCTGCTTGACTTTTATTCAGGTGCTCCTCTCCACCTCTCAGTTTATCATCTTTCTTTAAAGATTCAGACGTGACAACACTTGTTTCTGAGCCACTCGGGAGAGGCAAAGAGTTCAATGAGGAGTCAAGACAGACGTTTCCAATCAGCTTCTTGTCATCATCCTCTTACTGTCGGCTGAAAGATAGACTTGATTAAATTCTACCTGCTTATTTCTCCATATACTTCAACAGCAGAATTAGCAGAGGCAAAATGAACCATCCCTTTTTCAAGTCTTTTGATAAGCTGCGTTGCACGACCGTGATGATTCACAGATTGTTTACTTAAACGCTTTCAGCGCTCTGTACTGTATAGGAGTAATTAGCGCAGTCACAGACGAGTCCACGGAGACGCTCTCTCCAGAATGTAAAGAAGGTAGAATAGAAGTGTGACAATTAAATAAGGGCAAATATGGGTGTTTATCTGATGCATTTGAATATGAGAAGGCCAAGTATAATGCTGCCTCCGATAATAGGACAAGTGTGTATTCCTGGTTGACTCTGCAGAAAAATTTAAGCTTTAAGCCCAAACATTTGAAAACAACCATGCAAACAGTTATTTCAGTAACACTTTATTTGACGCCTATCTCTTTAACACGTTAAAAAAATATGTATAATGCGTTATAATCACGTTATAGTATTGTATAACTTTAGTTATAAACACTCATAAATGATCATAACACATTAAAAAGCATTTTACCATGATTTACAAGGTCAGGTATTATGATATAATAATGTTGGGCAGCACAGTGGTGTAGTGGTTAGCACTGTCCTGGGTTCGAATCCGGGTCAGGGCATTTCTGTGTGGAGTTTGCATGTTCTCCCTGTGTCTGCGTGGGTTTACTCCGGGTACTCCGGTTTCCTCCCACATCCCAAAACATGCCTAAGTGGGGTTAGGTTAATTGGCCACTTCCAAATTGCCCATAGGTGTGAATGTGAGCGTGGATGGTTGTTCGTCTCTATATGTCAGCCCTGCGACGAACTGGCGACTTGTCCAGGGTGTCCCCTGCCTTCGCCCGAAGATGCTGGGATAGGCTCCAGCCCCCCCTTTATTGCCATAAAGCATTATGATCATTTATGAGAGTTTATAACCATGGTTATGCAAGGCTATAATGTGATTATAATGCATTATACATATATTTATAATGCGCTATAGAGATAGGCGTCAAGTAAAGTGGTATCTTGAATTCTAATGCCGCTGTTATTAACACTAATTATGTTTCCATGCAGCATAAACGGAGGATATCTCTATATCACAATTATCTACAACTTCTCAGTCAGCCTGGCCCTCTACGCCCTCTTTCTCTTCTTCTTTGCAACAAGTGACCTCCTCAGGCCGTATGAACCCGTTCTCAAATTCCTCACAATTAAATCCGTCATCTTCCTATCTTTCTGGCAAGGTAAGTCAAATCTTTTACCTTTTTTTTTTTCTTTTCTTTTTTTTCTCTTGTAGCACTTTGTGAAGAATAAATTGCTAACGAAAATGTCCTGTCTCTGTAGGAATGGTCCTCGCCATCCTGGAGCGCTGCGGTGTGATACCCAATGCACTCTTCATTAACGGAGAGGAGGTCGGCGCGGGCACGGTGGCGGCCGGCTGGCAGAACTTTATCATCTGCATTGAAATGTTCTTCGCTGCCATCGCCCTCAGATATGCCTTCACCTGCACCGTCTACCAGGAGAAAAAAAATGACGTGCCAGGTGAGAGCCGTGGTCCATACAGAGAGCGGACAAAAGCTGATCATTACCTCTCGCCCTCGCTTTGAAATACGTTGACATGTTCCAGGGCTAATTGCCCTTCTCCCCCGCAGAATAAGAACTGACAGAAGCCGGGGGTGTTAGCAGTAATCGTAATGCCATTGCTCTGTGCCTTTTGCAGCCATTTAGCCCAGCAAGACTCTCTTTTTGAGTTAGATCTTGATTCAGCCTCTTATATTGGAGCTTGGATTTATGAGAGCATATTTACACATTTTCACTAACTGATTATGTGGAGCTGTCTTGACTACTTTGTCAGTCAGAGTGGGAGTCTGCAGGGGCTTTCAACTACCCTAAGAGGCCACATTTTCACAGAGGGTAGTTGTCAACCCCACAATGTAGAGAATGATGAAGAGGAATTTGAAACCATAGTACAGTAGCTAATATGGAGTCAGCGGCATCCCCTAGACATCAGTGCTGCCTGTGAGTAAGGGGCGAATGGAAGCCATGGGAAAAGCCTTTAACAGCAATATCAATCATTTTGCCTTTTTTCCTCCACTCGACAATCGTCTACCTACCCTTGAGCTACTTTAAATGTGCTGGAAGCGACGATGAAAACTAAATCATTTCTATTCGAACGCGGTAAGGCCAATTTGTTTTTAATAAAAATGTAAAACAACGAGGGCAAATGACAGAATTATAGTTTCTGTCCTTGAGGATTTGACATAAAAGTCTTAAATATCTGCGCCACATTTTCGTGTCCCTGTTTCCTCCCTAGTTTCTCCTCCTTTGAATGATTTATTTGGGCACTAACATGAACACTCCAGCTCTGCAGCTGCTGCACCCACACACTAAGGTGTTGATGTGTGTGATTACAGAGGTTGCCGCACCTCTGGCTTACCATCCGCCCGCCTCAGCCCTGTGGAGCAGGCAGGCAGGCTGTAACAAGAAACTCAGCAGACTGTGCCTAACTGCTCCGCACTGAAACCAGCCCCACTCCCATCCCTCCCCACCCTTTCCCTTCTCTTTGCCACCTCCGTAAGCCACCTCCAAAAGCCCAGCCAGTGACCCTTAAGCAGAAAGCTGTGGATGTCTGCCTGATTTTCTGTTTCTTTCTTTTTTTTCTGACTTGAAGAGCATTTTAGTTCTGGGGTAAATTCGACCTGGCTCACTGCTGGGTGCTTGAGGACTGTCGGAGGGAGTGATGGCTGTGACTGAACTCTGCTCTGTCCATTTAGGCTGTTTCTGAAAAATCCTGGGATGACACATAAACTCATTAGCCATGAAATATTGCGACCCTTTGTCTGGAATTTGGATTACCCTTTCGGACTGTCAGACTGGGCAATTTAGCACAGAGTCTACTAATTTGACAAACCTCAAACTCATTTATCAAGAAAGAAAATGAAAAATATTTTTTGTCCTGGCTTCTCTAGGATGAGAATTGTTTGGATTACTGTTTCATACGACTTCATTTTAATCGTGTGGTCAAAGTGATAGGATGGCTGAGTTACTATACAAAGTAAATGAATCACTGGTTAGCTGTGTCGAATCGGCAGACCATTATAATAACAGCATTTCACAATGAGTTATATTCATTTGGTTATGACACAGCATTTCTTTCTAACGTAATCTAGTCCTTCAATTTCTCAGCACTGTATATTGAGACATTTAGATTGATCATCTTGTTTTGAGTGTGTGTAGAAATACTCACACAGGAGTAAGTCATTTTGGGAGTGGTTGTCTATGCTCCTTTAGGCCAGACGTGATGGACTGTACATAAAGACCCACTGAGAAAAAAACACAATTTGACACATCCATCAGCGTTTATTACAAATCAACCTGACAACATGGGATGTAACACTTAACTCAGCCCAGCAGAGAGCGCTTATGTCAAACATAACGTGTCAGTCCAGGCAGTAGCTCAGGGGTAGAGTGGTTGTCCAATAATTGGAAGGTTGGCGGTTTGATTCCCCCCTATCCCTAGTCTGTCTGTTGTGTCCTTGGGCAAGACACTTAATCCACCTTGCTCCCAGTGTGTGTCCTCCACTGGTGTATGAATGTGAGTGTTGTGTGGTGGTGGTTTGAGAGGCTGTAGTTGCAAACTGGCAGTCACGTTTCTGTCATTCTGCCCCAGGGCAGCTGTGACTACTAAGGTAGTTTACCACCACCATGGTGTGACTGTGTGAGCGAATGTATGATGTATCCAATGTAATGTGCTTTGAGGGTCACTGATAGAGCGCTACAGAATCTGATGCATTATTATTTTTTTATTGAAGTACATAACGAACAGTATCGGCAGCACAGTCATGAAAAAGACAGTCACAGGCAAATCTCATTTAGTGACAATGGACATGGAATGGATTCATTATAACTGCTGCATTTGAAGAGGCAGATAGTCTTTATGCACAACATAAATAACTTTTGCATGTCTTTTGCACACATGATAACGCGTGTGCACAAAATTAAATCTTTTATTTTATTTTTTTTGCTTAAGAATGAATAAGACAAAAATTCTCCCATCCTCGTATATATGCAGGATCTAGCTGCCAGTTTGGTCTAGAGATATCATGAAACAGCTGTATAGATAATGACAATAACATTCAAATTAGATTATTTCTAGTGCACTATCTCATGTCATTAATCCCCTCTTGTCCTCTATGTTTTACTCACAGAGAACATCCCTCCCATGCAGAGCATCTCCAGTGGTCTTAAGGAGACCATAAACCCAGGGGACATGGTGCAAGATGCCATTCACAACTTCTCTCCAGCCTACCAGCAGTACACCCAGCAGTCCACCCAGGAGGTGGTCCAACCCAGCTCCAATGGAAAAGTGGCCACAGGCAACAAGGGCTCCCGCAAGTCTGACAAAATCATGCTGATCACCTCCGATGATGAGTTCTAGGCGTGTTTCCAGCAAGATCCAGGTGTTTAAGTCCTGGCCTTCCTATCCTTGACCCCCTGTGGAAACAGCTGTGTCGTATTTCCCACAGAGCTGGATTGAATCAAGGTGTTTAATTTTCATTATCCCAGTATTAAAAATGGACCACTTATTCTGTCCCAGCTTAATGAATAATTTAAGCACCGAGAGAAAAATGAAATTAATACTAACTTTAAAATTTATAGCTCAGTGACCAGAGAAGTGCTCCACCTCAGCTCAGCAGGAAAAATCTCAGAAAAAACATGTCACCTTCACTGTATCAGAGAAGTCCAAAACTCCACTTTTTTATCTATACATCAAGCTGCTGGTTGTTAAGCAGTGTCCCTGATCCTTATTCTGTCTCTGTCATTTTGTCTGAGCTTGTTCTCCAGCTGTCTGAAGTGTGCTCCCTCTGATTCTTGACGGTTTCAAAGAGGAGATGATTAATACGTGACTCCAGGTGGGAAGCAGGGAAGCTAGTGATGGCTGGGAATGACACTTCATGGACTTTGTCTCGCGTATGCTAGTTTGAAGTATTTGCTGAGCATTCCTCTGCATGGTTTCCTGACAAATGGAGAGATTTTTTCAAAGACGCACTCGTTTTGGAGCAGGCTCTTCAAACTGCACACTGTAGCACTTCACAATCCTTTGAATCTATGGACAAATTGGATAATCCTGCCTCCTACAGAGTGGGAGTTTAGGTATTCATATTCTTCTTCCCAGTGAGCAAAAGTGTATAATTCTGTGCAACCACTAAGAATAAGTTGTATTGGAGCTTCTGCACTGCTCGCAATGCTTTTTGCAGAACCTTTAAATGTGTGACATGTTCACAGCACTATTCCTGATATGATTCCAGGATTATGAGAAATGTACAGAATTTGATTTGTGTAAATTCGGATTATTTCTTTCTCTGTTTGTGTATATGAGTGTAAAAAGTTTTAACTATTAAATATAACGATGAGTTAAAGTGTGTGATTCAGGCTTAAGTAAAGCAAAACCAGCATTTTATAAGAGCGAAGAGAAACTGAAAAAAAAATGTGAGTCAAGGGACTTTTTCTTTTTAAACAGTTTTATTTGGAAATATTAAAGCTTTTTATAATGCAGTGTGGGAGTTGATCAAATTTGTTCATCAAGCCAGGTTTTTTTTATAACAGTAATAATACACTGGTGCCAATGATAGCTGTCTTTGAGGGAAAGCTGAAAGTCATTAACAGCCGGGTACACTTTTACTTGAAACTATACACTCATAGTCGACTTGTGTGTCATAGTTCTGTGTGGTTTTGTGCAATATTAAACCATTGTTTGGCTCGTCCACCCTGAATTTGTTGAATGAGTGAATTCACACATATTCTCAACAAGGAAAAAGCTTTATTTGAAAGTACAAAAACAGACACAGCAGACCTATTTTATAGAAATAATTTACCATACTTAAAATCAGATCAGAAAACAAATACAGATTTTATTTGTACATGAGAGTAGTTCATTGAGAAAACATGTAAATAAATGAATGTAAAAATAATTTAGGTGTTTTTTTTAATAAAATTACACATTTCAAAGAAATAAATATAAAATATATATGAGCAGACTAATGACAAGTTTGTGAAGGGCACATGATCATTTTATGCTGCCTTATTACTGCCCTTGTTTAAAGTCACTGTTGACAGTTACTCATTAAGCCTCAACATGTTACCACAAGACTAAAACCAGGATATCATTATAACATTGAATCCACAGTCGTTATTAAACTAACTTGAAATATACTGTATTTACCCCAAGACCACATCATCGATACACATGCTTTAGTCCTTCTATTACAGAGCTTTACTGAATTTGTAGTCCAAACTTCCTCAATCTACAAAGCTAACAACAGTCTCTAGCTCTGCTCTTATTAAATACTGTAGCTTGTAGAACTGGCAAAGCTAATTTGTGAAAAGCTTATTCAATCAGAGAAGTGTTCAGAAATAAATTTTTAATCCAATGAACCTTGACTACCTCATCAACATATTCTTGCTCTTCCATCTCTATAAATCCTCTCAAACATTATGAATCCTAACATGAAAAATGTTAATAACCTCGGAAATCTTGAACAGTTTCATTACAGCTCGTCAGTGTGTCCAGCTTCGGTCACTTCAGCGGCTGACCGGGCAAAGTCTGGTAAACATCTGTGGCAGGTAATGGGTTTGCCCCAGCTTACCCATTAACTATCTATTTTTATAATCCTACCACAACTTAAATAAACAAAGTGGCTTATCAGACTATAAATTATGTCTAACCAATGTTTGCTTGTGGTACACAGTCTTAAGAGCAACATGTGTGACAGCATGGCTGGACTTAGCTTGGTCATACTGGATGTGGGACTCACAACAAAGTACTTAGTTCACCTGGAGAGAGGTTTGTCTTCTTCACGCCACAGTCAGGAAATATATATTTGAATCACTTTAATTAAAGTATGGTCAAATACAGTAATAAGTGCTCAAGTTAAACTATGGTTAATTTTACAGCATTTTGTTTGAAAACTACCACAATAGGTCATTGTGAGGCTTATCAGGGAAAAGCTTAAAGCAGTTGTCCTGTGATGAATTCCAAAAACATGACTTTTGTAAACATTTAGTACGTGTGTGTGTGTATGTGTGTGTGTATTCTCCTGACTAAGTGAGGAACACAAAAGAGGTCTGAATGGACTGCTTTTCGCAGCTTTTGCAATATTTCCTGACAAGCTTGAATCATTAAGTCATTACATGAAACTGCTGTTTCAATTTGTCTTTTTTAAAAAAAGCAGATCAAGTTTTTAAAATGTCAATATAACAGAATAACTGAGGGGGAACTGTGAAAAACCCAAACAAGATTAATTAACGATTATAATTTATTTATAAGGTCATTTAGGTCGTTGCCAAATTGTAAAAATCCGGCCAATACAGCTTTACATCTGATCTTATCAGACCCATAAGCCCATGTGTTTGCGTCTGTTCTCAATATATAATTAAGGGTGGGAGTTGCCTTTACATCTGATACATAGTGTTTGTTCTGACACTGCTCAATTATAACCTCAATAAAATGTGTCAGATACACTTTTTAACCGTATGAATCTGTGGTCAGATATATATATCTGGACTGTTGCAGATAATAAGCTGCAGCATGTATGTAACACTAGTCATGGACTGTCCAATGTGTGAATAAAGAAAATCTCAACTGTGCTGAGAAGAACTATTCATAGAGTATAAATAGGCAAATTCAGGACTTGTGTCAACCGAATAGTTTTCTCATTGTGTGTGTGAATACACCTTTTTCATATGAAAAGGTCAATATCAACGTAATTAGACTTCAAAGGATGATTACATAATCACACCACTCCCAGGATAGCAAAAGACATAAATATAGAAAAATATGTAATATATATTTATATATTTATATATTTATATATTGAATATGTATATAAAACTAAGTATCAGGAAAAAAAAACATAGGATGTATCAACAAAGAAACCAATTGAGAATATAAAATGAGAGTAAGAACACAGCAATGCCCCTGCTTCATATCACAGCAGGTTGTACAGCAGCAAAGTTCCCCATACTGTTCTTTGCAGCTATGGAACAGGGGAAGAACAGTCATGTCCTCTTAGCCAAGAGAAAATCCTGACATGAATAATCTCTACTGACTTCACTCCAAATAAGGAATGGATCCTCCATAAGAACGGCTTGATTTCAAGTGAAATTTGCATTTAAATATATATCAAAACGAACAACAGGAGGAAGGTGTTTACTGCATTTAGTTTTCATGACACCGTTTTTTCTTTTTAGAGATAGGCGTCAGGAGTTCTCTTGCAGAAGAGTGTGTCAAAAGCAAAGTAAATAGCTACTGTTTCAGAGTTACCAACACCAGCAGCAGCACTTTTAGTGACCCAGCAGTAGGAATGATTTCTATTTGGACGGAGTTATTAATGTAAAGTGACGACGGAGGCAGTGGGAGCATTAATGTGTCAGTATTCTGTAATATACAGGAAGTAAGTTGGATTGCATTTCACTTGTAAAGACCTCTCTCATTATCACTAAATCCAATATGGATTACCTACCGAAGAGTGGCACATAAAGAAGAGGCAAAACAAAACCCAATCAGTGCTGTAGCAGATACTATCCTCTGTTATATAAGGCTAAACTCACACTAGGTGGTCACACCACATTCAATAATCATGCAGTTTAAACCTCTATAACTTCAGAGATGCAAGTAGGGTTTCAATCTGTGACCTCTTTCCAATTCTAGGAATCAACTGTCCTGTGAACTGTTTTCTTTTATACTGTATCCGTACAGTTAAATTTTTTAAGTGCTAATAAACAATAGGCACAAGGCAACATCATGTCCTCTGAATCCAAACAAATCAAGTCCATTATTAAAGCTCCATTACTACTTTCCAATTTTAAATCCAAATCTTTCTCAATCTGCCTTTTTATTGCAGAGACATCTCTATCTGTGAAAAACAAGTGCTCACATCTTGCATTTTTTCATAATCGAAGGGGAAATTGTTAAAGCCGCCCATTGCTGACTGTTCACATCAATCTTCAGCCGCACTGACAAATAAAGTGATCTTTTAGCTCTAATACTACAACATGATAAGGGTTCAACAGATGAGCTGTAAAATGTAAATAATAGAGATAAGGCACAAATGGACATCTTATCATAAAAGACTTCCTAAGGGTCTAATCAACCATATCACCACAGCCATTTCCTCTGCTGTAGGCTAAGGGCAAGGGGGTTTTATAATGCCACACTGCTGTGGACATACTCTGAGGCTCCTCATAAAGGGAGGGAACCTGAAAAAATATCATCATCACTATTTCCTGATTGATCAGAGACTTACGAAAGAGAATTAGGTCCACAAGAAGAGAAAAAAATAATGACAGGAGGGAGATTTTTTTTTAATTTTCCATTTTGACATTAAAGTCGAAATTTTAAGATTGAAGTCGAAATTTTAAAAAGTCAAAATTTAAGGTTAAATATGAACCTCAAAATTGATAATTTTTTTTTTATCTCGAAATTTTGACATTATTCACATTTTGACATTTTGTAATCCCAAAATTTCATCTTTAATTTTGAAATTTCAATTTTTTCAATCTCAAAATTTCGACTTAATCAACTTCTTGTAATATTTTTTTTCTCTTCATGTGGCCCTAATCATCTTTTGTAGAAACTGGATTGACAATATGTGGTCCAAAAATCTAACAGGGGACATGTGGGCGTATATTTAGATGGCAGCTTATATTAGCATTCAGCCACTGTTCATACTCTAATAGAGGTGTCAATTTCTGGCTAATGAATTTGACAATACTGATTGCCAAGAATTGGTTGCAAGCTAATTGTCTCTCCAGTTGCTGATCAACCAAAACTTGATGAAATGATACCGCTCAGACTGTTTTCTTGGAGATTAAATGGCTTGTAAACCTCGTGCATCTTTGTGACACATTAACAGCATTTGAGCTTCCTGAGCGTAGGCTAATGTCAGAGGACAATGACTGCTTTGTGAATATAGTCCAGCAAAGGCGATAATAATAACCCTGACCTAATGGGTGAGCATTAAACTTCAAACACAAATGTGACCTCAAAACTTCTAAATGAAACAGGCATCAGCTCAAGTATGAAAGCCCTTACTGAAGCGCACAGACTACCATCCCCTCCAGCACCTCTTTCAAAATACACAAGCTATTTGGCATAACTGACCACAGAGTAAAACTTTGCATAACCAAAGAGGAAACATGAATAACCACCAATCATGAGTTTATCCCTCAAGCATTGGTCAGTCACCAAACTGCATAATGCAGAGCTTTCTAAGTGGGTCATAGACAGCCATGTGTTAGCAGCTTTTCACTCCAACCAAACACTACATGAGGAGATCTTCCTGCTAAGCACCCTTAAAACAGGAGAGATACTAATGGATGAAAACATCTGTTGTTTTGGCGACTGAGAGGTAACTACCTGACCTCAAAGCTGGAACAGAAAATCCTCTTTGTGTAACAATATGTGTAAGGGTTTGATAATTTATACTTTTAAGGCAACAGCTTCAACGGCTCACTTTACACTCAGACACCTCCACACATCTTTAAATTTGGCATAGGTTTCGACTAAAACTTTACGGTCACTATTTAAGTCTCAAACTTTACGCTTTGTTGCATCAAGTGTGCGTGCTGTCCTTGGCCAGTGCTGCTATAGTATGGCATGTTTGATACTTTTCACACTGGAGTAAAAGCAAATCTTTTTTCTATCAGTCAAAGTGAAGGGGTCACAGAGGTCTGATACCCTGCGGGTGCTGGGAATCAGGGAGAAGAGGTTTTGCACAGTGCACAGACAATGTAGATAGTGTAAGAGAGACACACAGAGGGAGATAGAGTTGTGAACGCTGTATAACATCCCAGAGAGCTTGTCACCCCATCCCATCCTTCAGTCTAACTACTGAGCGTCCTCTCAGCACAGGATGAGTGGATTCAAGCTGGGTCAGAACCAGAAAGGACCAGGCAGGAGTTGGAAAGCCCAGTCCTGTCAGCACTAGGAGGGAGTTGAGAACGGCTTTGGGCTGGAGTCGTTGTGGTTGGCCGACTTGACAATGGTAATGACGCTGGTGGTGGCTACCTTGCCTGGCGAAAGGGGCCCTCGGGTCACAGTCCGAGCAAAACACTGTAAGGCCTCGTATTTTGCTCGCAGGGCGTCCAGCTCCAACCTCATGCTGGCGTTCTCGCGGGCGAGCTTGTCCACCTCCTGCTGCAGCTCTATCTTTTGTCTCTCCAGCTCCTCCTTCTGGGTGACCCGTTTGATACGGCAGCTGGCGGCGTAGCCTCGGTTCTTAAGGGTCCGTCGACGCTGCTTCAATCGCACAACATCCTCCTTGGTTAGCCCACGCAGGTGCTGGTTGAGCTCCCGTACGGACATGGCCACCAACTCATCATCGCTGAGTGCCGGGGCATTCTCGCCCACCTCCCTCTTGACCTGCAGGAGGAAACAACCAGTGAGTGAAGAAGAGCACTATGAATGAGATGAGGAGTGTGTCATTGACTTTGTCCTACTTCAATTTACCTTTAAAGCTTTGCTCGTCTTAAAATGAGTCGTCATTCCCTGCATCCAGACAACTGGCCAGAATCTCACAGAAGACACACTAAAACAAGGAAAGAAAAAACGTACATGTAAACAGAATATTCGAGGAAAATACGAACAATTAAAGGTGGGATAGGCAGGATTCCATTAAAGAAGCATCTTTTTTGTGGTGTATATACAAATTCTATACATTTCTAAAGTGTATCCACAGCTCCATTCAAACTGGCACTTCCTCAGATCCTGTCTACCCCACCTTTAACAATATTTCAGAGATACTTGAACTGATAAAGAATTTTTCTTTTTACTTTATTTTACTTTTATTTTATATTTTTATTTTATTTTTTATCATTTTTATTTTACTTTATTTGACAATTCAACTGCTTTTTTCTGGATGGACTAAGATTTCACAATGGACGATCATTATGTACAATGTGTTATGTAATTAAATGTTTTTAACTCTAACATAATTTTACTAAATATAACTGATTTGGTGCCTTCAGTGGTGATGTGATACATCTTTATGTAACATAAGCACATACTTTAGCTGCCGTTGCACATTTTGATGTTGTGCAGATCCTGGGAGCAACACAATGTTGGCACTCCCTCACATAAATCTTCTTTAAATACATCACAACAACATTCCTCTGTTGCGTCATGTGTCAATATTTGTGTTTGCATGTTCGTCCTCCTTCATCCAGCAGAGGGCAGCACCACACCACTGAACACCCACTGTATTGACTTGTCAGGGAAGGAGGGCCTTGACCAATGTAGTTCACTAGACCAGTTAAGATTAGAAACAGGCAATCACGCTCCCTCTGTCGGCACAGAAGTTTGCTTTGTAGCTCTTGCTGTGAGTGAGTTTGCTGGGGTAGTTTGGAGAAAAGCCTCTCCGTGGTCACTACAGTGATCCACATGCTTTTCAGACTGCTGCCATGACCAAAAAAAGTGAGAGCGCTGAGCTGTGATCCTCTGAGAGGCACACATCCCCCCAAGGCAACATTTCAGGACTTAGAGTCCAGCCTGACTACAGGCGCACTATTCCATGGTCAACAGCTACCATGGAAACGCCCTGTGAATGGGTGTGGGAGTGTGAGTCACATGGTCACCAAAAGGGTAAACAAGTCTCATTCATAACCGCAACATGGCCTATACATAGCCCAAATAAGTAGCGCTAACTCATGCAGGCGACTTGGAAGTACTCGGTGTTCTGAATTCCTTTAGCTTATGATGTTTCTCTTCATCCTGTCGCTTCCCTTAAGCCTGACCTCATATAGGTTAAATGTGAACTCCTCCACTCAGCTGTCTCTGAGCGTAACAGACCAGCCGAGCCAATCTACCTCCTCATAAGACGTTACAGCAGAGTATCACATCAGCAGAACATTTACAGTGATGCTGAACTTTACGCGGCACCTGATACGCATGTGGAAAATTCCTGCAGATAGAGTGTCACACAGAAATAGTTTCCCTTTATAGTCACTGATGTATTTTTGCTAAGAGACAATGTAGTCTGTTGGTTTAGGGCTCCGTCTCGCTGCTTGGATCCTCTTACACTGGGCTTTCCTGAGCTGCTCCATGCCCTTATTTAACTCCAGTGGATATATTTAGCTCACAGTGCTGACACAAATTTCTGCCAACTAAACAATTTAGGTGAGCATGGGATAAGTGATACTTCAAGAGGGCAAATATTCTCAGTAGAGCTTTTAGCTGCAGCTTACAGGGAATGAAAACACTCTGGGTCTGGGTGGGGCTGTTCCTTTTGGGAGGTTTATCACATTTTCACATGCTATGGCTTTAATGCTAATGCAGGACTTTGGAACTGCTGGCTACAAGGAAAAGTGCAGCCAACATGACAAACAACACTCACTGAACAGAAGTCAGTAGGCTATAATGGTTTCAACTCAACATCACTCGCTAACAGAATGTACTCTGGTGTTGTTTCCTTCTCGGTAAATGGTCCTTAAAGACCTCTGCTTCCAAAAACAAACACAAAGACCGACCAGACAGCTTAACCCAAAGCCACGTAAACGTATGTTTAGAGATTTAGGGAACATCTGCAGCTCCGTCTGATCTCTTTTGTTTATTTAACAAAGAATTACATAATTTAGATTACACAACCTTCAGATAAAAAACGAAGGGCTATCAAAACAGCTTTCCTCGACAGCAAGTTGGCTAAAAACACCATAGTTTTAAGTGGAATTGCGTCAGAGGGGGTCCCTGGGTATATTCCTTACAAAGATCATGGAAAAGTGGCGTGGGGCCCTTCTCTCTTCATACAAGAGGCCTCCAAGCTTGAACTAAGAGGCCAGGTTGTTTCCCTCAAATTCTTTGGGCATGTGTTTATGTTTTTGCAGCCCTCAGAAGGCATGCTTTCTGTTGAGCAGGACGGCAACATTTGCAGAAAGAGGAAAACAGCATTTGTAGTAGACATGAATCCCATTGACTAAAAGTTAGGTTTAAAACAAATCATAGCTTTTTAAGATAACAACACATGCTCTTTTTTTGTGCCTTTTGTAACACGAGGAAAAGGAGTCTGGGAAAATGACTCACAGAGAAGCCGCAGATGGTGGGCTAAAGAACAAAACCACATTCCTGAGTGAACACACATGTGCAAACCCTCACAGGTCACAGGCACAAAGCAGGCAGATCTTTACTGCAGTGGGAAAAGCTCCGTCTGAATCTGTCCTGCCATGCACTTTAGCTCTGGGGGTGGGGTTCAGACTATCCCGCTTGTAAAACAACAGCTTCAAAATTCACAAAATGTCTGGAATTCAGAAGTGTCTCGCAGCTTTTTACTTGCCTGAACAAATTAAAGGCAGCGTGTGCACATGTGTGGAAATTAGCGGTCCTCGACTCTTTTTTTGTGGATATTGTAAACAAACAGCTCCTTCCTTAACTAACTCTCTAATCAAACATTATTATTCTGTTTACGATGACGACACTCTGACGACTCTGAGCCCAAAACCAATTAGCTGCTCAGAAATTCAGTTATCAGTAAAATAAGTCACAGAGGAAGTCTTGATTTACTACCACTTCATGCCCTCTATTAATATTTCCGGCTCTTGCTTTTAACAAGTGTCTCTTTTGAGGAGAATGGCACAACATTTTCCAAGAAACTAATTTTTAAAAAATCTTTTTTTGTGCTATTCGTCTTTGGGAGCACGCACAGCCGCAGATGCGCTAGTTAATTTCAGGATTGTTTTTTTTTTTTTAATGGTGGAAAACAAAGAGCTCTGCAGAGATTTTTGTGTAGGTACAACTGTTTGTAAGGAAATTTGAGTCTATTTCAGTCAAATTAAGTTGAACGAACCTATAGGCCGACCGTTTCCTCACTGATGCCATGTGTTTATGTTTTTTAGGTCAGGCATCTGGTCAAGTTCAAGGCTGCACTTCAGTTTCAGCGGGTCACTGTGGGGCCCAGCTTTCTCCTCTATAAACAGCATATCAAAGAGCTATGTGCTCATTCTGCAGTGATATATGCAGAGCCGGCTCGCCTGGGCTCTTGTTTTTTCTTCTCAATTGGTGTAAATTCGGCAGTGGGTAAAGCATAATGTAGACAGCCTGATAGCCTCTGCCCAGACAGCTCCTGCTTTTCTAGCGTTTTTCTCAGGAAGGTGGAGAGATTTCTCCACAGTCTGCTGCGCCCAGCACTCTGCTCTTTCTCCAGCGCAGCACATTTGGTGGGATATTATGTGAAGGAAATGGAGAGCATAGCTTAGCGATGAGTCATGCTGTTTACTGGTAAAAGCGACGACCAGCGGCAGGGAATCACACCCTCCCAATCTGACGTTTCCTGGAAAATCCCGTTGTTTCACGGGAGGAAGGAAAGAACAGAGAACCTTGGAAATGGTTGGCATGACCACCAGAAGTTAGTTTTTTTTTTTTTGTGGAAAGGGAGGAGAACTCACAGAATGTCTGAGCTAAGATTTTCCTCAAACCAGGGACGGCTGTGTTTCTAAGAAATGTTTGGAATGCAAGGAAAAAATATGTGTCCTACTTTGTATTAGCTGTCACTGCAATCGTGTGTTATGGAATAAATAGATTCATATTCTGTTTCCTTAAATCTCCAAGATAGCAACAATATTTTAGGTTTTCTCCCTCTAAAAAGCCAGACTCGCCTTAGTCATGAGGACAGAAACACTGTAATAATAATTATACTCATTATGTGTGTATCATGTTGAAATCAGGATGTTGACCAGAACAAACTCTGACATGAAACCAGGAAGTCATCCCCATTCAGGACAAATACAAGGAATTCCCAAGAAGACAATCCCTCAAAATAAATACAATTGTTAACCTGACACTTCCTCCTCTCTGACTCTGATGAGGTGAAAGCAGGTGGTTTGTGACAGGATGCTGATCACCGTGGGTGGCAGAGCTGTCAGGGAGTCTCTGTGGATGGCAGCAGCAGCAGCAGCAGCAGCACAGGCAGGCGGGCTCACACGTTTGTCTGTGTTCTCTCTGTTTGGCATGTTCAGCTGTAGATAAAATCACACGCTCTCAAAGGCAAAGCTTGACATCTTTTTTCCAGTGAGTGGAGCAAAAACACATCATACCAAACGTGTTCCCTGTGAGTCATCCCATCACCGACCACAGCTATGTCACTTTCACAATACTCCACCACAAAAACGCTTTGCATTCTGGGCTCCTTTCAACCATCACCACTGAGCGGCAAAAAAGAGAAATCTGATACGTCTGGTGACAATTAAATAATATCCTCTTTTTAAAAGGGGGATTTCTCCTGATGTGCTGTGTCAATGTCACATACTATGGTGGTGGCAAAATGAGTCAGCCGCTGTAACTTCTCCATCTAGAGAAGACATCATCACTCTGTGATTGGACCACATGTTAGCCCCATGACAGAGGAGTTCACCCATTCCCACTACCCCCCTTCTGAGAGCAGCACCCACAAGAAACAAACACTGAATCACAAAAAGCTTCACAGGGACAAATCTGTGACAGGACTAATATTTGCCATAGAATCATTAAAATGATCTTAAGAGGTCACAAGTTTACGCTCATCAAAATAAGTCTATGAAAAACCCAAATGTAAACTCAAAACAGAGGAATGCGGTGCTTTTTAAGCATTATTACCATGTTATTGTTTGGTAACAGCCAAAAATTCCAAGTACACCTCCCAAACAAGGGTTCTTAACCGTGTCCATGTCATTCAAATGAAAATAGAGCAGCAGTGATAAACACAAAGATAAGATAAAGTCATTTTTTCTTCCGCACTGATACACTTTGTGGAAATATGCGCTCCTCCTGCTGTTTGTTTCCCCTGAACACACCAGTCAGCCTTGGTGGTCCAACTTCACATCGTGCCCTTTGTCCCACATGTCTAAAATGCAGACCACGTGTTGTTTCCAATGTCAAAAGTAGGTATGGGATTTTGCGTTTATAGCAGTCTGGATTAAAACTCGTGTAAAAATGCGAAAAAGTGAATTTATAAAAAGTGAAGCGATTCTTTTTCGTTTAAAGTTTACACTAGAATTTTTCGCTTTCGTTTCCCCCTAAAAGCAGTTCTGAGGCTATAAATAAACAAGAGCCGATTCAGGAAAATCACAATATGTAACCTATCTTGTGACACAGTTATGATTATGAGCTACCTCAAATAAAAGAGTAAGTTATTTAAAGCTATTTTAAAATGTGAGCGTAACTTGAAAGTCGAGAATAATTTCTTTCTTTTCTTTTCTTTTTAAATAACCATATAAGTCAAACTTTTCCCGATAAGCAGAGATTAAAACTTAAAGAATTTTTTATCCAGGTAAAATTTTTGTAAATCTTTTAGAACTTTTGAGAAAAAGAAAATTTGCGTAATTTTGGAATTCGAGTTCCTCTTGTTGGAGTTTTTTCCTCTTTTTTTCTTCCGTCTCCAACTCTCGGACATTTGGAGGGACATTGTGTTATGTTACTCTTACACAGCACGTGTCCACGCGACAGAAACAAATCAACATCAAACTTTCATAACTGGGATCAAAACTTATCCTACACGAAGAGCGCGTGCCTGTCTGCGTAGACGCCAGTACGGTGACAGCCACCGCCAGTAACTTGAGCAATTTAGAAAGGAATGTCCAAACATAGTCTATTCCCAAATATTAAAAACACCTCACCTCTGTGGACGCGGGTATCTGTGGTCCGGAATGCGTAAAAAGTAGCGAAGTAGGTCTCCGTTTAGAGGCACCGAAGAAACTTGACACAGTTGGTATAGAGCGTCCCGCAGACGGGCAGCGGTGTATCCTCGTACTAAATTAACTACAAAACAACAACAATGTACCAACATTCCACGCTCTGCTTCCGCAAGCACTCACGTCACTGATTCCTCGTGACCGCCCCCTCCATTCATGAAAATAACTTTCTGCTGACGTCAGTCTAAGGAGGAGGGGGGCCGGGGGAGGCCAGAAATAGAAGATAGATACTGCTGGCGACTGCTTTTGCTTACTTTACAAAACTAATCCGCACAAAGTCAGCTCTTATTGCTTGTGTGAACAATCAGGAGCTCTCAGAGGAGGAAAACTCAACTTTTGGTGCCAAAAGGAAGCTCCAACTTGGTGCTCTCTTGGTAAATAAACCCCCTCCTCCCCTCTCTCTTAAAGTAGACTCTTTCATGGTCTTCACTACAAGGCATTCAAAAATGTGCATTAGCTGAGAGAAAACAGCGACCTCCTCCCTCCGTCTGCTTTGGGAGCAGCAGCATTCCATTCCTGAGGAAAGTATGTGGTGTAGTAGCCCAGCAGTCACAGGATTTCTCTTATTTTAACTGCGCTGCAGCCAGTAACGTCACAGGTTATTCTGGGTAATTAAGTACTGAATGTAAATATGTTAAGTCAGTGGCCTTTTAAGGGCTGCTGCACTCTCATGGGTTTCCCTGTTCCTGAATCCTTCATAAGAGGAGCTCAGCTTTGAGGTGGCTTTAGACTGTGCTGCCTGTTAAAAACAGATGAAGTGTGTTTACACTATAAACACTGTGGGCTCCACAGTTCAAACAAGGCGAGAAAAAAGAAGAGGAAAACGCACTTTCACTTTTTTTTTTTTTTTACTCTGCTGACATGCCTCAGAGCAAATTTACAAAGGCTTTATTTATCCTGTTATATCACTGTTTTTTTTTTTTTTTTTTTTCATTTTTATTTTAGTTTTTCTTATTGCAGGATGTGCTGTCTATGAGTGAGGCTAAATCTATTTTTAAAAAAAAAACACTTATATATGACAAGAGCTACCTATTGACCAAGAGATTTTGCATTCATTAAGAACCTCAACTAGTAAGAACAGTAGACAAACAACCTCCTTATTAAAAGAAGTAAATATCTGCATCCAAAGTCAGTAGAATTTATCTAAAGACACTAGGAAACAGCTGAGATGTTTGCTGCAATGAACTTGACCTGTCTTGGATTGTTTCAGTCCCAGACTAGTTGTGTATAGTTCCTGGTACCGGGTTTTAGACGAACAGCTGTTGCTACTAACTCCAGCTAACTCTGAGCTGAGTCAGGAGGTGCATCTGAGGCCAAAGGCAAACTATTCATCTGAGACCAAAGACTGTATATACAATGGACAACTTGGTCCCGCTTTACGCTAGTATATGGGTTTGAAGCCAAGAAGCTCTCGGTAATTCTGTGTTTTTTCTCCATTTCCTGAAACTAACATTGCGCAGTAGTGTTGTACACACTCCTCCACTTGCACAGTAGTATTGTGCGCATTCGGCTGGAGAGTTGCCGAGAGTCGCTGTGGTGACGTTCAGCTCAAACAGCGTATCCCCCGGGTGAGCTACACAATCCTTGTACGCCCATAGGCTGTATCAGGTGTCAATCATAGAAAACATGAACCCCCCTAATACTAAAAACGGAGCTGTACAGAAAAAAAGAGGACTTGAGCACAAACCAGTCTTACAGTAACTACATGTCAACATCGCAAGCAAGGGGGAAAAAATTATGTTCTGTGTAATAAATTTCTAAAGTTTGTCCACAGTTCCAGAGGGATTGCTGGAGGAGGCGGGATTTATGACCTAAACTGCAGCCCATCACCAGAGGGTGCTGTTCTCGGGGTGGCTTCACCCAGCGAGGAGGTAGACAGCGTCCATTCTATATACAGTCTATGTCTGAGACCCCTACAACACATGATCATACATAACTCAGCCACTCAGTCAAAACAAAAAACTTACTGAAAAAAAAAAAAAAAAACATCCTAGTGAAATTGTTGTGAATAGATAACTTATGAGTTCCTTTTTCTGGCCTGTTTTGTATTTCTGTAGTGAAAAGCACATTAAAAATTGGCTCTAATGGAGCATTGGCAGTGTCAAGCAGACACTAAAAAAACATTGGCTTCACCTGAGATTGTCTCTTGGAGTGCGCCAAGAAAAAATTAAAGCTGAAAGTAGTGATGAACAGGCCTTTTGCATCTTTGCACACATCAAGGTGGAAAGTTTCCCCATCCATAAGGTGTGTAAAAGCCAATGGTCATGCAGCAGCTGTGTGATAACCTTGAGTGAAACGTAGATGTAAATCTATTCAAGGAGTATTTTGAAGCATGTATAAAATTTTAGAAATAACTTTTACCAAATAAGAATCAGAAATACTTTATCAATATTCAGAGTATTTTGATGACACAGCTGCTATAACACGCAGTATAACCATAAATATTAAATATAAATGCAGAAATAAAGCTGTAAAAAGGAAATCAGTAAGTTATAATTAAAAGAAAGAGCAAATCAACTAATATGCACCACATAAATATCCTAATAATTGTGAACAAGTGTTAATATTGCAGTGTTGATTTTGTATATATGTACAAGTATGTTTTACATAACTACATCTCCTGCTTGAATAAATTAAATAAGAAAGAATAAAGGAGGTATGAACCTGCTGGCTCTGAGATGAGTGCACAGGTCAGACAGTGTGTTTGACACTCAGAGGTCAGAGGTGGGTTTGATCGTCACAGGCATGAATGACTCCTTGTGGCTTCCTTGTCCTGTAGTGCATTTCTAGTTCATCTGCCTCACACTGAATGTGCTCCTGAGCTTTTGCAAGATGTCATCAAGTGGGCTGAAGACACTGTCTGAACAGCAATAAAGCACAAGTGGGGCACTGACTAAGACGACTATGACGACTATGACCCTAACACCATGTGAAGGCGTGTTCAAGACAGTGCATTAGTCAAACAGAGAAGATAGAAAAGCTAATTCAACACTGTATAAAGGAGTTCACACGGTTTGTTCCTAATAGGTGACCATGACCATAATGAAAATGTCAGGTTGAAGAGTTCATACTGGAGCTGTCATCAGTCCTCTGAAATTTGAAGCAGATCAGACAGCATGAAATTCAGTACCAGGGGCCTTGATCATATAGAGGAGTGACAACTTTACAACCAAGTTTGACAAGCTGCTAGTATGACATCTATGCTAAGTCCAGACAATCCAGCCGGAGCAGTTTTTTTTTCTTGGTTTGTTTTGCACCAAACCCCTTTTTTATGTAGTTATTTAGGCAGATATAGAAAAATTACTTGCCTCCAGTAGGGTCTTTGTAACCATGAGGTGGTTGGGCTGTAACAAAACAAAGCCAGAAACACTTCACAATGTTGACTGGCTGGACCCACTATTCACCAATGAGTAGTTTTAGTGAATGAACTGTGGTGGCAGCGTCAGGAAAAGATCGTAAATACACATTCACGGTGAAACGATTGGATTTTAAATGAAAGTTACCTCATGGCCAAGTAAATTTACTATGTTAAGAAATGCCTGTGTCACTGCGTTTGTTCTCAAATATTGCCACATTGCACAAATAACAGCTGTGTAACCAGTTAGCAGGAATAATCTGCAGAGGAAATAAAAAAAGAGGGAAAATACTAGTAGCAGTTCCAGAGAGGAAGAGTCAAGTAAAGCCAGTTCTCTGTACCGATAAAACGTTGTTATTGTAGTGTTTTAACTATCTGTCTATCAGCCAAAAGTAAAATTATCTGATTATTTTTGCCCCATGATATCGTCTCTCTTATCCGCCTATGCTGCGTTACTCCAGAGACCACACAGGAAACAGAAACACACAAATAAAGGCAGACTCATTGTCTCTGATGCATGAAGTCATCGTGACCTTTAAGATTCAAGTGTGACCAGCAGATGACTAGGGAATAAATGCTTCACAGTGAGTTTGTTAGTGCGGCTATTCAAGCCAAAAAATAGCAACTTTGACAAATACTTGGAACAGTTGTTTGCAGCCTTTCCTGGCACTGTTCTCCCGAAGCATTGATGTAAGAGAAAAACTCAAATATTGACTATTCTGAGTCATAAATGGAAAGCTCAGCCAGAGTCTCCTGGGAATTTATCTCTTATAGGCCCGGAGCCAGATACGCAGATTGTCGTAGGTTTAGGGTTGTAACGTAGTTTATGGTTACTGACTCATCAGATCCAGCCCTTCCTCTGAATCTCATGTGGAATCACTTTGTTACCAGAGATGGTTTTAGTTGGTGTTTTCATCTGCAGCTGGAGCTTGTTTCAAATAAAAGTTCAGAAACTTCACTGGATGAGCAACCAGTTTTGTTTTCTGGTTCGCTTGTGTCGCCAGCTTATTGACCAGAGGCAATAACACACCATCATTTCCTGTGTGTGGCTTTGCTGTAATGAGTTAAAGGCAGACAGAGTTAAGTTCAGGATTTTATCTGTGTTGGACAAAGTGAGACATTGTTCTCTTTTAGATGAGATGGAATTAAATCAGAATCAATGTCTTTAAAGTAATAAAGTATAAATACATGATTGAAAGAGTAGAATTATGTAGTGGCTGAGTTGCAGAATTGGTCATTTTTCCATTATATGAGTTATTTTCCAAAAAAAAAGAAAAAAAAAGAGAAGAGATTCTAAAACATGTTTTCTATTTATAGGCATTTTAAGTTCCTCACAGAGTAATTCTGTACATAAAGCTGATCTAAGGAGCTTTTAGATGAACGACTAATAATATCGAAATCTTATGAGAAAACCGGATCCTTCAAGTAAAGACTGATTGTTTCTAATCATCAATTTTAATGTCTGAAACTGTTGCCAGGGGTAAGGGTCAGGGGAGGTGATAGAATGCACGCAGCAGAAACACACTTTTTTTTCACAGCAAAGAATCTGAGAGTGAGAGTCAGGGGGCTTTTTGGTTCAAAAATAACACTACTTCCACATTTAAAGAAGACACACAGAGGGACAAAACAGACGCAAACCAAATGAAGAGTTTAATGGATTGGTCATTTTTCTACTAATTAGTCCAATTAAATTAGAGATGTGATGGTACACATTTCATTAGATTACATTAAAGCTCCTGTACGGGATTGACAGATGATTGGTCTTTCACAGTCCTGTCCCATAAATGTTAAAGTGATGTTTTTAAAACCAAAAAATCTTCATTCTGCTTTCTTCTATATGTCAGATTTGTCAATTGAACCATGATGAGATCAGATTAGGGGTGATAAGGATGGATCAGACTACAAACTGAGATTAGATAGTATAAGGATGAGGTTGGATTAGAGCATATAACAGAAAAAGAGGGATGAGGTAAGATTACATGAAGTGAGATAGCATGAGGTTAAGATCAATCAATCAAAGAAGGTTTCAGATGATTGGAATAAGATCAGAGGTACATATATGGTAAAGATTAGATTAAAGAAAATTTAGGATTAGACTGGATCATATTACATATTACAGAAATCACACAAACTATCTCGAAATAGATTCATGTTCATAGTGGGAATTCTGTCGGCAAAGAGAAAGTGCTGAGGTGAAGTTTCTGCCCGACCACCTCTGAGTTTCACCACCACTCAGACATCCAGCTGCTCAGCAGAAGCCACACCAGCCAATTACTGTCCGCAGATGACCTGAAATACACCCATTGTGCTGGACTAAACAACAACAGAGGAGCATGTGCAGCAGACTCGTCAGGTTTTGGACAGATCGGCGAGCTGTGGGGTCTCATAGGTCGTGTAGGATTACAGGAAGTAACAGTGAGTCAATAATCTGGCTTCTTTCTGACTCAGACTGGTGAACTCAGAAATGTGATATGGCTCAAAGAGGCCCCCTGTTGCTAAAGGATCTCTTTTTTTTTCTCTCCCTGGTGCTTCAAATCGTTGACCAAAAAAAGGCTGATACAGATATGACCATGCAGATTTATAAAAACAATATCAAAGAGCCCAATAAACCCCGCTAGATGATATCTTCGCGTTATTAATCCCATCTTCCTCCTGGGGTGTTTTCACATGGCTCAGAAATATCCAAGTGAGAAGGCCTGACACATGAGACGGCTGCCTCTGGCACTGAGTGGGCTGTACGTAATGTCAGAAGTAAAAGGATTGTTTTTGCAGATTTGTCGACTTCCCAAATGACACAAGATTTAATTTGGAACATTAACTGGACATTCCACTGACTTCACCGAAATCTGTTTCGAATGAAAACACTTTACGTAACAGGCTGGCAGGTCTGAGCTGCATGGAAAGGAACATGGTGGAGTTACAGTAGTAGTGGTGGCGGCAATTGGAGGAGGCTGCGGTGAAGTGTTTACTGAATAATAGTCACCAGAGGAAGACAAAATTCAAGTTTTAAAGAGCAGCACAGCTCATAAACTTATAGAAGCAGAGAGTTCCCCTTTTCTTTACTAGATGGCCTTGTGCTCTGTGGTGTTAAAGTATGAAAAAAAAAAAAAAAAAGATCACTGCCTTTGACCGAAGGCAGGACTAAATATGGACATTGTTAAGGCTGGCTGGGCTTTGATGCTCTGACTTTGAGGCAAGGATACTCTTACAGAAAGAAAGCAGTTGTTAGGATGAAAAAATACGTTCTCTGATTTCTCAGGAAACCGTGTTCCTGTTCGCTCTGTTCTGTGACTCATCATCAGAGGTTTTCTTGATGACTTAAGACTATAAAAATGAGCATCATGCTTCCCATGTGTACTTAACTGATGGTGAACTTTGTGGCTGATGTGTTTGGTGTTGACTACAGTTTCATTAATCTATTTTTTGTTTTGTTTGTTTTGCTCTTTAAATGTGGAGACGAATGAATAAACACATACACAATTTGTTGTCGTGCTTTGCCTTCTTATGTGGGTTCTTGTAGTCTTTAACAAACTCACCGCAAATTGTTGTTGATCATCCAGTTCAGATCCCAGTTTGGTTTTGTTGGGTTTGATAAATATCAGTGTTACACACATGCTAGATAAAAACCTCCATTTACATTGAAGAACTGCTCCCACTGATGTGAATCAGAGAGGAGACTGCTGCCACCGTGTGTTACATTTGTGGTAAAAGGAAGCACTCAAGTGTCAAGTGATCTCCGCCCCAGGCAGCAAGAGTTAGAACCTTGTGTCGAAGTAGATTGCAGTTGAAAAAATGTACTTACTTGCTTGCATTGCACACATGCAAGCAAGAGTAGAGGCTATTTTTCCCAACCAAGATTTAGACTGAGTAAATTTCCCTCTCATCGGCTTAGACCTCTTGAAAGAAATTCTATCTAAAACTGGGTGAAAATCTTTGAAAGGGTTAGTTGTAAGTCACCGACCTCATTATGTGATACTTGATCAGACAGCTATGGTAACAGTATCCGACCACTAGATGGAGATAACATGTCAGCCTGTGCACACCTGAGATTACCTTCAAGTGGCTCTTGGACATAATTGAATATCTTTTTTCCCCCTTGAATAGCCTATATCAAGGCATTTCAGCTCTGCTCAGTCCTTGACAGTCAGCCATAGATATCCTCTAGGATGCAAAAATGAAGGGAAATAACAACTAGGTTAGTGTTTGCACCTTGATATGACAGTAAAACTCAAAGTCACACTGCTCTCTAGTGATAACTGTGCGCAAATGCAACTGCGTCCTCAGGTATCAAGTTAGTGAGGAATGAGTATCTAAAAGTGTTACTTCCGTGGGCGAAACTTTCAAAGTAAATGTTTCAACAAAGACAAGTAGTCAGTCACGTAATGGAAGATGGCAGCAGCAAAAACGCCATAGTAAAGACAGATGAGATTCAGAGCAGGAGGCAAAAGATTGGTTTCTGAAAAATTATGTTAACACCGCGGCACTAGAGGGCGCTGTGGGCCGCCAGTGTTTGATAACGGGTCGCCGAAGTAAAGAGAAGAAGTAACCATCATGATTGTCTGGAAGCTTTGAGTCGGCAAACGTGAATATTTGGTCAAAGTGCACTTTTCAACCTCACTGCGATTAGTCGAATGAAATCGACACACATGTAAGGCATGTTTTAGTAGATTTTGGTAATCAAAAGACCACTAAACCTGAACAATGGCTGATGCGACGCTTGACAAACGCTAAAGCCGGCTAATAAAGCTAGCAGACGGCGCTGTTGCTGTGAGAATTGTCCTTAGCCGGCTTGTTTATGACCAGAGCACGTTATTTAGACTGTGTGACCTGTCATGAGAGTAAACATAATGTTTTTTGTTACTTCAGTTTTGTGTCATCGCTTGAAAATGAGTTATTTCGCTCAGCATTGTAGCTCATTGGTTGTAGAACCAAGACTTGTTTACTTTGGTGGAGGCATCAGACCTTTATGTTTGATCATTAAATTTTGACCCATGTTTTCTTCACATACAGAGTACTTCACACTGGAGTATGACCCAGGCTTAAACTCCTGTGATATTTTACCCTTTGCTTGATGAGTAAGATGAATCGCCCAAAGCCAACAACTCTCAGACGCCCCAGTGCGGCAAAACCATCAGGTAAAACATGATACGTAAACAGAATACAACCAACCACTCATTTAATCAGGATCAGACTCATATTGTGATGTCTTTTTTTCCCAGGCCACCCACCTCCAGGAGATTTCATTGCTCTTGGATCCAAGAGCCAGGGTGGAGAGCCCAAAGCACCCGCTGTGCTCCTGAAGCCAGCATCCTCAGGGTTACCTGCTGATCGGAAGAGAGAGCCGTCCTCCACCCTGCCCTCTACGTCAGGTCTGTCCAGCCTTGCCAAGCGACCTAAACTCTCCACCACCCCTCCAGTTAGTGCCCTGGGACGACTCGCTGATGTTGCAGCTGTGGACAAGAGAGCGATATCCCCGTCAATAAAGGAGCCGTCAGTGGTACCTATTGAAGGTAAACTCTGACTTCTCTGAAAAGCTTGTGTAGTGCGGAAATGGTTACAAAACTGATCATTACCACAGGTCTTAAGCTGTCCTTGTTTTTCAGTGTCACCGGCAGTGCTGCTGGATGAGATTGAAGCTGCAGAGTCAGAAGGAAATGATGATCGCATTGAGGGATTGCTGTGTGGAGCAGTGAAACAACTCAAGATGAACAGAGCGAAGCCTGACATCACTCTGTACCTCAGTCTTATGTTCCTGGCAAAAATCAAACCAAATGTTTTTGCAACCGAAGGAATTATTGAGGCAAGTTTCTGCTGCTGCATTATACCATTATTACTGTGCAACAAAAATCTTTCCATCCAGCCTTTGTTTTGTGAGTATATCCTTGAAAGTGCTGACTGTTTAAGCCTTACTTGGACATCTTCAGTGAAGTGGACGTTCTAGATGCTGTAATTGATCTATGTATTATTTGACTATCTAGGCTTTATGCAGCCTCCTCCGTCGGGATGCTTCAATCAACTTTAAGGCAAAAGGAAACAGCCTTGTTTCTGTTCTTGCTTGCAATCTGCTGATGGCAGCCTACGAGGAGGATGAGAACTGGCCTGAGATTTTTGTAAAAGTAAGAATCAAAGATAAACAGTCAAAGGGTTTTTTATAAAGTCCTCCTTATTTCACAACTTTCTGTGTTTCTTTTTTATTCTCCTTGCACTCAATCAACCTAATATATGTCTCCAGGTGTACATTGAGGACTCTCTGGGGGAAAGAATCTGGGTGGACAGTTCTCACTGTAAAAATTTTGTAGACAACATCCAGACTGCTTTTGGGACAAAGATGCCCCCAAAGAGCATGCTGCTTCAGGCTGACACAGGACGTGCCAGTGGAGATCTCAGTGCAGGTGCAGTCATCACAAAAACACACACTTTGTCACATGAATACTTATGGCTGATGCTGGAAGCAGGTTTAGACGGATTTTGCTGTGTCTGTGTAACATAGGAAGCAGCCCTCATCCCTCAACCCCTGATGAGGACGACAGCCAAACTGAACTTCTGATTGCAGAGGAGAAACTCAGCCCTGAGGATGAAGGGCAGGTTATGCCAAGGTAAAAAAGTACAAGTATTTTCTAGATGACAGGTATGCTTCAGTGTACAAAAAGATGTTTTAACACTGATTTCCTTGGAGATAAAACTCACCCCACATGTGAACTCCCTCATTTGTCGTATGCCTCAGGTATGACGAGCTGGCAGAGAGTGTGGAGGACTATGTGCTGGACGTCCTCAGGGACCAGTTGAACCGCAGGCAGCCCATGGACAACGTGTCCCGAAACCTGCTGCGTCTGCTCACAGCCACGTGTGGCTACAAAGAGGCGCGGCTCATGGCAGTGCAGAGACTGGAGATGTGGCTCCAGAACCCAAAGGTGAGTCCGATTTATCCTGAATGAAACCCTATTTTTAACATCTGTTTTTGCTGCGTCACACTAGCCTGAGTGTCCATGCCATAAATACTGGATTTAGTGAGACGTTTATGGACAACATTAGCACCCCTGAAGTTTGATGTTGTAATTGTAGGTGAATTCATTGCTATATACAGTTGTGCCAATACTTGATGAAATGAATTGCAAAGCTGAAAGGAATTGACATTAAGATAAGTTTGAGCACTGCTGTCTCTAAACATTAACTCACTCTCTTTGTTATTGTGTTTGCATAGCTGACTCGACCAGCCCAGGACCTCCTCATGTCCCTGTGCATGAACTGTAACAGTCATGGAGCAGACGACATGGAGGTTATCTCCAACCTGATCAAGATCCGCCTCAAACCCAAAGTCCTCCTAAACCACTACATGCTGTGTGTCAGGTCTGTGAGAGTCTCAGTAGGGGTGGGAGAAAAAATCGATACAGCAGCATAGTATGGTGATATTTTTTAATATAAAGTCAAATCTATGATAATGGAAAAATAAAATTAACTGTTTGTCCAGTGAGGTTGGCAGAGGTGACATCATAGAGCAAAAGAAAGTTAGTACCACAAATATAGCAGCACCTGGGGAAAGACATTAGGAATGCAAGCAGCACACAAATGAGATGGACCTTACACATAGGGTTTGCAAGATGTGCTACATGAAATTAAAATATTATGCAAATAAGACAAACTAAAAGGAAAGACAAATGCTTAAGTAGCTAAACTGTTGAAAAAATTGTATAAATTGCAATATATTGTATCACAATACTCAGTGTATTGCAAAATGTTAAAAACAGCAATAATATCGTGGCATGGCCCAACTATCACAATAATATTATATTGTGGCCCAAGTATCACAATAGTATCGAATCATGGCCCGCCATTGTGATAATATTGTGTCATGGCCCAAGTATCACAATAATAATGTATCATGGCCCAAGTAATAATAATAATGATAATAATTCATTTTATTTGTACAGCGCTTTTAAAAACACTCAAAGACGCTTTACGTAGAACGTAAAACCCAAGATAATAAAACAGAGACATGAAAACAGTAAAATAAAACAGTTAAATATTAAAAGCAATTTTAAATAAGTGAGTATTTAAAAGGGATTTGAAGGTAGTGGGGTCAGGGCAGTGTCTGATGGAGGGTGGGAGGGAGTTCCAGAGGGTAGGGGCAGCTGTGGAGAATGCCTGATCCCCCCAGTACTGTGATAATATCGTATCATGGCCCAAGTATCGTGATAATATTGTATCATGGGGCCACTGGTGATTCCCACCCCTAAGTCTCAGTATGGTTGATTTTGACATGTTGCTACACACAGTGACTCCTACTAACAGCTGCTTTTACTACCCAGAGAGCTGCTCAACGCTCACAGAGACAACCTGGGCACTATGGTGAAGCTGGTGATCTTCAATGAGCTGTCCAATGCAAGGAATCCAAACAACATGCAGGTCCTGCACACAGTGCTGCAGCACAGTCCAGAGCAGGCTCCCAAGGTGAAATAAAAAAGAAAGAAAACAACATAGTATGTTGAAATGAAACCATTTCTTGCTTTAACCTGTGTGTCAACCGCCTCCCTCTCTCATGTTGTGTCGTAGTTCTTGGCCATGGTGTTCCAGGACCTGCTCACCAATAAGGACGATTACCTCCGGGCCTCCCGAGCACTGCTGAGAGAAATCATCAAACAGACTAAGCATGAGATAAACTTCCAGTCTTTTTGCTTTGGTTTGATGCAGGAGAGGAAGGAGGCAACATATGTGGACATGGAGTTTAAAGTAAATAAACCTGATGATATAATCCCTAACATCTGCTTTTACACTGCAAACCTGACTCTGACTTGTTCTTGTTCCTTATCTATCCTGCAGGAGCGTTTTGTCATCCAGGTGACAGATTTACTCACCGTCTCCATGATGTTAGGCATCACCGCTCAGGTCAAAGAAGCTGGTATTGCTTGGGACAAAGGAGAGAAGAAGAGTAAGTGCTGTTTTTTCTTTTACTCCATCATATTTTTCTATTGTCACAAAACGCCTTGAGCACATCTTTTTTTTTTCAGATTTGGAGGTCCTGAGGTCGTTTCAGAATCAGATAGCTGCCATTCAGAGAGACGCTGTGTGGTGGCTTCATACCGTGGTCCCTACCATCAGTAAAGTTGGTGCAAAAGACTACGTTCACTGGTAAAAAAAAAAAATCAGCTGTTACCTTCATGTCCTCGCTTCCAAATACTTCTCAGCTCCTTCAAACATGATCTGTATTTTCCTCTTTGCAGTCTTCACAAAGTGCTTTTCACTGAGCAGCCTGAGACGTATTATAAGTGGGACAACTGGCCTCCAGAGAGTGACAGAAAGTGAGATTTCTTTTAGATAAATATTTTTTTTTGTGTTGCTAAAGTGTCACCTAACAAAGGTGTTTTTCTTTAATCCCTCAGTTTCTTCCTTCGCCTCTGCTCCGAGGTGCCTCTCTTGGAGGACACGCTCATGCGCATCCTTGTGATCGGGCTTTCTCGTGATTTGCCCCTGGGTCCTGCTGATGCCATGGAGCTCGCGGATCACCTGGTTAAGAGAGCTGCTGGCGTTCAGTCTGATGGTGTGTGACCATTTTTTATTAAAGTTACAGCAGTGAGGATTAATCTTTGTTTTAATCAGGGTGTTGTGGGTTTGTACCTTTTGATGGGATTCCAAAACTATTAAACCGACTGTTTGTGTTTGAGCAGATCTGGAGGTTCTGAAAGTGGAGAGGATCCAACTCATTGATGCAGTGTTGAATCTCTGCACATACCACCACCCAGAGAACATCCAGCTGCCTGCAGGGTAAGAAAACTACGGTCCTTGTTTGCTTTTCAAAGTGTACTCAAACCATACCGGAAATGACAACCAACCCTTTATGTTTCAGGTACCAACCTCCAAATCTGGCAATATCTACTCTGTACTGGAAAGCATGGCTACTGCTGCTTGTAGTGGCTGCATTTAATCCCCAGAAAATAGGTATAGTGATCCCAATTTACTATATCTGCACATTATCTACCCTTACGTATATATTATAATGTTTTAAATCCATGATCTTTTAAATTTCCCTTTCAGGTCTGGCTGCCTGGGATGGCTATCCTACTCTGAAAATGCTCATGGAGATGGTTATGACAAAGTAGGTGAAAAGTTTTTTTTTTTGTTTTAAACAGTTAATGTGTTTCTAGGTGAAGTAAGTGAGTGGATGATATACAACTAACTGCCATGTCCGTATGCTGCCACAGTAACTACACCTATCCTCCATGCACCATTGCGGATGAGGACACAAAGACCGACATGATCGGCAGGGAGCTGCAGATCTCCCAGAGAGAGAAACAGGAGATCCTGGCCTTCGAGAGCCACCTGGCTGCAGCCTCCACCAAACAGACCATCACAGAGAGCAACAGCCTGCTGCTGTCTCAGCTCACCAGTCTGGATCCCCAGTAAGAGAGCAGGGAGAAATTTTCTATTCAGGGCTCGACAGTGCAACTGTTTCACTCACATTTACGACTAAAAATAGATGTGTGCGAATTGTAAAATGTATTTAGAGGCACATGTGCTCATAAAAAAAATCAGCCCAGCAGCCCAGGCAACAAATGTTTTTTCATGTAAATACCGCAGTGAAGTTAGTTTTAGGTTGGATATTCACTGCAGTTCTACCGGTGTCTTCTCATCTCCACCGGGAATGGCAAGACCAGCACAGTTAAATTTACTCGACACATTCGCTGTCAACGTCGGGTGTTGAATAAGGGACCGTCAATAACGATGTTTTCAAAAAAGGCTGTTTTCCTTCAATAGCCTCTGTGTCATGTGACCAATTGACCTAAAATTGATTTCAGCTAATAGTACTTATGTTGACCAATAAGACACACCTCTTCATTTCCCTAATTTGTCCTCAAAAGATTTTTGGTGTTAAATTTAAAGGCAAATTTTGAACATTTTCTTCATCAGCTTCCATGTCATGTGATCAAAAGACCTGAAATTGAGTTCAAATAATAGTACTAAGTTCAGACAATAAGACACCCATTAATTGATCAATTTTCATTGTGCCCCTAAAGTTCTTTGTGTGTTCCTTACTTGTTCAACGTATGAGCACATGTGCTCCTTGAGAAAAAAGTTAGTGTCAAGCCCTGTTATGCAGCATGTTAAAAACGTGATTAAGAAACTTTTTTTTTTTTTTATTGAATCAGAGAAAAAAAAATCCTGACAAAAGAATCAACAGTCCTGTATTTTTTTCTGATGATATCTTAAACCTTTGGTATAAGTGTTTATAAAGCTGTTTTTCTGGTAGTGAAACTTATTGTTGGTGTGTGTGTTCAGGGGTCCGCCTCGTCGACCTCCTCCTCAGGTCCAGGAACAGGTCAAAAGCCTCAACCAGTCTCTACGTTTGGGACATCTTCTCTGCCGCAGCCGCAACCCTGACTTCCTGCTCAACATCATCCAGAGACAGGTAATGAACAAAACTGAGAGTAACACCTCCAGCTGACAGAACAGGGTGTTTCACTATCAAATCCTGATGCGGCTCTGAACCTGCTCCAGATAACAAGAATTAACATTTTATTTGTCTTGTTTTGACATCGGCCTTTTACTCAAGTTCATTTTCCTTTTTTCTCAGGCTTCCTCTCAGTCCATGCCGTGGTTGGCTGATTTGGTCCAGTCCAGTGAGGGGTCCTTGGATGTCCTTCCTGTGCAGTGCCTGTGTGAATTCCTTCTGCATGATGCTGCTGATGACAGTTTGCCAATAGAGGATGACGAGGAAGGAGAGAGCAAAGAGCAGAAAGCCAAGAAGAGACAAGTAAGCTGATGAAACACCACCAACACCATATGATTTATTCTGGATCCTGTTTTTTAATGCTCGGTTGCAGCTTAAGCTAACTCTGAGTTTTCTTCCGTTTCTTGTTAGAGACAGCAAAAACAAAGGCAGCTGCTGGGGCGTCTCCAGGATCTGTTGTTGGGTCCTAAGGCTGACGAGCAGACCACATGTGAAGTGCTGGACTACTTCCTTCGACGCCTCAGCTCCTCACAGGTGGCATCGAGAGTCCTGGCAATGAAGGTGAAGAGTTAGAAGCAGAAATGATCGCCACTTAGGTCGCTCTGCATTATAAAAAAGAATGATGTCATTTACTGTTTGTATCTGTGCGCAGGGTTTGTCTCTGGTGCTGATTGAAGGAGGCTTGAAAGATGGAGAGGAGCGGGATCAGCCTATGGAGGAAGACTCTGGAGATGCTGAGCTCTTGCCTGGCTACCAGTGGCTACTTCAAGACCTCCCAAAGCTGCCGTTATTCGACAGCGTCAGAGGCATGACGTCCACTGCTTTGCAGCAGGTTTGCGTCTCACTGGAAGTGTGATGAATAAACTTTCAAGACTGATCACTGTGACTTATGACGATATATCTGCTTCTTTTCTAGGCTATCCACATGGAGACAGATCCACAGACCATCAGCGCCTATCTCATCTACTTATCCCAGCATGCACCAGTGGAGGAGCAGGCTGCTCACAATGACCTGGCTCTGGTAATAACAAAAAGTTGCTTGAATTAGATTAACAGTGTATTGAAAGTGACGCCCCCTGACCTGCCAAATGTGAGTGAGGGCTCATTCACACCAGGACTGTTTGGTCCTTCTAAAAGGACCATGTTTCCTTTACCCCTGTGGTCTGGGTGGAATGAACGTGCAAGCGAACTGTGGTCCAGATCAAACAAATGGACCATGGTCCTCTTGAAAATGCCGGACTAGGTCCCCTTCCAAACGAACCATGATCCGGTCCACAGCGGTTGTAAACGCAGCGCTGATGCAGACAGACTTTTTCTATGTCAATATAAACCAATAACACATTTACACTGTAATAAAGCTGGGAAATTATGCCCTGCCAGAGGTTGCAGCAGATGGAGAACAGCGGTCAAGACACCGGACTGTCTGTTAAACTGGATGAATGGCAGAGGGTTTGAGTTCTAATACAATAGTCGGGGGATAAATATTAAATACTTGGATGTTCTTCTGTTCAAGCACGTTGACAATGTGTTAAAGGCATTAATTTGCATTGATGCCCGGCGTTTCCTTGCACAACGTCTCCGCCACCTCTGGTGAATTGCATGAAGCAAGATGAAGACAATAAAGACTGTGCTCCAAATGAGCAGGTGGCAGACAGTGATTTTCTCTCGTAGTTTTCCCTCTTTTTTTCAACCATTTGGTTCGCTTAGCAAAAGTCCCCTGTGAACACTAACCGGACCAAATGCAAAATGCAACAATGTAAACACTTGGTCCCTGATCTGGACCTTCTAAATGGACTTTGGGTGAGAAAGGCCTCTGAGTTTCAGCTGTGCAGGTAGCAAAGGCACACCCACTTGCCACTTTTGGGGGGATAAAATTGATCGATATTCTTCGTACATTGTAGTCTCCTTAAAAAGCATCTATAGAAATTTCTGTAGCTCATCCACTCACTACGCAATCATTCATTGCATTCTGCCAACTGCATGTGACAACCTGTAGTGCATCGAACACGCTCTGCTGCAAGTGTTCAGAGAGGGAACATTTATCGTTATCGAGGTGAACTGCTCAATATATCGTGACATTGATTTGGGGCCATATCGCCCTGCACTAGTTGGTAGCTAAAGATTTGATGTGAAGCCCTGATCCCCCTTTCTGTTATTTCACGGAGAAGCTCTGACATTAATCTCATCCTCCTTCTCTTCCTGTAGGATGTTGCCAGACTCATCGTGGAGCGCTCCACCATCATGAACAGCCTCTTCTCCAAACACTCCTGCAGACCTGAGTCTGACGCTGTTCTCAGTGCCTTTCTCACCATTTTCTCCACCTACATCAAGAGGATGAGGAAGACCAAAGAGGGAGAGGATCTTTACAGCTGGGTGAGCACTGACTGAAGTTTTGGTTTTGAATCATCATTACGACTGTGTCTCACTTTGAAGTTATCCCCTAACAAGCAAAACTCAGAGGTGTATTTTATTTAAAATGCACAGTCAGATCTTTTTGAAGTCAAAACAGCTGTAGTGATTTAGTGGATCAGTGATCTCCCGTTTAGCTTTGATTCTGCAGCTGAAGTTTCTGCCGTCTTTTCAGTCCGAATCTCAGGATCAGGTGTTTCTGCGCTGGACCACAGGAGAGACTGCCACCATGCACATCCTGGTAGTCCATGCCATGGTCATCCTGCTGACTCTGGGGCCTCCCAAAGGTAGTCCTGTTCACATCACAGTTCAGTGCTGAAGGGACTTAAAGAACATTTTCATCATTGTGTTTCTTTTTTCACAGGAGAGAGTGACTTCTACGCTCTTTTGGACATTTGGTTTCCTGACAAAAAACCCTTACCCACCGCCTTCCTGGTCGACACATCAGAAGAGGCCCTCCTGCTTCCTGATTGGTTGAAACTAAGAATGATCCGATCAGAAGTTTCTCGACTGGTTGATGCAGGTACAAAAAAAAATCTTTGGTTCTCACTTTTTTGATACATTTTAAACTTTTAATAAAAAAGTCTGGCATCCCTCTCTCAGCTCTCCATGACCTGGAGCCTCAGCAGCTGCTGCTCTTCGTCCAGTCCTTTGGTATTCCTGTATCCAGCATGAGTAAACTCCTGCAGTACCTGGACCAGGCGGTCTCCCATGATCCTCAGTCCCTGGAGGAGAACATAATGGACAAGCGTAAGAGTGTTTTGCATACCCCACTATAAAACACTTTGAGATTGACGGTCTTGAGGTATTTAAAATCTGTCTCATCTATCCTGCGGCAGACTACATGGCTCATCTGGTGGAAGTGCAGCACGAGCGAGGCGCCACTGGGGGGCACACTTTTCATGCTTTACTGAGCTCGTCTCTTCCTCCAGACAGAGGTTTGTGACGTCAGCTTTTAAACGTTTAACGTGAAGAAAATGTTATTGCTCATCATATTAAAGCGTTCAAGAAAAATCTGTTTTTTTTCCCCACATATAGTCTTGACCTGAAACTGACGTGAGGTAATATGTGTTAATAATCTTGTTAACCGTCTGACCTGACAGATTCTGCTGAAAAAAGTAAAGTCAAAGTTACCATGGAAACACCCCACAGCTCCGTCAAGATGAGAGCAGCCACTCAGCTTCCTGCTGTCGGGCCAGAGGACGATCTAACTGGCATGTTACTTCAGGTGCGATTTACTTCTTTGAATATCATTTTTGACCTCCAAACAAAAGCTCCTCTTATGTTTATTCAAACTACTCTGAATAATTTAATTGTCTTACCCTCTTGTTTTGATAGATATTCCCCTTAAAGGTGGACCCCCGCTGGCACGGCCCCCCTCCCAGCCAGCTCTCTTTGGCCCTGCAGCAGGCTCTGGCTAAAGAGCTGATGCGGGCCAAGCAGGGACAGATCCAGCAGTCCGGGTTGGCATTCAGGCTTCTCCAGGCCATCGCAGCTCTGCTTTCGTCTGCTCATGCAGGGCCCATCATCATGTCCATGCATCGAAGCCACGCTCTGTCCTGCCCCCTCATGCGTCAACTTCACCTGTATCAGGTAAAGGCTCGCTGACAGTCAGCGTATCTTTCCTGTTAAGTTCATGAAGTGTGAAACTCTTTTTCTCTTCTAGCGCCTGGTGTCGCAGGACATCGCTTTCTCCTCACTGTTCCTCAAAGTTGTTGTCGAGATGTTAATTTGGTTGGACAATCCAACTGTGGAGGCAGGACCACTGAAGACCCTGCTCAAGTCCTTCGCTGGGCAGACCTCTCACAAACACAGACACAGTGACGGTAAGAGCCTCATCTTATCGTAGTTTTATTCATCTTAATACGAACTGTGTGTGATGACTGCTTCTGCTCTGCAGTGCGTACAGGTTTCCTCCACCTGGCTGAAGCTTTGGCTTATCAGAGGGATACTGAAGTGCCACTGAGGGCCATTATTGCGATGCTGAAGGCTGGAGACAGATGTAACGCAGAGCCCGAGCTCATCGGAAAAGGTGTTTATTGTTGAGACGAGAGTGTGCTTTGGTTTTGACTAAACATTTCAGATGTTAATCACATTGTTTCGGGTTGCTTTGGAAATGATTGGTTAATGTGAGGAATAATTGATCAGGTTTGATTTCAAAGTTTGTTCAAAACACATTCAGTCATACTTTGAAAATGTTACAGTCAATTTTCTGAGAGTGTAAAGTCGACGTCTAAGCATGGTGTTTATTGAATCCCAGTGTTGCAGGGTCTGGTAGAGGTGAGGTCGCCATATCTGGAGGAGCTTCTGTCGCTGCTGATGACTGTTGGAACACAGAATGGGACAGCTGGCCCTGTTGCCACGGTTATTTCTCTGCTGCTTCAGGAAAGCGAGGAGCGAGCCGTGAAAAAGGAGGCCGAGTCTAACAAGTGAGCACAGAAACGCTTTTTCTCTTACAAGTCCCTCAAGAAACATTTACATGGGACAGAAAGTGAACGACAAATTCAGCTGTCACGATAAGATTTGCCATTCTGGTGGTAATGATAAAAGTCTCGGTTAAGAAAATATATTATTATAATCACAATCCATGTTTTTGATTCATTCTGTCTTGAGAAACCCACAAACATGTTCATGGATGGCACTTATCAGTTGGTACAGTCAAATAAGACACTTGACCACAAGTTTAAGTGGTAGGTTATGGAAAAAACTGGTGACATCAAACAAGTCTGAAATGTAAAAACACTTTCAGCATTTATTCAAAAATCTTATTGGACGAAGTGAACAGCAGCAGATCCCCTGTCCGATGTCAGGCATACCTGACTGCACTCGTCTAAGCTTCAATCTTCACAACCTTCGGCCATGTTTGTTTGTTATTCTGATCTGTGTGAGCTACGGCTGTGAGTCCATTGCTCATGTTTACGTCATCAACTTTTTTAACTACAGACTTTATAGACATTATAACGGAAAAATATTCTGCATTTTACTTCAATTGGATTTGGATGAGTAGACATGTAAATGTAGGAGACAGTTGATTTGCATTATGTGTTTTTTTTTTTTAATTGTAGGGTATCCCTACAACATAACAAGCAGAGACTTGTAATTTGAAAGAGTTGTCAGAAGTCATATTGGTTCATTATGAATTGGTTTAAACAAAGCTTCATTCAGTAGTGATTTCAATCAAGTTGTGGACATCTACAGTGTTTGTATTCAGAGCATGGTGAGGCTCAGTTTAACCCTCGAATAATATGAATTATGTTTGGCTGATTTAGACTTAGATATGGATAAATCAATAAATGTTGAGCTGCATCCTCACATGGGTAACCTCTCATTTCCATCTTTGCTTCCAGCTCTGAGGTGACCAAGTCAGGACTGAGCTCTGGGCTGATGGTTGACTGGCTGGAGCATCTTGACCCTGAAGTCACTTCAGTGTGTCCAGACCTTCAACAGAAACTTCTGTTTGCCCTCAACAAGGTAAAATCAGCATGCCTGCAGAATTTTCTTTTTTCTGATTGATCAGCTCTTCTGACGCCTCCTGTTTGACTGTTTAATTGTTCCAGACCCGAGGAACCCCTGCGTACAGACCATATCTCCTGGCGTTGCTTACGCATCAGTCTAACTGGTCCACCCTCCTGCAGTGTATCAGTGCTCTTCTCAGCAAACGCAGAGACTACAAGTACTCTCTCTTTTTAAAATAAGCTTGAATTTTTAAGAGTAGTGAGTCCACATACAGTGTTTTTCCTCTTCTGATGAGATTGCATCAAACATCATATTTCTTTGAGGTTCTGAGAATTTACCATTTTCATGTTTTTTCAGACTTGACCCATCATCTGCTCTGGACTTCTTGTGGGCGTGCAGCCATATCCCACGTATCTGGCAGGGACGTGACCAGAAGATCCCCCAGGTATGATCAGAGCGAGCGCCAAGAAGCAGAATACCCCCCTGTCTGTTTTCTTTCTTTCTTTCTTTCTTTTCTTTCTTTCTTTCTCCTTTCTTTCTTTTCTTTCTTTTTCTTCTTTCTCTCTTTTTTTCTTTCTATCTTTCTTTCTTTTTTCTTTCTTTCTTTCTTTCTTTCTTTCTTTCTTTCTTTCTTTCTTTCTTTTTTCTTTTTCTTTCTTTCTTTCTTCCTATCTTTCTTTCTTTCTTTTTTCTTTTTCTTTCTTTTTTTCTTTCTTTTTTCTTTCTTTCTTTTCTTTTTTTCCCTCTTTCTTTTTTCTACCTATCTTTCTTTCTTTCTCTCTTTCTTTTCTTTTTGTCTTTTTCTTTCTTTCTTTCTTTCTTTCTTTCTTTCCTTTTTTTCTTCCTTTCTCTCTTTCTTTCTTTCTTTCTTTCTTTCTTTCTTTCTGGCTTTTTTCTTTCTTTCTTTCTTTCTTTCTTTCTGGCTTTTTTCTTTCTTTCTTTTTTCTTTTTCTTTCTTTCTTTCTTTCTTTTTTTTTTCTTTCTTTTCTTTTTTTCCCTTTCTTTTTTCTACCTATCTTACTTTCTTTCTTTCTCTCTTTCTTTTCTTTCTGTCTTTTTCTTTCTTTCTTTCTTTCTTTCTTTCTTTCTTTCTTTCCTTTTTTTCTTTCTTTCTTTCTTTCTTTCTGGCTTTTTTCTTTCTTTCTTTCTTTCTTTCTGACTTTTTTCTTTCTCTTTTTTTTCTCTTTTTCTTTCCTTCCTTCTTCCCTTCTTTCTTTCTTTCTCTTTTTCTCTTTTTCTTTCTTTCTTTCTTTCTTTTCTTTCTTCAACATTTCTAATTTATCGGTTGGAAGGAAGCAGTAAGAAGATAACCAAGTGCCGTTTTTTGTGTGTGTGTCTTTGCAGAAGAAAACAGAAAAGTTTGTGCTGCGTCTCAGTTCGGAGGAGCTCATCAGCTTGGTGGACCTGATCTTGTCAGAGTCAGAGCTCAACAGTCGGGACTCACCCCTTGATGACAAAAGCAGCCTAGACCAGGCCTCTTCCTCCCTTATCCAGTCCAGGCTGCCCCTCCTTCACTCCTACTGCAGCGGGGAGCTGGAAAACATCAAGAAAGTCTCTGAGTACCTCATCAACTGCACAAAGAAATGGGAGGATAGGTAAGCTCGACTTTTCTAATCTCTCTCCTCGCTCCTATCTCATCCCGTCATAATCAAAAGCGCGTATGCTCATCACATTTTGTCATATACGGTTCACCACAGTGCTCGCCTGTTCATTTTGACACGTCGCATTGTTCCATCTAATTAGCAGAAAGTCATTTTTTCCTTGTAACCGTGTGCTGATAAACTTGGAGGAAATCGCACTAGATTTTCCCTCTCGGTGCAGATGAACTTTTTCGACTTCCTCTGTCTGCCTCAATGCTGCGGACCAGGGAAAACTCGATAATTAGGTCTATTGGTGTGAAATTAAAACCAGCAGAAGTCGTCTGTACTGTGATCTCTTTAAAAGCTCAGTGTATTATAATGAAGCCAAGAGGATTAAGGCTGGAGCTCTAAACTTGCCTGTGTTGTGAATTCCTGCTCTGACTTAGCTGTCAGAGATCAGGGTGCAACTCTTTGTGGAGTCAAACCCTCCTTTCATGAACATGTCTCTGCTTATTAAACCACTTTAATGAGGAAACTTTGGCCAAGGTCAAGCAAAATTAGCTCCCGAATTACAGTATTTTAAGTAGAGCTAAGCTGTCTGGTAAAAAAATGGTTGCTAGTGAAAATATATCAGGATAAAAAATAAAAAAAAACATGTTTAGAGGAAAAGGGTTTCGGCCTTGTGTTGAATAAACACTTTTAGCATTCTTCTTGTGAAACCTCGCTCTCAGATAAGCTGGTGTTTATTCCAATTACACACAAACTATTGAGCAAGCTCTGGACTCTCTCCTTTCGGTCAAGGTCGTTCTGATTCCCTTAATTCGTAGCTGTAATAAACTCTTCAGTAAGTAAAGAGTGCACATTTGAGCCCGGCAAGAGCCTTAGAGGATTATAGCAAACCACAGTGACTTGAAGGAAAACGCCCCAGAATTACACTACTCTATTCATGGACTTAGTTGTGTTTATGCACAATAATTATGTTGTTTTGAAACCGTAACAATGGAGAGGTTCTTTATCGAGCTTTCACATCTCGCATCAGCTCTGTTAGTAATCTGTTCAAAGAGTCGGGAAATGAAAGGAAAATGTGAGTTTAGTCCACTTAAGTTTGAAAAAAAAAACTTTCAATGGCTGCACAAAATGGACAACCAATCACTGTCAATTACAGCGCTTTAAGCTACACAACTTAATAATATGAGGGATTACAGTCGAGCTTATTTTGTCACTAAGCTTCTAGCTTTGCCCTGGGCAGCCACACTGTCTTAAAACAGCGTTTCCTAAAGTGAATTTCTGTAGTTTGTTACTTTTCTCTTCGTGTCTTACATCAGATACCATAAACACGTCATTACGTTTGCTCTGTCCTTTAGTGCGATGAGTAAGCGGTGCCAGAGCCTGCTGCTGCAGATCTATCTGCACTTCCCAGAGGTCATCCAGCACGTCACCCTGCCTGAAGGCACCTTCAGCAGCGGAGGGGCTGCGTACGGCGGCAGCTGCAAGGTAAACAGCTCCAGCTTGTTTGAAAGTACCGTCCTTAAATCAGCGTAAATGTGACTGATTCTGATATTTGACTTTTTTTAGCCACGTCACACTACAAAGGAAAAATGATGTTTGTTCAATCTATAGAGGAAATTGACACTTTATTTGATGCCTATCTCTATAACGCATTATAAATATATGTATAATGAGTTATAATCACATTATAACACTGTATAACTATAATTATAAACACTCATAAATGATCATAATGCTTTATAGCAAAAATCAAAACACATTATAAAGTATTTTATCATGACTTACAAGGTGAGGTATTGTAATGTGTTATAACTGTTAACAACAGTTGCATTGCGTTATCTATGTGGGCATTGTCAGTGAGTTGTTAACAGTTATTACACATTATAATACCTCACCTCGTAAGTCATGATAAAATGCTTTATAATGTGTTATGATTATTGCTTTAAAGCATCATGATCATTTATGAGTGTTTATAACTATAGTAATCACTGTAATGTGATGATAACGCATTAAAAATATATTTATAATGCGTTACAGAGATAGGCGTCAAATAAAGTGTTACTGAAATGGAAGCTGGATATTTTAGAGTTGAAAGTCTTGAACATTTGCCTTCAAAATCATCCCAAATGAAGGCTTATGTCTCTCATAATAGACCAAAAAACAGATAACCTGAGCCTCATCTGTGCATACTCTACAGGAGTCAATAATCTTCATGTAACTTTAGTTCTGATGTCCTCTTCTTTTGATTATATTATATCTTATAAAGCAAAATCTGCATGTATAATTATTTCTGCATGTATTTGCCCTCAGCTTGATGTCCTGGTGCATCGCCTGGTTACGCTCCTCGCTGATGTCGGCGAATCAAAGTCTGCTGAAAACCGAGCATCTGATGCCAACCTGGCCTGCAGAAAGCTGGCTGTGTCACATCCCGTCCTTTTGCTCAGGTGAAGAAAAGCTGAACTTCTTTCAAGTCCACCGGACCCTCTGGTGCCATCAGCGAGGGTTCAGTTTACTGACTGTTACTTTTTTTCCTTTCTAGACACCTGCCGATGATCGCAGGTCTCTTACACGGTCGCATTCACCTGAACATGCAGGAGTTTCGGCAGCAGAACCACATGACCTTCTTTAGTAATGTGCTCGCCATCCTGGAGCTGCTGCAGCCACTTGTTTTTCACAGCGACCACCAGAGGGCGCTTCAAGACTGTCTTCTGTCCTTTATGAAAGTGCTTCAGGTGAGCGGCTGTATTATCATCACCATATGATTTATAATTATTGTATTCTGTGAGCTAAACATCTGAGTTTTACTCTATTTATGAATGTTTCTGCTTTTTTTTTATTTCATGTAGAACTTTCAGAGGACTCGTTCTCCGTTGCTCTTCATCAACAAGTTTCTGCAGTTCACACAGAAGTACATCACTCATGATGCAGCAGCTGCCATACCTTATTTACAGAGGCACTCTGGCATCCTGCAGTAAGCAAATCATGACCTTTTAAATATCATGAAGGATTTAGCTTTTTTTCCCCCATCTTTGTAAGTGATTGTTTGTTTCACTGTTTCAGGACTCTGTGCGCGGAAAATCCAGACCTGGTTCAGTTGAAGTCTCTGCTGGCTGGACTCACTCTGCCGGTTAAAAGTTCTTCCACTGAGATAGCTCCTGAAGAAGGAGAAGGTGTGTACAGAAAAGTTTTCTGATTTCATGGTGTGGTAATGAATAAAAAAGTAATTTCAAGAATGATAAAAGTAACATACATGTCATTTACAATTGTTAAATATTTTTATGGTTAATTCAAGGATCTTTTTGCTCCTTTTCAGATGACATGGCCACTGGCTCCCTGCCCCTCGTCAACATATCTGCCTCGGTTTCCCTGAGTGCAGCTGACATGACAATGTACCTGAAGAAGATGTCGAGAGGAGAGGCAGTAGAGGGTGACTAACATACCGCCGCAGCCGCTTCACCTACACCTGTATAAATCCTGTATCTCCATGAGTAATTTGCTGTTTTTTTTTCTCACTCTCTGCTATAGATGTGTTGGAGGTGTTGACAGAGGTGGATGAGAAGTCAAGGAGGAGCCCCGAGATCATCCAGTACTTTATCGTGAGTCATAAACAGAAACAAAAGAAAAAAAGTGTAGTGTGTGTGCATATGTGTGTAGCGTCCCAATCACCGCTTTGTGTCACTGTTTGTAGAACGATCTGCAGAGACTCATGGCTTCCTCGGAGGACTTGTGTCGGAACATGGCCTTCAGTTTGGCCCTGCGCTGCATCCAGAATAATCCCTGGTAAGATAACAACACTCTTAAGACAAACAGAAGAAAGTGTTTCTAAGTTAATGTTCAGTAATTCCCTGACTTTTCTCAGTATGTCTACATTTACAAACGGTGTTTTTTTTTTGTCTTTGTCGCAGCCTTGCAACAGACTTCCTGCCGACTTTCATGTACTGTATGGGCAGTGGGAACTTTGATGTTGTACAAACGGCTCTCAGGAATCTTCCAGAGTATGTGCTTCTCTGTCAAGGTAAGAGGATATTCTGCAGCACTCTTTTTTTTTTTCTTTTTTTTTACCCTAAGCTGCAGTCACTTCTGCACCTTCTTCTGTCATATACTCTCTTAACTACACCTTATTTATAGCCAGATTTTTTAAAGTAAATACCAAACCAAAATCCCTGTCACATTTAGGACCATGGCTAAATGCTGTTATGTGTTTTCTTTTCTTTTTTTTTTTACCCTCACAGAACACGCAGACATCTTGCTTCACAAGGCGTTTTTAGTGGGAATCTACGGACAAATCGACACCAGTTCAATGATCGCCGAGTCGATGAAGGTCCTTCACATGGAAGCAACCACGTAACCTGAAAAAAGCACTCCACTCCACGACAAATTGAAAACGGTGTCATTCATTCGCCGCATTCCAGAGCTAGATTAATATTTTTCTATTGTCTTTAGTCGCTAAATTGCTCTAATTTGATCACTGCAGATTAAAGTACGCCGTGGCTCTTGAGTGTTACAGATGAAAGGGTCCTGCAGTGAGCTGGTAGTAATATAATAACTTCTGGATCATTTAATGACTTCAAAGTGTTTCAATTTCCTTTCAACGATCTGAAAATGTAATAATTAAAACCATAAAAATGGCTGCTTTTGTACTAATTCCATAATTAAAGCATTTATTACTTTTCAAATGTCGTAAGCTATTTTAAATTAATGATGTACCACAGAAAGTAATAATGAGAAGAGAAAAGATGTGAAATACTGTGAGGTGATTGTATTAAATTCGTTCATATGAGACTCAGTAAATAAACAGGAAAAAAAACTTAAATATAGAAATTTGCTATTTTAAATATTTCAGTCATCCAAAAAGAGAAATGAGAAATTAAATATCACATTTTCATCCATCTCAGAGGGAGCTTTTTTTGTTTTTAATTAAGCAAATATTCAATAACGTAGAAATTATTACTTCTACACAGCTCGTGTCATTTTTGTCAGCTTGTTTGAAAAACTTTGAATATGCAGTCAGTTCATAATCAGGCTCTTTCATATTCAAGTATTTTTAGGTCTTGTCGAAAAGGCAATATGGTACTGTAATTTTCTTCTAAATTTAGTGTTAAAACTCTAAAATACAAACTGGACTAAAACTTGGTATCATGAAACCAAACTCTGTGATTAAATTCAAGTTAAAAAGTTTATTTTCTCAGGTTGAATTCTTTAAATAGTTTAAATAAATCTGCTATGAACATCATCCATGAGCCACCTCCATATGAACTTAATTCAATGATTTCTGGAATATTCCGATCTCAACCTGTTTTGCCTGATTGAAAGCAACATCAGCACCTCATAATTTTACTGTAAAAAATTCTAAAACCAGATTTTACAAGACCTCATTATAACCATTCAGAATAATACTTGAGCTTGTAAAACAAGATGGAATGAGGGAAGTAAATGACAGTATGTTACTGTAATTTTCTTCTTAATTTAATGTTAAAACTCTAAATTCCAAACTGGACTAAAACTTGGTATCATGACACCAAACTCTGATTAAATTCAAGTTAAAAAAAAGCTTTTTTTCGAGGCTAAGTTTTTTTAAATAGCTGAAATAAATCTTCTATGAACATCTGCGAGCCTCCTTCATGTGAACTAAATTAAGTGATTTCCGGAATACTCCGATCGTAACCTGTTTAGCCTGATTGAAAGCAACTCCAGCACCTCACAGTAAGAGTTATAAAACCAGATTTTACAAGAACCAATTATAACCGTTCAGAATAACACTTCAGCATGTGAAACAAAATGGAATGTAGGGAAATAAATGGTGAAATATTTGTGGCTTTCCATTTAATCCCAGTAATTTGTGCATCCTGATAAGACTGGAAACAGCTGTCATAGGTACGCTCCTTCTTCACCGGCGTGTAACTGACAAATTAAAGGCACGGTGCGCATGCTGTGATGGAAACCATTTTGCCATGAAAGTGTGAGTTGTTTTGCCCAGTGCAACTGACTTCATCTGAAAACCTCTTGATGGAGTCAAAGGGGACAAGGTAAACTATGTGTGGGCATGCAGGTAAACTAGGAAAGAGCCAGTCTCTATTGACAGCAAATTAACCATGGCGGTAATTGTTCAATCACACAGACCAAAGGCTGCTTTCCAGATGGGATGTGGGTAGGAGGTTTTTACTGAACACACTGTTGCTGGTGTTTTGTTACATAGGAGGACATGGAGATGGAGTTTCAGGATGGTTAAGGATACGCAGAGAGGGTGAGACATGCCTACACTGGTGCATCGGTTGAATCTGCCACTCAGAAAATACAGCCGTTCAAGGTGATACACGGGCTGGATGTCTGACAGCAGAGTTTTTAAACTACATTAATGCAGCTGTGAGTGGAAGGCTGCTCAGACTTACTTCAAAATCAAAGTGTCTTTTAAAATTCAAGACACTAAACTTTCATCATACGGTATATATTTAACCTTTGTCTCCCTGACCCTCATACAAGCCCCCAAATCCACGTTAATGAATATTTATTCACACACCCTCTCTTAGAATTAACCTGCTCATATGTAAACCCGGCCCTGGTCTACCCATCACGCCTCATACCTGCTGATCTCTCTCTGCTGGCTCCGTCTGATGTGTTAATTGCACCTGTATGGTGTCCTATGACTGGTGGAAAGCTCTGTTTGTGGTTATCAATCAACTTGCGACACAAGTCCGAGCAGCCTGGGCTCTTGGTCAGGCGCCAGCATCCTATTGGCTGGGCAGCAGTGAGGCAGAACAGAGATGAATGACAGCTTAGGAGGAAGTGGTGTAAGGACGGGGGAGGAGGAGCAGGGGGGATTTGGACTGTTTCTGTGTGACAGACCCCTGACAAGTTAACAACCTCTGTTTTTCTGTATGATACCAGCTGTTGAGGCCTGACTTCCTGTTTGTCCTTTCACACTTAAATCATAAAACACCTTCAAAGTAAATGTGAACAAAGAATAAAAACAGAAAGGAATGAATTAGTTTCTTTTTTTTAGTGGAGTCATAACATTTTAACCAAAATATATTATACAATCAAATACATAGTTAAAAACCGAATTTGAATTTTACTCATCGGTTCTTTATATAGTGAAGACCTAAGTCGTGTTTAAAATATATTTATACTTCTAATGTTTCTGACCATTTTGACATGAACTTCAACTCCACAATCCTCATTTAAGCAAGCTAAAAATTCAGCCAAAACCAAAACATAAACAACTTTTACAAATAAGATTGAGCAAGATAACTTTTAACCCTGTTAATTATTTAACTAGATTAGAAAACTTTTGACCTCTGTATTTCAGTACCTTAAAGCACCTGTGAGGAACTTTAAAGTTTGAGTCAACGTTGGTGCCCCTTGTTGACAAAAGAGATCTTGCTGAACTTGTCCCCTCAGATAAGTTAAATCTCATCCTGATGACTTCTGGTATTCATTTATTGTGAATATTTTATGTGAAAACTATTCGGTTGACACCTACCCCCTGGCCACAGTTTCAGGCATCAAAAATGTGGATATAAAAATCGTCAATCTTGTCACTGATGATTTTATTTTCCTTTGGATATTCAAAGAAGTTAGCAAGATGAATTTCAGCTGTTTTCATTAACATTTAAAAACTCCTCATTGGAGCTTTAAGTTATAGCACTGATTACAAGGAGGTCTAACTTATCAAGCTAAATCCACATTAGGAGACGTCTGTTGCATGAGGACCCATTTTAATTAATCTCATGTTAAATGTATTGTGCTGGTGATCAGCGGTACTAAAAGTTAAGTAATGGCTTCTCCGCACTGACCGTGATAATGCAGACACATGGTCACCAGTTGGTCTTTCCTGCCCATGTGAGAGTGGACAGTGAGCGAGCAGGGAGAAGGAATGTGACCAGTGTTGGTTTCTTGGTTTCTTGGTGTCTATCCCAGCTTGAGGAGAGGCCCCGATGTGCTGCTACCTGCCCACGCACATCTGTCTGCTCTCCGTCTCCCTCTCAATGGCACCCTTGCCTTAGATCATCTCCTCTCCCTCCACGCTTGAGTTGCACTTGGCTTGCGTGGAAAAAATGTGGACCGTCTCTCGCCTCTCTTCTCTCTGGCACTTTGATGTCTCAAGTGTGATTGCTCTTGGATTGTGGCCGCTTTCCCTTGAAGGTTTTGACATGAAAAGCAGGCTGGGCTCTCAGGTTTATCCCATGACCAGTGATCCAGGACTAAAACAATCAGCCGGCTCACTGTGGGATACTATTACCAGGGAGAGTGAGGCACCAAGCATAGGGGCTTCCTCAGCCATGAAATACACTTTTCCTCCAAGTTACAAACATGTTTTAGGCGTGTTGATTGAATTAAGCCAACCCACGCTCTCGTTAATAGATTTAACTCTGAAGTTTGTGCTGGCCGCCAACACTGAAACACCAAGAGTCCATTCCTGGTGTGTTTGCACAGAAATGGACGACTGAAATGATTCAACATTAGTAATGAATTAAAAAGAAATGAAGCCGGTAATTGCAGTTAAGATTGACCCGATCTGATAAGTATGATAATGTGACATGTCATTAACAGCACAGGCACAAGTGACAACCCTTAAGCTTCACTTACACTTTCATTAAATATTGATCTTATCTGTGCTCATTGCTGCTCCAGCCTGCAAATTACACCAGATAGATATATTCCCATGACAGTGGAGCTGACGATAATCATCCATCTTGGCGTGACATTTGGCAGAACTCTTGTTTCATTCGCTGAAGTGCCATTGTAGTGGATGAGAAAGAATAATCGTGTGCAGTGTTCATGATCGCCATTATGTTAGATTGCATCTCCATCAGAATGAGGGCAGTCTGCCACAGTTAATCCACTTTAGCCATGTCTGTCAGGGAAAACAGGGGTCCTGCTTCATCCAAGTCAAAATGAAACTCACTGATAAAGTTTTATTAAAGAGTTCACACTAGTTTACAAATTTGTTTTAGTTAAATATTTGAACCTTTTGGAATTTTATCCATAACCAACATGCTTTTTCTTGTTTTTGTCTTGATTATTTTTGTCTCTCCGCTCCTTAAATATTTATTTAAGCCTCAGTGGGACATAGTGGACAGCAGTTAATTGTAAATGAGCTCTAAGAAACATTTGCACACTACACCAAATAAAGGATAAACAGCTTGAGAGTTAAATCGTCAGTCAGCTAGAGTTTTCAGAGACCAAAACTGAGCGAAAATCCCTGCATTCCTCATCTTTGAAGCAGTGCTTAAAAGTTATATGGTTTCTCTAAAATTACTGGGAATACAAGAAAACAGAGCTCAACACTGAGGTGTCAATAATATCTGTTTTTTTCTAAAATCAGGCTACCACAGGTCTAAAAATGAAAGTTTTTTTAGATGACTAAATTTAGACCAAGTTTAAACTAGCCAGCTAACACTGTACATTGCTCAACGGCTATCATAATTATTTTGTTTAAGTACTTGGAGATCAGTTATGCAACTCACAGTTGCTTTTTGAAATAAATAGTTATCGAATAATGGGTTAAAGCGCAACGTCTAAATTCTGTAAAAATATACAGAATCTAGACGGTTGAAATTAGGTCAAAAAAATAAAAAAAAATAGACGTCTAATAGCTGTCCATTTCAGTGGGTTAGAACCACAGAATAACAAATGAATGTGAAGGTATCTACCCGTCCCTCAACTCTGCACATACACCAGTCCCATTTATCTGTTCTTTGAAGGTGGTGTAAACTTGAACAAAGCACATCTCACTTTTCTGTCCTGTTATGACATCTTAAGTAGCCCCCGGTGCATTATCTGAGATCCAAAAACAGCACACATTAGAGGGGTACTGTTCTTTCCTACTTTGCAATGAGTGAAACAAGCTCAAACAAGTCCATTTCAAACTAAAGACATCTGAAGGACGTCCCGTTGATGGCTCTCTAAACCCATAGATAATGCACATTCTGACCCTGCAGCTGAAGATCTGCTAATCATTCGATGATTGCCATGCTAGCTGTGACTCTTCAGTGCTGCCTTGTCAGCAGGGAGCTAGAAATACCAGAGAAACCAATAAGTCCTGGCATTAGCCATTACTATTGTTGTCTTAAAGCCTCCTTCAATTACCGACAAGCAGCTCTTTTGAGCAGCCACTGTCAGAACCTCCCCCCACAGGTTTTTCACCAATTTTGTCCCTGATTATCTGGATCAATGGGCTTTAAAAGACCCAGGCAAAGACAAACACAGTGTTTTGGGGGTGCTGGGAGATGGGGTCTACTTTCAAACAGACCAGAAATCCCTGTAACTACCTGTGTACCAGGGACAAATGCAGATGGCTATTTAGCCGTCAGTTCCACCACACACTGTTTATTTAGCCGCAGCTCAGACCAGACACTTTTAATCTATTTAGCTTTTCACTGCAGAACTCGAAACCCGAGAAATTGTTTCTTTCAATCTTTGCCAGACTATTTCTTCACACACACACACACACACACACACACACACACACACACACACACACACACACACACACACACACACACACACATGCAGAGATACAAACAGACTGAAGGAGTAAAAGTTCTCCGCTAAGTTCATCAACTGGAGATTAGAAAGCCGGTGATAGAAAAAAATATATATTTTTGGATGGCAGGTAAAGAATTAAGTTGAAATTCTACATCAAGAGGATGTAAGAGATCTAGCCAGTTTTGCTTGACTAGATTACAGCATCTTGAGTTTTGGGCTTGGACTCAGGATGGTGTCCAGAGGAATGGCATGGCCGCCTTTAAAACCTGATTGGGTACCTTAGGGGCCATCTCTAAAGTTAACTTTCTGAGCTGTGTTGCAACAGAGTAATTGTAGCTTTCTTTGCATGTTCTGTTGGCTTTTAAAGGCACTGTGAGGAGTTTCTAACTGGTCGAGAAACAGGCTGAAACTAGTATTGATGGCCTTCAAATTCAAATAATACCATCAACAATATGGTGGATATTTTTAAGTGAAATTTTAAAACCAGACGATGGAGTTTTTGTCTTAAAAAAAATAATGAAATAAAAAACTTTTGCACATAAGGGCTAAAGATAAGGGGTATCACTTTGTTCACTGGGGGCGCCAAAGCCAACACAGACCAAAAGTCCCTCACTGAGACATATAAATGTAATATTCGTAAAAACAATAAATGTGTATAAACGGGGTTTGTTAACATTTTCTTGGAAGAGTTTGTATCCCGACTGTCCCGCATTCATCTATGTAAAAGCCTGAACATTTTTTCTCTGATGTGGAATCAAATTAAGAGGAAATAAACACCAGCTTTCAGTTCCAAAGAAATCCAAATTGCTCAGACCCACTCAGGCTTTTCTTCAGTGTTTGAACAGGTGTGGATGAAAGGGCCACAGGTGAGAGAGTTGCAGTTTTGGAAGAATGACCGTCCGGTGACTCACCTGATCTCTGATCAGCCTTCTCCTCCTGCAGAGGTCCTGAGTTGATCAAAGCCGCCTCAGCTCTTCAGTTCAGCAGTGACGACACTGACAGGTGAGTGTTTTCACCACCGTCTGAGCTGATGAGCAGTTACAGAGACATGTTGTGAGGTGAAATGTATCTACGGATTAATTGTCACACCTGTGTTTAATTCACATAGACGGTGCTGACGTTCATCTCATCAGGGATCCATCAACACTAAGCTACAGCTGCCGTACTCCGAGAAAAAAAGTGTTAATAATCTTCCTGTCTTGGATGTTAATGTGTTGATGTGCATGCTTTGATTTGAGATGGGAAAATCCTGTATCTGATGACAATGACTACTTTTATAACTTTACAAAGCTGGTAATATACCCTCACTTATTGTCACAGCACATTAGTCAGTAACAAAGTGTAAGACAGGATAAAACAAGTTAAAACACTTCATTGGTATTTAGGGAAAAAAAAAAATAAAAGATTTTTAGAGGCTCTTTTGTTGGCTTATATATAAACTTTTGAAAGTTGTATCCAGAGCAAGTTTGGTAACAAACTTACTTAAACCATCAGTTTTATCAATCAATCATTTTTTTATCTATATCTTATACACAAATATTTGAGATGTGCAGTGTGAGAAAACTCTGTAAATATATACAGAACAACCCTGAGTCAACAACAATCTTAATTTGTCAAATACAAGCTGCCATTATTTTTTCTTTTTAATGATTTTTAATTGAAGAATAATGCTGATGATAATGCATGAGAGGCTCCCTTATCCATTAACTACAATAACACAAATCATAACAATAAGAAACATGCTTCTTTTCTTATTATTTCAAGTGTAATTTAAAGATCAAAAGCGCCTTGTTGGAGTGAATAGTTGTCATTTTACTAACTGTAGCAGCTGATTTAAGCTCCAAGGCATTTACCAGATATTAATCTTCACATCAGGCTGTACTTTTCTCATGGTTATGATTCTATCCTGGTGGAGATGATGGTTATCTTGCTGGCTAAAATCAGGTGTGATTGAAGGATACTGTGATCTCAAAGAAACTCCTGTTATTTTGGTGGTAAAAAATAAACAGACTTATCAGCTTTTCACCTTGAGATAACAAGATCTTGAACGAATATCTTCTAAGTTGTCTGGTTAGAATCTCTGTGATAAATAAATAGTGGAAAAGGTCAAAGATAACAGGTATAAATGTAAACATTTGACCTCTTTTCAGTTTTAAATAGTTCATTTCTTCTGTTATACAATGATATTTGTGTTACTCTGGGGACTGTGAAAACTCCACCACTTCTTCTTGATGACATTGGAGCTTTTGTCCTGCATATCTTGAAAGGGTTAAAACACATTTAAAGAGTAAATCTGAGGTAGATTCAAACAATGTTCCCATAAATATTGAGTCAGTTTCAGGTTGGTCCTGTTGCAGAGGAAAGGGTGTTTATCTTTAAACCTGCTCCTCAGGGTCTGCTGCTTGTTTTCGTACCAGTAAAGTGAACAATTTATGTTCTCATTTTGTCTACTCTAATTTGTTCTCATTTATTTTGGTGACTTCTACACAGCTCAGATGAGAGCTGTGCAAATCCTCTAAATGGATACGTACAGCTCCATGGTTGAGTTTTAACACAATGAGCTCCTGTCCATCTACCTGAAGCTGAAGATGTTGCAACTTGTCCCAGGAAGGCAGAGGGAGACAAATATTCAATTACACATGCAGTGATTGTGAAAAGTAATGACAAATACAGCGTGCAGGGATGGAGTAACCCTGACAGTCCACAGAGAGATGAATCACAGGTTTGGTTTTCACCTGTGTCCTACAAAGCCAGTCCTGCCTGTGTTTAGGGTCATGTGATCAGGGAAAGGAGGGGGAGAGGACTGGAGAGGAAGAGTAGAAAGACAAGGTGAGACCACCTCCACCACTTAAATCTTACCTTTACTCCTCAGGCAACACCAAGAACCTGGGCCTGGCTTAAATAAACAACTCAATACAAGCAGTGGGAACAAGAACTTTTCACTCTCTGCTCTTTTTTCAGACTCTGGATGTTTTGATGCATTCAGAAAATCCAGCAACATCCTTTTGAGAGTCAACCTGACCCTCTCCAGTGGACAGACACTTCATTCTGGACTCCTATGAAGACTCTTTGGACATGTTTGGCCCAAGGCAGCTGGTATCTACTCTCCTGCCTGCAGTTTTCCATTCACCTTCAGCTCACTTTTTCCCTGCATTCCCAACCAGATTGGGCTCTCAACCTCAGATCCTGATCCCTGGACCCTTTATCAGCTATGAATCCCTGAGGACTTATCTGCAGCCTGAGCCGTGCAAGGAGGCTCTTCTGCTGGCCACACACTCAGTTGGGATTGGGCCACTCACAGAGGGCATAGGTGAGTACAAAATCTCAGCCACTGTTGTAAAAATAATGGGCTGATTCTTAAAACTGGATTCTGTGCGCCAAACTGGCACTGCAGAACTACAGTCTTTTGGATCATCAGTCAGCGCCATCTGATTCCAGTGTAAATGTTTACAAAAGATTAGCTAACAGCTCGTAACTAACAATCAATTATCAAGCAGTGTTAAAGTGGGCCTAATGATCGCTGCGTTAATTATCCAATCTAGAGCCATTAGTTGGTTGTCAGCCGTTGGCGATTGTGTAATTGGTGCTTGCGCGGTGCTTTCCAGATGAACAGAGGCCAGTGAAGCAGCGTCGTGCGCGGGCCAACTACAGCAGCTGGCAGCTGGAGGAGCTGGAGAAGGCCTTTGAGACCACCCACTACCCAGACATCTTCATGAGGGAAGCCCTGGCTGTCAGACTGGACCTCATCGAGGCCAGAGTGCAGGTAACTGGCACGCAATGTCAACTCTGCACTCATTCAACTTGTTTTGATATTACTGTGTAATTTTCAAATTAGACACCTCTTCTTCTGTTGCATGCCCAACACCCCCAGCTTTGGTTGACAAACAATTACTGAATTTAAAGGTGAAGCTAAGCCTTGCAAAATGCCTAATTTTGGAAGATTGCATAGATTTTTAATTTTTTCATAGAAGTCTAAAGCTATTTTATGTTACTACTAATTCTGAATAATTTATTTGCTAACACTTATCTTGACGCCTATCTCTATAACGCATTATAAATATATTTCTAATACATTATAATGATGTTATAGCACTGTATAACTATAGTTATAAATACTCATGAATGATCATAATGCTTTATAGCAATAATCAAAACACATTATAAAGCATTTTATCATGATTTACAAGGTCAGGTATTTTAATGTGTTATAACTGTTGACAACTCACTGACAATGCCCACATAGATAATGCAATGCAACTGTTTTAACAATTATAACACATTATAATACCTGACCTTGTATTTCATAATAAAATGCTTTATAATGTGTTTTGATTATTGCTATAAAGCATTATGATCATTTATGAGTGTTTATAACTATAGTTATACAGTGCTATAACGTCATTATAACGTATTAGAAATATATTTATAATGTGTTATAGAGATAGACGTCAAGTGAAGTGTTACCCTTTATTTATATCCAGGTTTGGTTTCAAAACCGCCGCGCCAAAATGAGACGACAGCTAAAACTCCAGGGCCAGCTAGCGGGACCTTATGCAAACAGAGACATTGATGAAACATCTGACAAAGCCGGCAGAAATCTTAAACAGCAGACAGAAAAGTCCGACAGGGAGCACTGGGAGAGACAACAGGAAGAGGACAACAATCCATGGACAAAAGCTGTGCACACTGCACTGGGTGTGTGCGTGCAGCCCGTGACCCAGAGGTCAGGGAAAAGGGAGAGACCAGAGGGGCCGAGCTCAGAGGGGCTGAGCTCAGAGGAGCTCCGCTTCAGCAGCATCGCCAAGCTAAGGGCAAAAGCCCGAGAGCACGAAGCTGAGATCCACAGCACTGTGAACACGACAGGGGGTGACGCACAAACACAGGAAGCTGATGCCATGCATGATGATTGATCATTTTACAGTCTTCCTGTTTGTTTGATCAATCGTAGCCAAGAAACAGTCATGCTAAATCCTTTCCAAACACTTTGTTTTTTGTTTTTGTATAAAATGTGATGTATTTTTTCTGAAAGTATGAACAAGATTTCATTCCTCTTTAAAAATTCTCTCAATGTGATTTTCTCCACCACTATCAAAGAGTTTTCTACAGTTTACTGGAGTTTGTTTAATATAATCCAACACAGTTTTGTCTATTTGGATAACAATCTATCAAATTGCAAGTTTTTGCGCCCCACTCTTAGTCAAAGTCATGCACATTATTTCATATTGTTTTATACTCTTAAAACTGTTAAAAATACTGATTATAAGGGAGACATGCTGTAAACTGAGTCTAATACAAATCACAGTGACAAATGAGGAAAGCTGTCTCCTCATCTTCTCAGTCCATCAGGGCTGAAACTGAATACAGTGAAAACATTTCCTGATGATTTCACCAATGACAGCTCATCCCTGACCTCTGAGGTTAAAAAAGATTTGCGCATGCAGCCACACGTCCTCACAGGAACAATGGGAGGCCAACAATGGGAGCTGTTGGCTGAAATCATGAAAAGTTTGTTCATTTCTCTATTTTTTAAACTAATACATACAAACACTTTAACGAACATTCAGAAGATGAAAAGAATGATAATACCATGAAAAAAAACATTGTTTAAAATAGCTCCTGTACACAAATGACAAAGTGACATGGTGAAACAATAATAAAATAAGGTGGTTTTGTAAAAGTTATTTCTAGAAATTAAAAACTACAAACTTGTAAAAGCTGATCAAAATATTAAACTTGAGAGTCTGAAAGGGTTAACGCTCCTTTATTTAGCTTTAAGTGCAGCCCACTGATTTAAACAGTATATTAACTCAGTGAAAAAGAAAACCATCACAGCAAGAAGATTTGATAAAATCATCAAATGTATCATTTTAAAATGTTTTTTTTTTGGAGCAGTTTTGCCCCTTCCAATCATCAGATAAAATCAGCACAATAGAAACTTTTATAAAGGAATCTAATTAACTTTAATTATTTTTTTAATTGTTAAAAAATGTTTGTTTTAAATCAATCAGATTAATAATTCAAGTTAAAGCCCAGAGTTTTAGAAAAGTACACCTGCACTTAAATGTTTCTATTATTTTCAATCTGGAGCACTTCCTATGTGTTTGCTGTCCTGAGTGACAGTCTTTTAACACTGTGGTGTGACACTGCCACCTTCTGGGCATGAAGACATCTTTGACCAGAGCAGGTGAGAGAAAAGACAACTCACATGCTTCTTTCTGCTCAGCTGTGCTCACACGTTATATATTTATACTGTTAGTGAATCTCATAGGCGTGTTAGTTTGTTGACGTACTTGGAGACCCTGAAGTTGTGACAATTAATAATTAATGTCTCACCGTGAATGAGGTCAATGTTGGTGGCTCACGTTTCAAAGACTTGAGCTCAGCTCTTGTCTGCAGGTTTGAACACCCTTCAATGACATCTTTGAGTCCAACTTTGACCATCTTTATTAAATGGGTCAGAAAAGAAGATTTTGTATCATTTTGTTTCAAATATGATGATTAATAATTAATTTATCATGCAAAGGTTTTACTATGTTATGTGACATTTTTCCTTAAAATTTTGGGACGCTGTATGTGCTCATTAAGAGGGAATTTATATATGACAATAGTTGCCCTCAATTAGGCCCCAATTAGGCCCCACACAAATCTGAATGAGGGGGGAAAATGCATGTCATAGATCCTCTTCCTGGTTCTCATGCTGCACATTGACCTGGATGTGCTGGACGAGATAGCGAGCCTGGTGTTTAATTACTGTAGAAATCCCACAGCATAGTTCTCCTTTACTGACAGCCAGAAGATTAATTTAGTGGATTATATTAAATGAAATATTATTGTAGATGCCCACATCAGCTTTATGACGACTGAGCTTTCTGTCCTGAGAGGAGAATTCAACAGAAATACAGAAGTGCTGCAGCATTTACAGCCACTGAAAAGAGAAATCAAAATATATAAAATGTGGTTTAAAATTTTGCCATAATTCTTGTTATGGATACTATAATCTTCATTTTAGGCTCTAAACAGGAGGATCGTCAATATTAGGAAAGTTTTCAGAAGCGAAACCTCTGACGGTTCATTCATAAACGTTAAACAGTAATATGTCATAGTTATTATTCAATAGTTATTTATATTATTACATTTGTATGTATGAAGACACAAAGAAATCTTCTAAGTCTTTTTTTAAGTATTCAAAAAGATGTTCATCTAAAGTCACAGAAAAAATATGAACAATGATAAACAAACATAAGAAAATGTTGTTCATTTTAATGATCACCCCTGGTAGCCAAAATAGGATTGGGGGGGGCAATATGTCAAGAGGGCTTGTGCCACCCCTGGTCATCCATTTGGACTCACCCCTGCGATGCAGAATGGGGGGGGATCCTGCGTTTACATCAGTGTAGAATCAAACCTTTATGTAGTTTGAATAATATTATTATTGCCCCACCATAATTTTATAGTATTTTAAATATTACCAGCCTACATAAGACAGTGTTTATTGTCTCTCTAGGTTGTTTCATTTCAGGTCTATGTTGCTCCAGGTCTCTGTCAGACCTTTGTACTTTTATAATTGTCAGTTTTTACTTTACAAAGAAGTACTAAGTATCAGTTTTAGTGTGGCGTAATGCGCACAGAAATATACGTTTAACACACACAATATACATTTAACACACACACACACACACACACACACACACACACACACACACACACACACACACACACACACACACAAACACGCACACAGCAGTTCCTCCAGGGGGGCTCAGAGCGCGCGCTCAGGTAAAAGAAGGAAACAGGACGCAGCTGCGGCGCCGCAGTTCACGGTCAAATCCTGAGCACAGACTTTGTGTTTATCTGTCTTTCCTCCGGCTCCTCCGCACTGAACCCTCTCCTCCTCCCCGCCTGTTGCGCTTGTTGTCTGTCTCACTCTGCTCTGCGTGAACAGTGTAGTGGAGCATGGCTGCCATCAAGGCTCTGGAGCAGTGGTGTAAACTCCACTGTGAGGGTTACCGAGATGTGGCCATCACCAACATGACCACTTCTTTTAGGAACGGACTAGCTTTCTGTGCGCTTATACACAAGTACAGACCGGACCTCATGTGAGTACTTCACTTTGAAAAGTTGCGTGAAAATGAAGGTTTTATTTTTCTAGAGACGTTTAGTCTTGAAGATGTGGTGTCCTTTTATAATTTTGTCATCTAAATTAATTGGAAAAAGTGCATCTTAATTTTTTTAAGTTTTTCTTTGTTTTGGACTTAAAATTCGCTAATTTTGAGAATTTTTGGCATTAATAAATGCTGCTTTTGTATATACAGTAGGTGCTTGTTTTAATGGCTGAACCCTTCAGAGTTTTAATGTCATATGAGGGTTTTCCCCTCCATATCTTCTCTCCTCATTGTATTCCTGTTTTTTTTCCAGAGACTATGACTCACTCAGTAAGGAGGATGTGTTTGAGAACAACAGACTGGTAAGAAGTCAAGCTGTTGAACTTTTGTCAGTGTTGACTTTGTGCTCCAGCTGTATAATCTGACATGACACTAAACAGAGTCTTTATTAACCCAAGAGTCATGAAGACACATCCAGCATTAATCCGTATTTGTTCTTGTCTTAGTGTTTATGCTGCAGAGTTGTTCATTTTTCAGCTGCTTCAACATTTTCAAAGTACAGCAAAAGCCACTTTCCAATCCTGGACTCATTTCAGAACTTACAACCCTCAGATTGTTCTTCTGCCTCTGTCCACTAGACCTCATTTATTTTGTTAACCCCTTCGTGACCTGAGCCGCACAGCCGTGACCTCTCCATTATTCAGACTTCTTCCATTTGAGCAGCTTCCTCTGAGAGCGCCACACTGGGCACGCTCTGTATGACTTCCTTGTTGTCTCGGACGATCCTGGCGATGTCAGCAACAAACCCGAGCTCAGGGAAGAAGCTCTCCAGGACATCCATTTTGAATGAGGCCTACTATCATCTGCCACTTGATCCTTATGTTGACAGCTCAGTTGCTGCGTTTTTATCAAATTTATAACACAAGAAAAAGACCGGTAAACCTTCGCTGAAGCCAGAGCGTGGCGTGGTTAAACAGGTTTTAGTTTTGAACTACCTTTAAACACACTCAATGAAGCACAACACGAGAACATGACCTGTGCGGTAATTCACACCCTTCTATTTTTCATGAATAGTGTCGTGTTTCTCACAGGTGGTTGTTTAATAAGAAAGTGTCACTGTAGTTCAACCATTTGCAGCTCTGAGTGCCTTTCTTTTACAGACAGACTTGGTATTCAGCAAGGCTCTGCTTTAAATTTAATGAGCATGTCCAGACTGATGCTAAACAATGCCCCGCTATCTTTCTCCCTCTGTCCTTTTTCTTTTCCCGCGAGCTCACAGGAAGAGCTCTATTCATTATGAAGCCCTTTATGACCTCTCTGGCCTGCTGCTGGTCTATTTAAGGGAAACCGTATTGTGTGACATTTTTAAACAGGCTGCAGACATTTCTGCGCTCGCTAAGAGATGTTTATATTCTGCAAAAAATGCCTCCAGTTTTGTGGTTTTTGTTTCAGGCTTTTCAGGTAGCGGAGGAGAAGTTGGGAATCCCGGCTTTGTTAGATGCAGAAGACATGGTGGCTTTAAGGATCCCAGATAGACTGAGTATTCTCACCTACGTCTCTCAGTATTACAACTACTTTAATGGACGGCCTCCCAGTAAGGACACATTTGATTTAAAAATCTTTGAAATTAATCAGCTAAGACTCATTTCATCATCTTTATAATTAAAACAGTTCTACGCTTTCTTTACTACACGTTTATTTTTCAAGGTCTAGGTGTAATTATTTTCTTTTTCCCACCTACAAAACTGTGATATTTGAAACTCACAGTGCTCTGCTTCTCCTCAGTGGGAGGTGTAAAACGGCCAGCAGAGGGCTCCAAGGAGGAGCCATCAGAGAAGAAAAATCTCCCAGTTGTTGCCAAAACCTTTGTGTCTAAAACAGCCACTGAGAATCGCTCACCTTCCACCCTCAATGCTCAGATGTCTCCCAAGTTGGCAAGAGCTAATGTTCAGGTCAGCAATTATGGACATACAACATATTTTTAATGCATTTTTGATCACTTTGAAATACTTCTTATATCAGAAGTGGAAGAAGTATTTTTTTTATTATTTTAGAGGGGCTCTGGTGGATGTTAAAAAGATGGCTTTTTGGATCAAGTTGTGGTTTTCTTTTGCAGAAGGGGGTTCTTGCAGAAAACAGCAACAAAAATGGGACTCTTAACAGCAAGTGTGTTGCATGTAAGAGTCATGTTCACCTGGTTCAGAGGCACTTTGTGGATGGCAAGCTCTACCACAGAAGCTGTTTCAGGTAAGAACTGAATCTAAATCCTATTAAATCTTTCTGTTTACTGCTTTAATACCCTCATATTCACATGTCTACATCAGGTGCAGCGAATGCTCCGGCACGCTTCATGCAGGAGGATACAAACCTGGGAGGAATCCAGACACTTTTATCTGTAATGGCCAACATGCCAGTCGCAAAAGTTCCTCCTCCAATACTGGGATCAAGAATAACGTCAGCCAGACCCAGCCTGCATCACGCCCCTCCTCTGTGCTGTCAGCTCCTCTTAACATTACCATCAAGCCGTCCACTCCTACCCCACCTTCCCCATCCTGGACAGTCTCAGCCCAGAAGACTCAGTCAGCCAGGCAGAGGTTTTTCCAGGCTGCACCGCCACCGACAGTAGAGACCACAAAGGGTAAAGGGAAGCCCACAGAGCCCTTAAGTGTTTTGGGAAGGCCAAAAGTCCCACTTAGCACTGATGAGGAGAGGAACAGAGCCAGGACAACCATAGGAAAGAAACTGGCAGAGGAAAACTGCAACACCAACAACAACAAACGCCTGTTCACTGTTCGACCAGCAGAGAGACGGTGAGTTTTGCTGTGTGTAGATTCCTGTTTGCAAAATCAGTATACTTCTGTTTCCTGCATAATTTTATTTATACTTTTGTTGATAAGAGCTCCCTTTTTTATTTGCAGGTTTGGATATGAGCCAACTTCAGCTGACAGCTCCAGTTTGAGAGAAGATAAATGCAGCCGAGGCCCAGCAGGAAACCAGGCAGGACAGCCCTCCACCGGCCAGACAAACAATAAGGAATTTCCACGTCTGAAGGCCATCAGCAGAGACAACACAAGGCCAGCGACAGTACACACAACTGCTGCAGGCAAGCGCTACTAAATTCATTTTAGTTGTTCTTGATCCATTATTTGACATCTAGCCAACATTCACCCACCGCCTCGCCAATTCCCCCTGTCTGTCTGCAAACGCATTCATAGAAAAACAAAGCCCTTTTGTCATTTTTTACCCTATTTATGCAGCTGCTGCATTTAGCATAATGTTAGCTCCATGTGTGATATTGACATTTTAATTTCAGTGTCACACTTTTAATGAACTGTCATAGTTGGGCTGTCATTCTGCTGGGATTGATGTGCATGCAGGAGCGCAGCAACCTGACGGATAGTCCTCTGTCAGACAGACTCTAAATTAGTTTTTGTTTTAAAATGAGAGGATCCTAAAATTACCATGTTTGATTGAAGCCGTTTGTATCCTACAAAGTAATTATGTTGCATAAAGATACGGAAAAGCATTTATGTGACAGACTCCACATTAGGACCAGTCATAGACCTGTTCTCAGAGGTGAGTTTGACGCAGAAAGGTCAAGAGTTTTCAGTGCACAAACTTAAATCGCTCCAGCTGAACACTTGATACCTAGACATGATGTCAAAAGTAGGGCTGGGCGATATAGCCTCAAATCAATATCTCGATTTATTGAGCAGTTCACCTCGATAACGATAATGGATGACAACTACTCCACAAGCTGCTCACCCCCTCCAACATTAACTTCGTCTACTTCATCCGCCGTTCCAGCCACTACAACTTTTGAACCCTCCTCCATCTCCTCACCTGTCTTTTTGTCTTTGTTACAGACTGGATGGGGTGGATTCATGTCTCTTTAAGACAGCGTCTTAAAGGGAGATGAGACCATAGCCTACCTACACACATCTAAAACCAACTTTTATTTATATATTTTTTTGACACCAAATATACCGACATGGGCAAAATGACGTCAGTTCTTGTCGTAAATTTCGGTAGCAGTAAATGTTCGGTTTATCGACCAGCCCTAGTCAAAGATTAATGTGAGAACTTTTCCTGGTTTTTAAATCAAAATCAATGTCACCATCATGTGACAGAAGTATAGTAGCAACTCTAAAACCTTTTGCTTTTACTTTCACCAATCATTCACTTCTGTCTAAAATTATTTGTCTGCAGATCCAGGTCAGGAGAGGAAGTCTAAGCCCGAACCTGCAAACACTCATCTAGCGCTACAGTAAGTATCTCCATCCTCAAAATCTATTTAAGAGCTGGGAATGTCACACAGGTGGACAAAGTAGGCTTGTCTTCCAACACCCAGGAGCTCATTTGCTCTCCAGACTGTAGAGTTGCCCAGCTTGGTCTCTATCTGGCTCAGAGTGCATCTATACTGTAGACCCTCTGTCCCCCATCCCAACAAACCCTCATGAAAGGCCCAGCTGGAACTTTAAATGTTCTCACACTTTTTTTCCAAACCCCTGTTGGTAATTTCCTCATTGCTTCGACAGGAAGATGAGGCCATTCCTTATATTTCATTCTTTGGGAAGTGAGCGTGTGTAATGGCCACAGGTGTAAATCAAATCTCCAGCTTTGGGGACTATACCTTCTGTACATGGGGCAAAGATGTACTTTTATGAATCTGAAATTGTGAAACACCCAAAGTTTCATTTCATTGTTATTCTTACAGAGAAGCTGGAACAGATCCATGCACCAAGCAACATGAAGCTGGGTTCATGTTCCCTGCAGCTCCCTCTAATGTCTCCATCAGTACAACGAGGCCTCCCTCGGCTCCAACACCTGCACAACCAGCAGCCAGCATCGCCCTCTTTGATCCTTCACAGTTCAGAAAAATGTCTCCCCAGAAACCTCAGCATATCTCTAAAAACCAGGGTGAGTCAAATCTGTACATTATAGCGAGACACATTTGTATTATTGTGGTCTTTTTCTCTGTGAAGGATATCAGAAGTAAAAAGAGAGTTTGCAAATACAAGTCGGAGTATGACATTTTGTTTAACCCTGCAAACTCTCCTGGGAAAAGAGCTGACAGTCAAGCTTCTACATGTTTCATTCTATTCACCAACTAATCCCCTACAGTGATTGAGCGTATCGAAACAGCTGCATAAATCAACTGAGGAAAAATACCATATTAAAGCCCCAGTGAGGGACTTTTAGTTTCTGATAACTTTGGCGCCTCCTGTGGACAAAGTAGTCCTTGCTTATCTTGACCTATATATGTTTTTTCCAGACAAAAAGTTCCATTATTCTGACTTTTAACAGTCTAGATTATTATTTATTGTGAAACTTTAACCTGAAAAATGTAAAAAGGGTTTGTTTCTTCAGCTGCTTGGCTGACACCTACCCTCTCACACTGGTTCCAGGCATTTAAAATTACTATATAAAAAAATCCTCAATCTTCTTGCTGATGGTTGTGTTTGCTTTTGTGAATGACACAAAGGCCTCAACATGAATTTCAGTGTGTTTCAAATAACTACTCGGAGGAGCTTTAAATGAACCCAAAAAGTTACACTTAAAAGTTTTGTTAATTTTAAAATGACCTCTGTCAGCAGAAGATAGAGGTCACATAAGGCTGATCTTTAAATGTTTTTATGAAATCTGATTTTAGATGTCCATTCAAAAGTTAATGAAGCTTCTGTGACAGACAGCGGTGATACCAGTGAAACCTCTGACCTCCTTGCTGAAACTTTCCTGTCATCTTTTCTAACTAAAAACCTCTGTCTTCTTCTTTTGTTTTCAGTATGCTGTTAATACTCTGCTCTGACACCTACCCTTTTACAGCGATTACAGGCTTTAAAAACTTAGAAAGAAAAAGTCGAGGTTGCTGATGATGGTCTGGTTTGTTTTTGGAGGTCGTAAAGTGGCAGCACTGTTAACAGCAATCTGTTAAATAAACTGCTAAAAACCTCTCACAGGAGCTTTAATATCTTTCCATCTGATTTATAGTAGTAGATTGATTGACAGACAGGTCAGCGTTGCCATCCTATGACTCATAATACTAATTCACTATTACTATTATCCACACACATATTCCCAGACTGACATGCTGCTTTGTGTTTAGAGTTTCTTGTCAATATTGTCGACTAAAACAGAAAAATTCATTAGCAGACAGAACTTTTGGCACCCACCTGCCTATCTTTATTTTAGGTTTGAAACAGCAGAATCACTCATCTGTGAAATCCCCACCTAGACGGCCGGCTGTGGAATCTATTAGCTCTTCAACGACGGCTCCAGTCGATCACGGAAATCCATCGTGTGGGTTAAAAATATCATCATCAGAGCCATGCATTCATGTCCTTAACCATCTTGTTGGTTTCATATGAGCAGTCAAATTTTCACTGAAAATAAATCAGGTGAAGTCATATGTGACAATGCTTTTCTGAAAAGCTGCCATGAAAGGACTATCTAATCCTATTTTATCTACCTCTTAGGTGCTAAAAAGGGAAAGTATTTGTCACCCACCAACGCCTCCAGGACCGAAATGAGGTCACCCTCTGTAAGTTCCCTCCATTAAGTCTCTTATGAGATTAATTAACAGCTCGACAAATATGCTTTCATTACATTCCCGGCAAAAAAAAGAAGAAGAAATGTACGACCTTCTCTGCGTTTAAGCGACCAGAGTTGGAATTTTCAAATTAGAGTTATCTGTATTTGACTGAGACTCTTAAGTTCTTTTGTTTTATATCAGGTAAAGTCTTATCATATTCCCGTGGAGCAGATTGAGAGAGAGCTGAATGATATTGAGATGAACTTGGCTCACTTGGAGAGAGAGGGTGTGGAGCTGGAGAAGAAACTCCGCAGCTGTGAGGAAGGTACTTCTTACCCTGTGACTATTTTTTTTTCATACCTTTTCCATTTTGGGGGCATGTAAATAAAATTGAATGTTTACAAGTTGAAAAAAAGTGCACAATTTGAAAACAAGCATCCTCTCAAACAACTTATTCAAAGGATAACAGTGAAGGAGTCACCGTTGCTCCCATAGCAGTGAATAACCTTAAGAAAACTCTCATATTTTATTGTGCACACAGCAAAATCCTGCTGCTGCCTCAGTGAGAGTATCCCTGGTGCAGGGTGCAGTGTCCTCACACACACACACACACACACACACACACACACACACACACACACACACACACACACACACACACACACACACACACACACACACACATTTAACTCACTGTCAGCTGTAAGTTGGGGTGTGTGTGTGTTTAGGGGACACACTGGCCATTTCTATTACTGTTTCTGCAGCCAAATGAGGTGAGAGGCGCAGACGGCCCACAGGGATGTTGCTCCTCTTAGATAGAGCGGGAGTAGGGGGCTTGATTGCTTCGCTCAAGGTCAACATGACTCGGGTGTCGTAATGTATATTCTAGTCAATTTCATACTTTTTTTTTTTTAAACAGGTGCTGCAAAAGGAGCCTTAGCATTCGGTCACTTGGCCAGACTTTCACTTCAGTCGTGCACCACCTTGGAGATCATCAGCTCTGACTTTAAATATGTCATCTTTAAAAACTAAACCCTGACTCTTGAGTTAAAGCCAGAATATTACCATGTTTGTTCTGGTGATGCCAGGATCTTAAGTTGGATTTGGCACAGTATTTATTCATAACCTTTCAAAATATGTGATATGTTCCGAATCCACTAACGAAATTAAATAAGTAAAGTAGCAGAGACTAAATACTGCTGTGTTTAGAAGGCTGTGCCATTTAACATTAAAGTATTGAAAACTGTCTTTGCCATAACTTCACTGTTTCGGAATATTATTATTCTAATTTTATTTATATTATTTTATTAAAAAAAAGAAGCCTGGCCCTCCCTGATTTTTGCTCAGTCATTGTTCAAGGAGTGAAAATGGCAAATGCAGACCTCATTATGTATTTGCTCTTTGTTGATCTTTTGTATGTTAAAAGTGTACGACTGTGGTCAATACGGGTCTTGTGTATTCACTGTGGTACTTCAATTTTATGATTTATTTAAGTATTAACAATCTACATTTATTTTTTAACTATTGTTTGCAGTAAATGCTGGAAAATTGTGACAAATCTGACTTTGTGCCTATGACATAATTGAAGTAAAATGCAAATACCTTATTTTTATGAAATAACTTTCATACTTGAGTTATTAATGTTGACAGGAGGTGAAATAATAATCAAATACTCAAATACTCACATGAAAAAAGAAGTGTATCAGGTGAAAATAAAATGAGCTGGATTAAAAGGGGCTACGGTTTATCAATAATAAGGTGTGTGTTATTCACAGTTTTTGAAATTGTCTCTTTCAGGCGGCGATGGAGATATTCTGATGGACCCTCTGATGGTTGAGTGGTTCAATCTCATCCGTAAAAAGCAGATGTACATTAGGAAGGAGTCAGAGCTTGTTTACATGTGAGTACCTTTTGTTTTGTAGCCCAGAACCTCACCTCATGAAAGTATCTGAATGAATTTGTGTACTATTTTCAGATCTATTTTAATGCATATGAGTCTCACCTAAAAAAAAAACTCTAAAACTAGTAATACCCTACTGTGTTTTTCTCAGAGCAGATGAAGCCTGTTCTCATTGTCATTATTATTACATTTTTTCCACTTCAATCTGAAATGTCATGTGCATTATAAAACAGCTCAGCCTCATTTTTTTCTTTCTTTCATGTTATTAATGGCGGGGTATGTAAGAGCCAGGACTCAGGAGCTGGAGCAGCAGCAGCCAGGTGTGGAGGGAGAACTCCGCAGGTTGCTGGAGAAGCCAGGTAAGAGACTCTCCTCTCGACTTCAGTTCTGCTGCTTTTTATTTGCAAACACTAAAATCTGTCAGTTTGGCTTCACAGAACATTTAAAGTCAAGAGAGGAGCAACAGCAGGAGAAGAAGTTGATGCAGAGGCTGATGGAGATTGTAGATGGACGAAACGCAATTGTGGAGGGTCTTGACGAAGACAGGCTGAGGTAACACACTTCATCTTATATTAAATAAAAAAATAAATATGGAGTTTAACGTGGAGAAGAAACGTGTGATGCGGCAAAACCAGAGCTTTTTTTTTTTTTTTTTTTTAAGGGAAGTGGAGGAGGATCAGCAGTTGAACGAAATGATGAAAAATATTGGTAAGTATTTGAAATACTGATTCATTTAGATGTCAATTTCATATTTGAATGCTTTCTTCTAATATCTGCTATTTTTTTCGGTGAATAGGAGTAAAAAAAGCCAAAAGTAAGAGGAAATCCTCCATCTCTAAACTGTTCAGGCGAAGAAGTAAAAGACGAGTGGAATGATAATCTGGTAAATGTATTATCTAATAAGTGTTGTTGAGTAATCGCCCGGAAATAATTAAGTTTTTATATTTCAGTATTGAGGAAAAAGGGTGATGTGATGATGGAATATTGCAACATTTCCACGTGTAATGATGATTTCAAATGATTTCTTTGTTAAAATCTCATCTGCTCAATATTCACTCTTCACTTTGTGTTTACTCTTTCTAAATTACACGTAGTTCAAGCTTTTTCATAGTTTTCATGAAGGATTATTTTCCAAAAAAGTTTATTCTTATGCTTGAAACTGACGGCATGTCTATTACATTGTTACGACAGCGATGAATGGGTGGCAGATGAAACAATGTTATTAATAATGGATGCTTTGTTTGTAAAGATGCTGTGTATTTATTTAGATAGTGATATATAACATCTTAAAGTTCACTCAGATCAGTTTAAGCAAATTCACACTCACTGGATCAAGATCAAAATTAGAAGTTTGAAACAGAAACTGTAAAGATGTTCAAGATACAGAGGAAATAGTGTCTGTTCTACATGTAAAGAGGAATAGGCAGACGGATGTGTAATCCCTCAACAGGCTTAATCCAAATGAAATTATTTTAGCATTTATTCAATAATGGTTTTTAACAAATTTCCGGTAAGAATATTAGCAGGAGAAAAAGCCTTGACAATGAAGTTAAAATGGCTGTGGAGTGTAAAATGAAGAGCCACACATGTTGAGCTGCCTCTCTGCAGACTGTTGTTCCTCTCCCACGCTGTACTGTAGGTGGCAGCCTGGGTATGCTGTATCACCAACAGGAACTTGGAAATCCAATTTGCCACAGTACGGACAGTTAATTTCTTTGCTAATTTTATAAATGCTTCAAAAATGTTCAGCTGTGCTGATGCAATAATGTTATGTGAAAGAGGATTAGGCAGAGCAGTAGCTTATGGCCGGGGAAGGCTTATAAACTATAGGTTGTATTGAGCTTTTTATCTTCAAACTGGGTTTAATTAAACATTACTCTTTACTAATATCTGCATCTGAAATTCTCAGTACCTGCTCTGTGAAAGCGTTCAAAGGATGCCTGGACTCAGTGAAGTGTGAAAATGCCATCCGGCTGCTTATAGGGAGCGAACACTAGAGTTGCTTTTACTGGTTTTATTGAATGGCATGTACTTGATCTCTATTTATAGTATTTTCTAACTTGAAATCTGTTTAATAAATCCTTTGAAGATTAGCGTGTATGAGTTATTTACTGAATAACAGCTTCCCTTGGCACACATTTTAGCATTTATTTACACCCCTGAACTTTCTATCACTCCGCTTTCCCATGTTACAAGCTCCACCAATGACTGTTGATTCAAGATCAGACGCTGTTCTGGGTAAGGAATCAACAATGCCGCCACTCTCTTGCATTAAAGCTGCGCAGTTATCACAGAGCTGCATCAATGCATGTTTTTAATAAGGATTTTTAAGGATGACATGTTGATAATTCACTGGCGTCGATGTATTGCCGCGATTTATAAACTACACATCCCTCATTTTGAGATGCATGAAATTGTGATCATGAACTTGGAACACAATCTTTCAAGCCCAGCAGAGTTGGGGATGGTATTGGTACAAAATGCCATGCATGATGTGGCTGACAGTCGAGACTGAATGTGTGATATTAGAGTTAATTAAAGCTTTGCGCCCCATCTACTGCAAATGCTTGCACTTCTGCAATTAAGAATCAAAGGCGAGGGCTTAGTGTCAGGGGGGTGTCTAATACATGGTTTTAACAGGAATGGGACCTGATTTGCCGAGCTCCTAGCGACAAGCATTAACAACAGCCTCAAATTAGAGGGACATTAATATTCATAAGTAAAACAATTCATCCTGTGAATGTGTGATGAAATGGAATCCTCTGAGGTGAGCTCTTGTGTCCAGGCTGCCATCGTTCATTAAAATATGCCATTACCCATGAAGTGCTTAATCTTTATGAAAGGGTGGTAAAATCTGTTTGAACTGCTGTGACAGAAAGGTGGAAATAGTAACACTGTTCAGCACCTTCCTGTACATTTTTAAAACATGTCCGACACTATAGCTTTTTTTTTTTTATGTCTGTTTAACTAGTGAGGCTCCTTAAAATAACATACAATATGAGATCCTTCACAATACACCTTTATTCTCGAGTATGCTGCCATGTGCTACACAATCTACTCGTCTGTGTGTGTGTGTGTCATCTTATTCCAGTCTCAGCCACAGTCTCTGCCACTAGCCTGTAATTATGATCCTCGAGGTAATTTTATCAGGCTCATTAGCTCTGATGAGTAAACGAGAAGCGTGCCTCTAATTTATTGGCCATCCAGGCTGGAGACTTAATTCTCATCAGAGAGATCATAATATTTGTACAGAGAGACAGATATACAGTACATATACTTAGCTAAAAGCCTCCTAAACTAACACAGAGGCCGAGACTTTTAGCGACTTCAAATTTGTAATTAAAATCAAAACATGATGTTTGTTTGACAAGGAGGATTATGCTTAAATGATTTCCATTCTTAGTTGGGGGAAAAAAATATGTTTCTTTTTCGATCTGATTGAGAAAGAAAGGTATCGTTTGTATTCTTCAGACTCTTGTGACTTTATTTTCCTGCACAAAATTAGATTCTCAAACCCCAGCAAACAAAATAGCATTGTTTCTTTCCCCGTGTTCGACGGAGATGATCCATTTTCTGTGTCAGAGAATGTGTTAAGGGAGCGGGGTAAATATGCTTACAATTTTCAGTGTGTAGAAATTTGCATTGAGGGGAAATTATGCATGCTGGCTAGTGGAAATGAAATGTATAAAGTGCATGACTGGTAGACTTGACAAGTGCAGCTTTCATCCATCTCAAATGAATAATTTTCACTTCCCTTAAACATCCTTAATCCAACCATGTTATCAGCGGGCATGCAGGATTCTGCCAGACTTTCTCCTGAACGGCACAGCAACTTTCAACTTGCCTGAGATTCTGCTCTGCAGTTGCTTACCACATGGTCTTAGGGACTCACTCTTATCCTTTCCCGCTGGTTTTGTGGATCAGTAAAATTCCTTCAAAACACAATATATACATAAGGCAAGTCTTAATAGATAGCAGAATGTCTCACTCTACCCTCCTGTGTGCTGCCTCAGAGGTCGACTTAATGCACTGTATTTTACCTCTGATTCACATTGGCAGAGAACTCAGAGGAAGGTGTCTCTAAAACCTATTTGCTCTGTGGCCCTTTGTCCTCTACTTTAAATTTCAGTGACAGACCCCTCCATGCTGGACTAATGTGGTCGGGGAAATTCACATAACCGTATAAGGGATAGAAAAGGATATTCACGGTAAATGACTCATTTACAGCTGTTAGAGGTTTTGTTTGTCTCCTCACTGTAATACACACTTATACTGTGGAAAATACACTGCTTAACACCCAAATCCTTTTAATGTAGCATGTTTTCCAAATGCTCCTGACAATAAACAATTAAATGTGTAATTGCTGTTTATGCTCTAATCCTTGTGATAGCCTCTTATATTAAGGGTTACCTGGCTATTTTTCAATATCCACTTTCACAGAAGCCTCAAATTGTGATAAGAATATTAACCTCATCAATTTCAGGTAACTTTCAACGCTTTAACATCTTGTCTTAAAGACCTGCATGTTAGCAGGAGTCTCAGCCTTGGCATTTAGTGACATTTTAAGCCTTTTAACAGAATCCAGACAGGGATTTGCAGTTTCCACCAAAGGAAAATAATTTATATCCTCCTTTCTCAGAAACTGTGGGTAGAGGGATTAAATGCACCAGAGAGATTTGTATGTGGTGCAAGTAAAACAATATTGTGACTCAGTTAATACATTTCCTACCATCTACTTTCATGCTTTGAGGAAGTCAGGAGTTGTTACTCATCGCGCTGAAGTTGGCTTTGATGCTTTTCTTGTTTAATTTTCTCATTTTCAAGGTTTTTGGAGTGTGGGTCATAGCGATGACAGCCCCGTGTACCTCTGTTCCTCTTCTTACAGAGCTATGAGACACCTTAAATAAGTGTCTGCAGGGTCTGAGGCAATAAAGAGTCTAACCCAGACCAATTATACTGCATTTATTTCCAATCAAACTTCCTTAAAACCTTTGAAACGGGCAAATGTTTTCACCCTGCTCGGAGTTATATTTAAAACATGATGATTTTCTGTGCAGAGAAAGGGATAAAAAACATTTCTGAATGACAGTTTGCAACACAAAAGGTCTTTTCTGCATGTTGGATAGCTTGCGGACTGTGTGTACGCCAGTGTGTATGATGGCTGCTGTGTAGTGGAGACATGCAGGGCTCTGTTCTCTCTGTGGGCAGGCAGCTTTGATGCACTGCCTCTCTTATCTCACGCCTGGCAAGGTTAATGAAGTGGTGGCACTTTTGGAGGAAGTAGAAATGGGATGAGTAGCAAAGACCAGAGGAAGCTTGGAGATGAAACGTCCTGCTCTTAGCGGCTGTAAGTGGCAATTTTGGTGAATTACATAGACAATAAGAAAGGGGTTTGTCATCCTCTTAAACACAACAGTCGGCTGAATCAGGAGTGGCTGATTGCATCTCTTTCAGCTTGGTTCATATAAAATTACATTAGCATTTAGCCATTGCTTGTAACTTGATCTGTCAAACATCACCACATAAGGCCAAGATGGTGTTTTTTTTCTGGCATCGTTTAGGTTTTGTGCTCTGCAAATGTTATAAAATTGTACAAAAGAACATTATGAAATGCTAAACTTGTTTTCCCCTTTGAGCGTCAGATCCTTCCTCATTTAAATCAGGACAGCTCACGTGGTTTTTTCAGCAGGGTTTAGTCTGCTCCGGTCCTTTGAAGGCCTTGTGGAAAAACCCACTTTGCCTTTGTCAGGGGGCAACAAGTCTCACTTAAGTGACAGAGTTGGCTTATTTTATTTGTGATAAGTGCTCAGAAGTTGGCTTTTGGTTACAGCTTAAACAAAGGGCAAAAATGCGTCCATAATATAAATATAATAACAGGTGATGTACTGCTAATGCTCTGTATTCCTTAGCATTTTGGTTTTAATATACCAATTCCCCTTGCATCTGAAAGAGCTAATAGGTAAACAGTTCTGAATGGAAGAAATGAAGCAGGTCTACATGCCAATGAATTAGCATATAGATGAGTTCATCTCATACAAATAGTGCTCTTTTGCCCACAACTCCCTGTGCTGAGCAAAGATCATGTATGTAAAGTATGCATGCAGGAAATGTAAATCCATTTCAATCATCATTCAATCTAATAAGATTTTTTTTGCTCCCTCTCATTTGTCCACCTACGCTCAAATGTCCAGAGATACTGTGAGGGCAGCGAAACGACTCCCCCGGGCAGCTTAATTGTTAAGAAAAAAACCCTGAAACATGAAGCCAAGCAAAACAAAATAAAATTTTAGAAAAGTAGGAGGATTGCAGATGTAAAACGGATGCTAATTTGATCCAAGCGCTGCTCTCACAAAGGCTGGATTTTACAGAAATTAAAGCACTTCAATAAAACAATGCTTTTATTTTCTAAGCTGAAATTCCATAAAAGGAGAACCATCAACTGTATGTTTTATATTTGATCCTCATTATTGTAATTCCATAAACAAACACCACCTCAAGTATTTGTTACATAGCTCATGTTAATGTGCCCAAAGAAGCTTATAGAATTGGGTCAGCTAATTAAGCAATTAGCTCACTGCAGCTCTGTGGTCAGGCTGCTGCTAATCTATGGCATTGTGAGCTCCGATCTGCCAAAAGCGAGAGGCTTGTGTGTCTGCCTCTCCCATCCCGTCTGACAAAGGATCATGTTTGAAGCCATCCACTCCCTCGGTGGAAAGGCAGAGGACTTGTCTCTGTTCCCTAATGCTCACGTTTCTCATGCAAATCCCTGGAATTGAATAGGTTGTTTATTGTCTAGTTAATATATTGAGACATTTATGTAGTGCTGTTGAAGTGTTTGCTCTCTGCATTTGTAAGTATGTTAACACACATGAAATCCCAGACAGATTAGACTTTGATAGCATTAAAGCCATGATGAATGTTGGTGGCTTTTAGCAGAGCCCACCACGTGGCTTCTTAGCAGGCGTCTGACGAAGGCAGAGTTAGGCAGCACAACTGTGGAGTGTCAAATACACCAGTGCCATCATTTGGTTTAACTCTTAGTCTTTATAAGCCACCAAGTCAAATACCCTCAAACTTCTCTGCAGTTACTGTAGGCTGTTACCTCCTGGTTCAATTCTCTAAGCAGGTATCCTAAACTGCTCTTCTCACACTATGAGAACAAAACTGTGAAATTTATCATCATTAGCCATTGTGTCTCTTTTTTAAAGTCTGATTGATTGTCTTTTTTTAAACTGTTTTTGCATGGCTCCACCACTGACGCTGGTGCTATTTTCTGAGACTACGTTTACACCTGCCCAGCTATTTTCATAAATGGACATTTTAAAAAAAAAATTCAAAAAAAAAAATATTACTACTTTTGGACGTACAAGGTTGGAAATGAGGGGTATCTCTTTGTCCACTGGGGGTGCCAAAGCTGACACAGACTGAGACTATATTTACACTTGCACGGCTATTTTCATTAGCGGACATTTCACCCTCTTCGTTTACAAAAAATCAACTGCGTGCACACCACTACGTTTTCAGAAAAGTTTTTGTTTACACTAACCTGTGTATATATGTCATCACAAGCATATCAAACATGTGAGTGGTAGTGTTGCGAGAAGCTCAAGTCCGGTTTAGCCAATCAGAATCCCACGCAGTATCAACAACAACAATGCTCCTTCCTCCTTCCTGTGCGCAATTTGCCATCAGCCACCCAAATCTCAGTTTTCCTGTGTTTTTCAATGTTTACATGCAAACGTGCAAACAGAGATTTCCAAAATCTCCACTCTGGCCGGATATTTTAAAAAGCATTGTTTTCAGGGGCGAATTCTCTGTTGTGTCTAAACTAAGGGTGCAAACGATGGTTAATGTCCCTGTTTTTAAAAATAACCTAGTACATACAAACAAAAAGTATGGATGTCAAACAAATTCACTTTGCCCATGTTCCTCTTTTTTCTAGATCTCTTTAGGAAAATACAAACACTCCAGTATCCAGTACATTTTGCACTCCACCAAACTTTCCAAAGGCATGTGTCATTAAACATCTACCCTTTTTTGCCTTTTCAGTTCATGCTCTTGTTCTTGTTTCCTGTGCAAATACTTGACATGCATATGACGTGCACATGACTGATAGTAAATACTGAAAGTCAGCAGCCACGTTACAGCGTTTGAGTTTCAGACTCTATATGGAGGAATGTGATTTCTTGTGATTAACCGACTGAAGGCAGTACTTCGCTCCTCCTGATTGCCATATGCACTGTTGAACGACGGATAATGCTGTCATTTACAATAGTTAAAAGCTAGCGATGCTATAGAAGTCTAGTATATTTTTACACTATAGTATGCTAATAACATTTTGATGAGAGAGATCTGAGGGAGAAGTGTACCTAATTGAAGCAAAAGGCTTGAAATGCATTGTTAACGGGTCAGAGAGGCACCACTTATGGCCATGATGATGATATGCAAGGTGTGGAAATGCATTTCCAATCTCCCTGGCTTGAGCCCATCAGTTTCCATTCAGAAGTGTGTGCACTTGTTCATTAAGCTTATGCGTATCATCAACTGGTGCACTCATTCTATCAGGCAGATATGGCAGGGATAAAACGATGTGAAGGATGGAAATTCAAACAACCATTCTCATTTGCAAAGGTCATTAAAGCCTAGCATACATTAGAAAATCTGCTAATTATGAAATGGCTTAACTCCACATTCAGTGGGATTATGTCTGCTCATTTAGAATATGTTGATCCCCTCCCGTACCCGTCACAAGACAGTTGATGTATGGGACTTGTGGCACAGAACTAATGTTCCCACTGCTTGTCGGTCATCTTAACTGACTGTAAGAAGTCCATAAAAGTGGTCGTCTTGTTCTGAATGAGAATCTGCATCAACACCACAAGACAGGCACAAGTTTTAGAGCTGCTGCTGGCTAAAGCTGCTGTACTGATGATACTTGGCTCAGCTAGTCCCTCATATGTACTTTTTTATTACACTTATAAAGCAAAAACTGTGTATCAATGAATGGTTTTGGTTAAATTACTACAGTAGCAAGCAACAAATACATGTCATGTATTTCAGGTTCTTAAGGGTCAGTTTGCATGAGAAAATACTAACTTACTCAGGCATAATAATATACATTTATATGTACACGAATAAAGCAGTTTTACTTTACCATCCATCCATCTTCAACCACTTATCAAGTTGAGTTTTACTTACTAACTTAGTTTTACTTTACTCAATAAAAATATCCTGGAGGACACAGTCACATGAAAAGACAAAAGTAAGTCTTTAGGTTTGTATTAAATGTGTTCAACTTTAGTTACTGATTTCACAGCTTATTTTTAATGAAACATGCAAAATGCCATGAGATAAAATTAAAAATATGAGAGCCTTTGGCCTTTCGGTTTAATGATACTGAAGATTTATTATTGTGCAACTAAAATGTTCCCCTTAAGTTCTAGAGAAAGTAGGGCTTGACGTTGTGAAAAATGTGATCATCAATCAAATTGTTACTTTCCTTCAGCTGGATGATTTGCTCTTTGCGTACAGAAGTTGTTGTAGACCTAAAGTGTGCTTATTTCAGCCTGCAATCTTTGTACTCAACTTTAGTTTTGTTTATTATTTGAAAGAAGTTTCTTTCATAGTTTTATGATGGTAGACACAGTCTCTACAGTTTGCCATGGTTTAAAACCATACAGCATCTGTTTTGCTGGTATTTGGTGCATTCTTCTGTCTTCTTCTGTTGATATTTAGCAGTAAACAAACACCTTTCAGATTGGCAGTATAGGCTGCAGCCACTGTGTGCTAGCTGTGCTGCTTTTAACCAGGCCTGGTAAAAAATAAAAAAGTTTTGGTTAAAAAATGAGGTAATCATTTTTAATAAATTAATGACTTTTAAACAATGAGATTGGTTACTAAAATAGCACAAGTCAGGGTTCCCATTCCATGTTAACTAAACATTATCACAAAAGAGAAAGTCTGAAAGGCTGATTTTGGAAATCATTCAATATTGTTTCCCAATTTCTTTAAGTTGCATTCAGTTCATTTAGCTCTAGCTTTAAGTGACCAACACAGTCTAGATTATTGATGTTTATTTCTACAGAACTTTACTCTGTCTAATATTTCTCAAGAACTGATTCTATCTCTTTTCTTATTGAGGGTATCATTGACAGTTAACCTAAAGACATGCCTCCATAATGTTTGTTGCATTCCTATAATTGATTGAGAATCCTCTCACATAATTAACTTATGGCAAATTGAACCTCCTTCATGGATCTGATGCACGCATTGTCACTGCACAGACCTTTCAAAATAGCCTCCGCATTGTCAGTCTTATTGGATCAAATCACTCTGAATTTGGTCTATTTAATAATCTGATTGCCAATTAAGACAGGCGGCAGTGCTTAGATCTATAAAAGGTTAATAAGCCTCAGCTGCAGTGTGTTTCTCTTGGGTAAATGTCACTTAGATGTGGGCCACCATGGGTCAAGATCTCCCTCCAGATCTAAATTTAATCACATAGCATCGCCTGGCCCCGTCTTCACCCTCATTAGTCCTCGGCTTGTGCAGGAGTATGATCTGCCCTGTTTTTAGCCCTGGCACCCTCCTTCCTGACCCCCCTGTGCCATCGACCATCAACCAGCAACTGCTGAGACCAACAACTGCAGATCTACTGTCAGTTTGCATAGTAACGTGGCCATTCAGGAGAGTCTTGCATCAGGGGATGCTATGAAATCTGCTCCTACCATCATATAGTCTGATCTGTTGGCTGAGCTGTCACCTGGTGCAGGCCTGTGCCACCTGTCGGCCCATCCCACATAATGACAGAGTGACCGGTGCAATTTCCAGCAGCCGTCTCATCTTAATCTTCTCCTCGGAGTTTAATTAACTTGCTCGTGATTGGCCTAAAGAGGGGGAAAAAAGCAGCTCTGAATCACTTGAAAGCCAGGAGAGATCATTGTGAGATTGTGTTTTTGTTTAAAGGTGCATCATGTCGGATAAGTCTTGCAAGGCTGTGCATGACAGGCACGGGTAAACTTCCGTGTTGTTGGTGGCAGCTCTGCAGGGAAAACGCCGTCGTGTGCTTTGCATGCATCTTGAACATGTCACTTTTTTTTTAAACCACTGTACGCTGCAAACATGTCATGGAGCAGGCAGTTTGCATGGAACAAGAATGCAAAATCATTAAGTCCTGAATGTTAATACGAATTACGAGCAAGATTGGTAATAATTCTTGTGCCCTACAGAAATGATTAACATAATTCTGATAAATAGGCAGATGGCAGAATGTGTGAATTGAGGTAGATTTATCTTAATTAATATCTTGAACCTACTTGGAGAAAGGTAAATGGCTCCATCGGGGCCAGAGATGTTCCTCTGTCTTGTGTGTGTATCTTTCTCACGGCCTGACATGTAGTAGGGGCCTGAGGATATTAAGTTGCTCTCCAGGTATGCATCAAAACCCAGGCAGCCTGCTGATAATGAACATATACCCAGGCAAGTGAGCAACAAAGACACATACACACACATGCACTCGCGTACGCACATAGATACACACCCAATCACATGTCTGACTTTTAATCCACAATAAATAAACATTTAAACAGTTTCACTTCTCTCAGCTGCTGTGTGCGTTTATCCTCCTCCTTCCTACAAGCTCAAATTTCTCCCTGCTTTACTGCTGCCGATGAATAAAGTGTGAATTCCTTTTACTCATCACAAATTAAGGCAATTAAAATGTTAATTATTACAAGTAGAAAAGGGACAAAGGAATTCAAATAAATTGATGTATTGACGTTTTTTTTAATTAATTCATTCGGGTTCCTACTGTGTTGGATAATTATGCTTAAGTGTTTAATTACATATTTTGATGGGATCCTCAATTACTCCGGCTTAATAAAATATCATTAGCCTGTCTCCCAGGTTCTAAGCTGTAGAGACGTACAGTATTAGAGGATGTATTTAAATAAAATATTAGATTACAGCCTGGTTGGGATATGTGACAGGTCTCCAGCCCTCAATCTCCACTAAATCTCTGTTAACCTGAAAGCCGCCACTCACATCAAAGTTTGACACAGCAGTAAACAAACAATGTCACATTTACATATTAATTAGTGTCGGGCTATCAGCACGGCTGATGAATTCAAATGTGTAGCCCTTTACCGTGGCTTTGCAGGGATCCACAGCCACAGTGCCGCCTGGCGGGAGGCTCAGCGCTCAGAACAATGAGAAATTACCTGGACCCAAAGGCCAACCAAACCCTCCCCATCACATGCAGGTTTTATTACATGGCGAGTGTAAATATTCAATATCTTTTCTCTGACTGTGTGTCTTACAAATCAATTTGCAGTGTCACGACATCCACTGCGAAATATGCAAAGCACAGATAAGTACCCGGTTGTCAGCCATCCAGTGTTGCTCAGTCAACCTCCTCTGTCAAAATGCACTGAAGGAACGACGGCTGCCACCTGGAATTATCTTGTTTAAATCCTCTAAAGGTTAGCGCAGCTCTGCGAGTGATCCTTCAGTTTTTTAACCTCTTTGTTATAGTGCACAGAACATGTTTCCTCTGTGTATTCTACAGGCTTTACCACTTCATGTGTTTTACATCTTCCTGCTAGGAACAAGGATCCTTGGCAATGGCTCGGAGGCAAGATCCTATAATTAGAACACAGTTCAGTTGGTTAGCAGGTAATTTACCTTTAGGGGGAGAAGTCTAATTATTGTCTTTGAAAAGCTAATTTAGCGTCAAACACTTCAGGTGTCTTTTCCCCTCTCTTCAGCAAAAGGGAAAGGTATCCTGGAGCACTGCGGGGTCTGAGCCATCTCTTGTGCCTGCTGCTTTTAACTCATTTATGTTTACATGGCTGATTCCTACAGAGAAAATTAGGAGCTATAAAAGTAGCACAGCGCATCCCACCTCTTAGGTTTCTTCACCAGGTGTGTGCATGGGGCTTCTTTTGAGAGGGGGCACTGCTCTTTGACCTGCAGATAAATACTCTGAACAGGCGGATCAGTATTTTTATTTTTTTTTAAGCAGATGGTGTTTGTGAGTGACACCGGTTCCCAGCAGAAGCAGGCCGAGGGAAAACGATCACAGTAGAGTCTCTATAGAGAAAACCAGCCTGGTTACCTGACGGCATATGCTCTGCTGTGGCCTACACCTGCTGAAGGATGGCGTTTACACCCCGGTCCCTGGACTCCACCTCTGAGGAAGCTGTTAATCACAGCTCAGCACTCATTCAGGCACTTTTAAAAAGCAGAAAATAACTGAGTAGCAGGGGAGGTTCCTCGCTTGAACTAAGAAATAAGACGCTGTTTTCTAACTTGGTAGTGTTATTGGGACATTAGGAGGCTCTGGGAGTTGTTGCTTTTGGATGAAAAAAAAAAAGAAAGATTTTTGTATGCTGCTTTTCTCTCTTTGTTTTTGTCCCTCTGGCAACATCCAAAGAAAACCAGCAAGCTAAAATGAAAACTGGGCCCAAGTTCCAAACTACTCGCACATTTTTAGCAGTTTTTAAGTACATTTACTCAAACAAAGTATGAAAATTAAAATAAAATATACATAAGAAACTGACTTTGCTGATTAAATCTGGCTATTATGGGCTTTTTTTATCACACTGAAATGAAAAAAAGTAAAATTTCATCAGGAATTTATGACAAACAATAACATTTCTATTTTTTACAGATTTATTCCTACATTTATTTAATACTGCCTTTTTAATGTTAGTCAGATAAAGTGATTTGTACGTGCAGAATGCAAAGAGCCATAACATAAATAGACTAGTATGGACTGTCAAACCATCTTCATGAGGAGAAATGTGCAACAGATTCAGACACAATGCACATTCACAAACATAGGAAAAAGTCGGAAAAGAATGCAATAATTAAACTGTGCGGCAAAAGAACAAAAAAAAAAGGGGGGGGGGGGGGGTACAAAAAGATTTTAGAAAATGCAGACAGAAAATGTGAATCCAAATTCTTTACATGAGCAATGCAAATCCAGAAAACACATGCAAAAGCAAACATTGCCTCTTAAGAAAAGAGAACAGTATTGCTCCAAAGATAGGGTGAACAAATTCTGACTTCCCAAATAGAGGACACGACTACATGGGGGCGGAGTCACAAAGTTAATTTTAAGAGTTTTTCAGGTTGGATCAAGTTTTTTACGTGCTTCTAACTCAGTCAGTCCACATGACACAAAATCGAAACTTACGTACATGACCGTGGACATTTGAAGGATTTTATAAACTTCCCGGGATGCGATTTTTTTTTGTAGGATCGTAGGGAAAGTCCCGCCTCCTTCGTCTCTGATTGGCTAGAAAAGCTGGAAACGTCATCACACACTCAAGCCAAACTCGGCTGTTGGCTCTGTACATCGAACAGAACATTACAAGACATTATCGCACTTCTGAATCTCCTAACCCTAACGCTAACCCTAACCTGACAGACGATGACGTTTCACAGCCATTATGAATAACCATTTGGAGCCCAGTACTTCTAGCCTATCAGAGGTAAAGGAGGGCGGGACTTTCCCCTACCATCCTACAAAAACAAAAATAAAAATTTGCTTCCCGGACAAGCCTGGTCAGCCCTCAAAATAGAGGACATGTCTGGGTAAAAGAGGACGTATGGTCACCCCACCAAGACTGGAAAAGTTGGGGCAGTTTACTAATTATTAATGAAAAACCACAGATCTTAAACTGAGGAATTGTTCCTGATGGACAGCTAGCTCTGCATGAAAACGTGGCCATGAGCTACAGGGCTCAATTAGCCCAGCAGCAGCCCACCATACTTTTATTGTAACTCTGTGACAATGCAGCATTCTTATCTAAACAATAAATCTCAGTTGTAAGTGTGCCTGATAAACAAATAGTCCACATCACTAATAACCTGTCTCACAGAGCGCCCCTAGAGGCCTGGAGGATTTTGGTTGACCAGTCTCAGTTTGCTGTGTTGTATTTTTGCACATGCTGTCTGTGTTCGTTTGTTGGTTTAGGTGCATTAAGATTTGGCATTGTTTTTACTTTTTCAGAATGCTTTTTTTTTTAATCTTGAATTTTGCATTTGTTTTGGACTTCGGCATTTGTTTGTAAGTTTGCATTGTTCCTAAATTTACAGCATGTTTCTTCTAAACATGAAAGCAATTCGAGCTGTTGTGAATCAGTTAACCTTGTATCATAGTTCTAGGTTGAAGACACTACCACCTTAAGAAAAGTTGAACAGCTCACTGTCACTTGTAAGTGAAATATATGTTTATTTTTTCCAGCAAATTAAACTAAATCGTCTTACTTCTATGAGCTGCTGAGTTCTATATTTCAATTCATTACAAGAAATAAGCCTTTCAAATGACTCCAGGCGCCTCTGCCATAAACAAATCTTTTCTCTCCCAAATAAAGGAAACTTCAATTTCAAGTACTAATTGACCCAGAGTACATCAATTAGACACCCACTTGTGTTTGTTTAATGTTTTCATGTTTCTTTTAGGATAAACGAATCCAATTTATGCATAACTTTATAGTAAATGTAAGTACAAAACTGCAGCCACTTTCCCTGCTCTGGCTCTAAGAGTGTTTATCCCTCCATGCTGGTAAACTCCAGCCACACCAGCAGGGACCGAAGGACAACAGTGTCCACAGTTGCAGGGATCAGTAACAGGTCCACTGCTGAAATATGTGCAGAGTGTCAATAGTCTGCAGCTCCTCTGTCCAACTGGAAGCAATCGAGCTGCTAAAACAGAAGTGGTGATTAGGACACAGTCACCCCAGTTGGTGCCAATTCAGATGTCTCAGCTACCCTGGGCACGGCAGTTTGATCTGCCTCGCTGTCATTGATTCACAAGGCTTCCAGCTGGAGCAAAGATCCCCATTGAAGCGTGAGATAGAAACCTCTCCATCTTGGCACATCTTGGCTGGCTCAATCCCCTGCAGGCCATTAGGGATAGAATATGTTGTTTTCTATTTTTTTTTCTCTCCTCCAGAAGAAAAATACAGTCTGTCTTCATGCTATAACAGCCATTACTTAATTGTGCTGGATTTTCCGAGCAGAGTGTTGCTTTAATTAAGCAGCTAATTGCAATGTAGCTCTTGATTAGCTTTGGGGGATGGGAATGTTCAGACAGGCTGATACGTTGTGCACACTTCAGAATCATTTACAGAAATTGAAGCTAATTTCGCTCTCTGTCTATTGCTGCATTAATTTAATTTGGGTTGCTTTTAGCTCATTAACACTTCTAATTAATACGTTGACATCACTATTAAGATGTCTCTTTGAAATTGGTGTCTCCTGATAATCAGGATGGAGGAGGCTGACGGATGGAGGGAGAGGCTGGCTGGGGAAAATGTGTAAAACTCCTTCAGACTGAAGGGGAGGGAGAGACGCCGTCCTCGTTTATAAACCTCTAATACTGTATTATAGTGGACACTAATAGGGGTCTGTGGCAGGTGACTAAATTGGAAATGAAGGGAAAGCTGATTGTTTTAAAATTTGATTGGGGTTACTCTCTGTGTATGTGTTTATACGAGCACATGTGTGTGCATTTGCGATGCTCTAGGGAGTTGGGGGCGGAGGTGCGTCAGGGCCAGATGCCATACACAGCTGAAGATCACGCCTGAGTAACTGTGTGTTTGGGTTTGTCATTTTAATGAGGAGAATTTAGTGACTATGGGCTGGTAACGCTGCGTGAGAAGCCCCATTACATTACCATCACTTTAACCAACCTCCACCTCGTACAGATAATGTAGGATTATTTTTTTCTGGAGTTATTTTAGAAAGAGAACATGTTTTGGGGTTTATGTTCATGCGCAAATTTAGGTGTGCTCTTTTTGTGGTCTGTATTTTTGAGTTCAAGTCTCTACTCTTGTATCCCGAAGCTTCGATTTTGAAAAATTAACCCTTTTAAAACTCCAAACACCCAATAAAGTGCAATTTACCGCTGAATTATTGGCAACATTACCATCAAGAGGCATGTTTTTCTCCACATGACAACCACACACTCAGTCATGTGCCCTGAGCTAATTTAACCCCTCTCTGATTGACTTTCTCTCTCGTTGTCTTCTATTAGCTTCCATAAGTTGAGAAATAAGCATTGATTGGGAAAGGATTCAGTTATTTGGCATGCCAATCAATAGGGGACCTTGTTTTCCTGTGAAGTGCTTTCTGTACCCGAGTCTTCCTGAGGACAGGCCACACGGTAGGAAAGCCTTCTGTTTAGCACTTCATTAAAACTGCCTCTAATAGGAGCCACTGGGGAGATGCTCCCTGCATCGTGTGTAAAAGCGATCAACATCTGCATCAATTAACCCCTTGGTCCCCGTGGGGCCCATTAGAAAGAGGAACACCCTTTAAAGCTGCATATGGTTTTAACTCATGATAGAGGGGGAACAAATATAATTGCTTGTTTGCTTAAACATTTTTTTCAAATGTTTGTGTATCCAGATTATCTTCATCAATATTTCTGCAGCTTCTAAGAAACTAAGAAATACTTTACACGAGTTAAAAAAAAAATATCAGACTTTAAGTGAGGTCTATTTTGGTGACAAAATAATATCAACCTGAACTGATCATTATTCATCATTTTAAGCTAAAGGGAGATTATGGGCTTGGTTTATGGCTGTGCTGCAACATCAAGAGTCAAAGCCTTCTTTTTTCTGTTTCTCCATAACAGACAGGTCCAATTAGGAGCATCACCAGCAGGGTGGACACCTGAAATCACTATTGACAAGATGTAAAGAGCAGTAAAAGCTTCCAAGGTGAAACATATTGGTTTTTTTTTTCATGCAAGAGACACTAAAAGGTATTCTTAATATGCATCTATTAGGAAAAAAAAAACTTTTATTTCTTCTTGTTGTAACTGCCTCACATTTAGAGTAGTGATCGTTTATGCAGCAGATATCAGTAAAGCAATTTTTTATTTACAGGAAGGCGTCATGTTATGGAGGTGCAATGTTTCAACAAGGACTTTTGACGGCGGGAGAACATCTGAGCGATAAAATTTGCCTAATTAGACCCCGTTTGTTTCATTCAGAGTGCAGAGCAATATTATGTTTAAATTGGAAGTGATTCTTTGTGGCGCGATAAGTGACTTCACGCTGAAGCCAGCCCTGCGGTGTCTCATTGTGATTAAACCAAATCTAGCTTCTAATTTAAAGCAGGAAGACATGACGCAGAGATAAAAAAAAAACGTATATTTGTACATCAGTAAAGTATAATTTTTAAACTTCATCTGAGAATAAACGAGCATGTTGTTTTTCTCATCACTAGTCCACGTGTGATTATCTCCCAGTATGGAGTGACAGCTGAGCCCTGCAACGTTTAACAAACCCCAAACCAAATCAAGAGTAATAAAATCACTCATTTTGGTTAATGAGCATATTAACAGCAGAGGTAGTGTTTAAGCACAAACAAGAACAACAACATTAATAATTGCAACTCTCTAGTGCCTGGCTGATGTAAGCTTTAATAATTAACAAGTCTTTGTCTTATCCCCTGGAGGCTGTATTCCTATTATCCAACTAAGTTACAAACGAGTAATTACGCTGTCACTGAATGGTCACAACAGTTTGCCTCTGAATATCCCCCGGTCCACGTTTAATACCTGCTTTCAATCTAGAGATATTCAGCTTACCTGACAGATGCCTCTGTTAAAGGCACGGCGTGGCATTTCAACTTATTTATTTCACTTTTTTCTCCCCTTATTAGAGGATTACTCCTCTTACCTCCTGTGTTTACATATTAGTGCTAATCCAATTGAGTCAACAAGGGCACTTAGTGCAGGCTATGAACTGAGTCTGAGGGACTTAAAATGGGAGGGGTGGGGATATTAATTTACTTCTTCAGATTTTAGGCTTCCAGGGAAAATAGTTTTGAACATCTGCTATGACAAATGAAGCATTGCGAGAGAGAGAGAGCGTGTTGTCAGTGAGAGACTGAGCTGGCTGCTGTTGGAGCTGGCAGTCGGCCTGTAGAGGGAGCCCCTGGTTATGACTCTGTCTATGAACTAACTAACTGTATCTGCACTTTTATGTAGAGTATATATTTATGTGTGGATTTTTTAAACAGTCTTTAGGGAAGCACACAGCCACTCTACAGTGTCTGATTTTGTTCTACTTCTGCATATTCCTCTTAGACACTCACAAGGCAAAAAGCACCAAAGTTTATATTTTAATAAGGGGTGTGACACAACCGATTGGAAGAGGAAAAACTACTCTTGAGTTTAGTCTTTAAATTTGATGTAAAGCGCAACAATTTCTACTTAATGAGGATTCAGGTCCCTTGGCTCTTCCCTACTACCCCCTCTCTCCCCCATCATCTCTATAACATCAGTCATGATCTTTGACCTGAGGGCCAGACCCCGTGTCAGCTCAAACTAATTAGCCTTTGATAGCTGGTGACGTGCACAACACCAGTAACACTAGAGTGCTGCTTTTATATCACGGGATCTGGTTAACACGCAGATACACATATTTCATCTGTAAGATAGAAAAGAACAGGTTTTTTAATATTCAAGGTTTGTACTGGCTTTAGCTTTCACCATGTAAGGTCTAATATTGAAGAACAGCCTCGTGTACAGCTCAATTATTACGTCTTGCATTGCATCGGCTCATTACAGGGCCTGTATTTGTATAGTTGAACCATTAATCTTCCCCTAATTAGTTATAGATCAATAAAGCAATTGATTTTGCAGTATGCTCAGAAATCCAGTGGAGTATAAGCATGAAAAAAGCAATAAAACCTGACCATTACGTACAGACAGAAACATGACTCCTCAGATTTCCCTGTAGACTCTGCATTGTCAGACGTAGCGTGTGCCAAAAATATCTCATGAAGCGCTGATTAGAAATGCAAACAGCGTCCTTAAAATTCTGTCTGTGTTTTGAGAAGCAGAAACAAATCTGAGCTTAATCAGGTTTGTGAGTGTAAATGATCTCCACTGGCTTCACGGAGGGTAAATCGCAGCGGTAGTTCACGTCTTTAGAGGACACGGGATGACATGTTGTGTTTTGTCAAAAGCTTTTTTTTTTTTTTTTTTTTTTGCGTTTTTATCATTAATCATTAGCCTGTCCCTCTTTCTCCAGGGCTCAGAGATGATGGCAGCTAATTAAGTAGTGGCTGGTGTCAAGTGTGCTAAGAGACCGAGTTAGGTGAGGAGCTGCTCTCTCAAACCACCGACGCAAAAAAACCCATTTGTCTTTTACAGCACTACCTTACTATTTTTCCTCAAAAGGAAGAAATTTGCTTTTTTTCCTGAACACTCCTGCAGCAGAATAAAGAGCGTTAAATTATACAGCATGAAGGGTTCAAACACGCAGGCATGCAAAATGTTTTGGCTTTGTTCATAGTAAGCTGGTGGAAGACAAATTTGGCAGCATGAGTTGAGGCATTTTGAGCAAAGAGTTAGAACAGAGTATCATCACAAAATGAATAAGCACTTTATTTTCTTCAGCAGACGTGGAGCTGCTAATGTTTGTATTTTATTTTGACATGAGCGAAATGGTTCAAATTGTAATTGCTTTTTTTTTTTTTTTTTTCTCGAGAAAAGGTGCAGGAGGAAGGAACATTGAGTGGAAAGGCTTTGTGTGTGGTAGCACCATGCTAGTAAAGTAACACCCATTAAAACGTAATTTGCACCTTAAGGCAGTTCATTAATATAGTGAATGGTAGAATCACACCAATATAGTCTGTCCTCACCTTAGGGCACCATCTCTATTCATCAAAACACACACACTCAAACACACTTCTCATTTTCACTTACATTAGTCACCATCGCTGAAGTAAGGACCAGCACTTGAGAGACAACAGTCACATGTCCTGTTTTTAGCTGTCGGCTGCCCTGGAAGCTGTCTGTCTCTGGTCATTATTTATCATTTCAATACTGAACAAGGTTTGATTTGATCTGTGTCTTAAACACTCACACATAAAAGAGCTTTCTGACATGAATTTCTGCCAGTTTGCACTCTGCCTGCCAAGAGATGTCACAAAGAAAATAAAAACACGTCATCTTATCAACACGCTGCAGGGAAATCATAATTTTTTTGAATGGTTTGCATTATCACTCGCCTTAAATATCTATTTCAGCGAAGGTTCCACTTGATTAGTTGCCAGAGGCTGCGGTGATCCAATCAATGAGCGTGAATGAACTTCATACACTCCACTGTTCTTAACTCTCAAACACAGGCCTTCTTAAGGAGGCAACACATCTACAAATATGACTCTAACACACTAACACACACACACATACACCCTGAGGCTGGATGACAATGGCTGCAGTTCTGCTCTCCGCCAGCAGATGACCAATTCTCTGTCTTTTCCCCCGGTGGACCGTTCTGTCTGGGTTCTCTATGAATTTCCCTTTCTTTTCATCACTCTCTGATGTCCAGCTGCTCCTGTCAACACCTTCTTACAGCGAGCAATTCATTGCAACATACTGGCAGCTGAGACCCCTGTGATGAACTTCAATCTGCCGTTTGCAGAGGGGGCTTCACCCCGAGTCGGGCTAATCAAGGGAAACACCCCCTTCCAAGAGGGAGGGCGTCTACAGACAGATTGAGCCCAAGTTACCCCGTAATTACCCTGCCACTGCCCCTCTGCTGCAAGCTGCTGCTTCTGAACCCAGTCAGCACAGAAACAGACACTTTGGTGATTACTTTCCAATCTGTTTAACAGTGAACAACAACAACCTATGTGCTTCCATTACGCTCATAAACCACAACTTTTTCTTTTTTTTTTTCCCCCTCCCTGAAAACATTTCTTCAGGCTTTGGAGCACCAGGCGTTTTGTTATGCTTCCTACGGTAACATAGTGCAAATGTCTCTTGCCGCAGGTTTCGATTATTTCCAACTTGGTACAGTCCCCGGGGGGAAGTTCTCGGGGCTTTCTGAATTTTATTAAAGCCTCTACAGCTGATTACTTGGAGTGAGGTGCACAGGTTGGTGCATTTTAGGAGTGGAGTGGAGGCCTGACAGGGTCATGTTTAACATGTCCACAGGCAATCAATTCACCTTAACCCCTCCTGGTACTCCAGCCCTCTCCACCTAAGCTGTCCTTAATAACCAGGCAATGGCGAATTACTGATAAGGCACTAGGGTCTCTGACCTATATATCCCCCCCCTGTATGTATTGGAAAAATCCACCCTGAAAGAAATGCACATTTATAATGCATAGAATTGGTCAAATTAAACAATCACACATTGAATGGCTGTGAAATTCACTTTATTCCTCCACTTGCTGAACATGCAAGATTTGCCTGCTGTTTGCTGGGTGAAATAATAGACCAAATTGTCAGGAGGTAAGTATTTTAGGCACATGCAGAGCAAGGAGAGTTGAGTGAAAATCAGTAAATCCCACACAAAAAACACCGGATCAAACAACAATACTCTGAAAACAGCAGCACCTAGTCTGTAAAAGAGGGAGTGCTGCTTTTTGGCATGCTACACTTCCTCAAATACTCAACAGTACTCTTTTAAAAAGTGAACAAAGCCAGGTGTTTCTTTTGTTACACATCTGATGATTAAAAAAAAAACACATTTAACTGCTTACAGTTCTGGAGCGCTGAGGCTCCAGAGTCCTAAAATATTGTAGAGAAGAAAAAAAAAAAAGTGTGAAAGCCTGAAAACATCAGTACAAGAAGCTGGCAGTGTTTGCTGCTACTCCACTATCTTTGCATGTGGTTAACAAGACCGAGTTAGATCATCAAGCATAAACAGATTTCTTGTACTGGTGGAGTTTCGTCTGCCTTATTTTACTCTGAAAATCTTCTCTAGCTCACTGGTTCCACTGCATTTCTCTTACATGTCAGTGACCCCTGTGTAAGTTTTTACTTAACAAGCATGCAAAGGGTTCTACATTTGCCCTCATATGACAGTGACTAATTGCCCTGAGGATGCGAGCTGCTTGTTAGGCAAAGGGAGGATTCTCCTTCTCCTCAGCCGGCTAAATTAATTATTTCTCCTTTTCAATTCACTCTACCTCGTCTCAGAAAGGTTAGAAAGCAGAATATTTCCTTTCTCTAATTGTAAGTTGATCATTTTTCCATGTGGGATTGCTCTCCCTGGATGTGTTTCTCAGCATGGATACTCACATAGAGGGGCTCTTAAGAGAGCTGTTTCATAGAAAACTGCAGCAAAAGCATTAATTTGGCCGTAACAAAGTATCAACAGAGTCATAGTTTTGTTTTAGTTTTAATTCTTGGGCAGAGTTGGTTCAGTTAATCAAAGCTACTGTCATGCTTTTGAGGTTTTTGCACACATAGGAGGTTTGCATCAGAGAGGGACGTGTTTGGATATGTAATCTAATATAAATCTGTATTCTTGTGCAGATTAATTGTTCTTTTTCATCTGTATAGGTGGGGGAAAAAAACACCTTAAAAAATTCTAACAAAAGGTTTCGCAGCTGTTATTTTATAGCATTAGATGTCCTTCATATAATACTAAAAGTTTACCAAAGTTTTACCACTAGAAAGGTGTCATTTTCAAGATGGCGTCCATATTGGGTAGGAAGCCTGGGGAGACACCCCAGCTGAATAGGGTAACATTTTTAACAGTTATCATCATGAAACTTTCCAAGTTTATAACTTACATTAAGACAGATATTTTTTGTATTACAAGTTTTGTCAAATTTTATGTTTGAATATGTAAATGAGGCAATATCTAATTAAATATGCATGGATTTGCATACATTTATAGTATTATAATGTTATTAAGGACATTTCATAATATAAAAAACAACTGAGAAATCATCATATTTGACTAATATCTTTTTCAAGTATTCTGAATTTGCTCATATATTCATATGATTGCATTTATCGTGAAAAATAAGTCCGTTCAAGCTTTCCGTAGGATTACTTTGAGTGTTTGCGTGATGCAAATGCAAACATACAAACACTGATTTGAACTTTTTCCTCTGCTCCACTCTGTGTTTTGTTGTCAGCTGTCCTCTTCCTTCCCGTCTGTCTGTCCTATCAGAGAGGTACCTGTGCAGCTGTCGGGGTCGTGCCTGTTTAGACAATTAGGAATGTTAGATGGAGGGGGTTAGTGAATCACTAAGAACATCAATCTGGCTGGACATTGTGCTCCCGCATTACCACCCTGCTGTTTTGGTATTTATGCCCACTGTTTACACAGAGCACACAGAGGGGGTCCTCCAATCAATGCCATTATCTTTGTTAATACTGCCAGAGCAGGGCTACCAGACTCTTGTGTCTTAATGAGTCAAATTAAGGTATGTTGCATCATGGGAACTTTGTACACGTACATCACTTAGCATTAAACGCTGCTTTGTGTTCTAAAGCTGTTGTTTTTTTTCTCCTTCAATCTCCATGTATATACAGTGTCTCAACACTTTCCCTTGTGTTCAGCACCATTTCACCCCACCTTCCCCCAACCTTTACCGCCCCATGCCTGTCCCTGGACAGGTTTCAGCATATAAATTTGAAAATGATTTGTCCTGCCCTCTTAATAATAGATGAGAGAGCAGAGTCAGGGTCCCCTTCATAAACTCCATCCGTGCTTTAATTAGTGAACAAAAAAACGTCAGGCCTGCTGAGGACTCTGGCTTTGGCTCTGTGTTAGTAATTAAAACTGAAACCACCAAAAGGAGAGGAGAGAGGAGAAGGCTCTATTTTTAACGGGCAGGCTGTTTGGTGCCGAGTGCCCGTATAAGGTTCTGCAATAAAGAGTGATAATGAAGGTGTGAGACCTCTGGGGGCTGACTGGGCGCTCGCTACAATGGCTGCTCTCACACCAGACTGAAATACAGGGAGCAATTAGAGGAGGCAGTGCATAGACTGGCCACCAGAGATTAGTTAACACCTCAGGAGCTGCGCTTCAGGACAGGCACATGCTTGTTTTCTTCCTCTCTCCTTTGCTTTCAAGATAACGCACTGAGGCCTTAATGATGAGATTTATTTGATTCAATTGTCAACTCAGTCAGATAACAATTCCGGCTGTTGTTGCAGGTTGTGCGAGTAAAGACACGCCATTGATCCTTTAAAGAGTTGTAGTTTTCTTTAACATGATTCGCACACGCATAAATATCCTCAACTCTCAAGCTTTTTGCTCCGCACACCATGACAAGCACTGCCTGAGTTGGAGGAGACCTTAAGCCCAAGAACCAATCAAGAGGACATTGTTAATGGAGGCCACATATAAGCCGTTAAGCCAGTATATGCATAATGTTATTTAATTGGAGTCATAAAAAGCCAATTAACCCCCTCCCCCTCTCTCTCCTTCTTTCCCACTCTTTCATTCTCTGCCACTTTCTCTCTGTCAAATAACTGTGAATGTGTGACAGAAATATGAGAGGGTGATGCCATGTGCTCGGTTTGTTTTTACATGAAATCCTGCTAACTTGGAATCATTTTTTGAAGCCTATTCCTCTGATCTGAAATCATACCTGGGACACCAGATGAGTATCACCGTCTATAAATAGGCGAATAAAGAACCGAGTTTGATCCCATTGAAATATTCTTAAAAAGGGGAGATCCACAATAGCGAGGGCGCTCCGTGTGATCGCTCTTTCTGCCTTCTCATTCTCTGAATATGGGGATTTTGACAATATATTTGCTCCCAGGAAAATAGCAACAGTGGTTAGCAATATTGGATCTGTCAGGCTCAGGCCATTTAAATTTCAATGGCAGTAAAGTGGGGGAAGCAGACACTGTTAAATATGATGCTTGAATGAAAATCTAAACCCTCCAATACCTCTAAGCAATGTAACTCAATGAGATGAATTAACTGTAAATGCCTCATTCTCTGTGTGAGTGTCTTCCAATTTAAAATCTCATTATTCATATAAGATCCTGAACAAGGTGACTCTTAGGATAGATCGAATAAGTGAAGATAATCTTACCGGACAGTTTTATGCAAATAGGAAATGTATTGAATCAACTATGAGGAGAATGGGGAATCAAATAAGCTAATAAAGTAGAGTTAGGATGAAAAACACCATGAATAATGTGTCCTCCCTATCTGGGCTTGGTGCGTATGTCATTGCCTGTGAAGTTACTAAGTGTATTAATTCAAAGGATGCTGTCATTTGATGTGAATTCTCTTTAGTATTTGTGAAAAGTATTAACAGTTGGCTTCGAAAAGCCCCTCAATGTCACAAAATCAATGAACTGCTTTATCTCTGTCACCACAACCTTCCAGCCATCAGATTAACAACATCGTAATATTTACCTCGCAACAGTTTTTGAAAATAAAATAGAGGTGTAATTTAGACCTTAAACGCAGGTAATGATCGCTTATGGAAATATATTATAGAGACAGAGCAATCGCTAATAAGTGTTTGTTGGAGAGCTCCATCAGACAAGGATTGATTACAAGCCATCCCAGTCAGGGCTGCGCAGGTCTGCACAAGTTCATCCATAATTCATAGTATAAATAATGTAACATTCATTACACAGAAAATATGAACTTTTGTTATGGTTTGTGTTGCAGACATTCTGCTTCTAAAGCCAACATACTCAGTGCTTTAATTTGCTCTTCACCCCAAGGGTGAGGCAAATGACAAACGCAATGATATAATTTTAGAACGGCCTCACAGACAAAAGCTTGTAGATAAAGGGACTCTGACAAGACCATGCATGCTCTTAAGAGGGGGATGCATTGTATTTATTAACCTGCGAGATTAACCCTGTGCAGAAACTATACGTTAGAAGTCAGATTAGTCGCTTATTATTTACATTTGGTCACAGACGTAATCTAAGAGAACTGCTCTGTGTTAATGGAAATGCAGCTGTACCTTTGACTGCCTTGCTCCATCGGTTGGAAATGAGTTTCTAAGCAGTGGTGTATACTTCCAGTGCTGAACCAATTCACTACTCAAAGAAATCTCCAGAGAGAGAGTTTTCTTTCAGTGGATTTGCAAGATTTATTGCAAAGACAGCTGTGTGTCAACGGCTCTGAGGCTACTGTAGGCCCACCCATCACTCCACATTAGGGCTCCTTTGAACATAAGTATATTTCACTCGAAGTTGGTGACACTCCGTGTGAATCTGTGGATATGAAATTACACACATTCGAGCACAACAGTGGTTGGAGCAAGATAAGAGAGGAGGAAAGAGCTGGGAATTATAAAGACGATCACTTTTAATGTATATTACGGGAATGAGCTAAATTCCAAGACAAAAATGCGCGCAGTTTCCCTCCATTTCATGGCTAATAAAAGTCAAGCCTCTCAGACAGACTGACAGAAAACTGTCATTCAAACAACCTGGGAAATAAACATTTTTCTTACGTTCCGCAGAATGCAACAAAGTTTGGGACAAAGTGAAAGAATGTGAGGACAAACATTGTAAATCTTGCACAGCATTCAAGCTGAACCTGCAGTATAGTTGAAAAAAAGATAAAACCAACTGAGCCTGGCTGTAAATATGCCACAATAGAGGGAAACCTGTGGTGAGAACAAGAAACCCCTTCCCTCTTCTCCTCCCTCATCTGTCTCCACTACACTGACCAGGTCCATCTGGATCAAAGCAGCTCATGCAGAATCCTCATCTGCAAATCCCTCCACACATATTAGCCTAGCATCAGGCATCACTTCCTACAGAATATTTACCACAAAGCTTCCCTGGCATAAATCTGTCCTGGTGTTTGGCATGATTTACTCCAAATTCATACACGGAAACTTCTGGACATCAGCTTTGTGAGTTCAATCATCACCCAGCATGCTTTGAACTCAAAACATATGCAGCATGAACAGCATTTTTCTCTGCAGTGAAGCACTTCCTGGCAGGCCATCCTGTTTGATTTGATGGGTTATTAAACACCACTGTCAATAAATAGCGTGGTGAATGCTAATTTCTGAACCCTCCATCGATAAATGACCATGAAAGCGGTGCAAATTAACCTCTAAATGTCATGGGAAAATCTGGTGACACAGCCATTACTGTATGAGCTGCAGGTAGGAAAAACTTAGCCATGTTCTATATATAAGCTGTATATATTTCAGCAAAACATTTTTTAAAATCTGTGCATTAAAAGTTGCTTTAAGAAATCTTACTAGTTGCTCAGTCTGCTGCCAACACTGGGATTTAATAATACTTATGTGAGCTGTGTTAGGCCTGAAGAGGTGTTGGCTTCACAGGAAGTGAAGAAATGTCAGAGGCTAAGTCAAAGATATATCTACTTGTCAAAAAAAGGTGGTTTTAAAGTGCTATGAGGCATGTTTGACAAGTAGATATATCTTTGACTTAGCCTACCTTCAGCCAAAAAGATAAACTACACTAAACTTACTGAATAAACGTTAAAAATCTCCAACAGATTATTGTGTTGATTTAAAGAAGACACTCACAGTTATGAAAAGTCCAGAAAGTCCTCTCATCGTCCCACCTCTACCCAGCTTATCAATATAAGAGCACCTAAAGAGTCCAAGTTTGTCCAAAATCTGTCAGTAAAGCACCATGTTAGCATTAAATAACTGGTAGAGTAAAAAAAATAAAAAAATAAAAAAGTAAAAACTTCACAAAATTGACTTTTCAATAAAAGGCCCTAAACATGAACGTAATCTTTATAAATAACCATAATACCTGCATCCCAGCTTGTTTTGACCCCTTTGGCACATGGACCATTTAGGCCAGCTGACATTTTTATTTTAAGAAATCAGAAATAGAGAAGAACCAAATAAGAGTGATGTGCAATGACTTTGGCTGATGTAATAGTTGAAGACAGAAGTGTTTCTTTAGTGAAAAACCCAACATTGGATACTTCCTGGTAGCTAATTCATCTCAAATTCTAGAAGACTCTAGATAATACCAATACTTACGGAGGTATCGTTCGGTCTTTAATTTTATTATCAAATGAAATGTGTGAATACAAAGATTCTGATCAATGTATTTGTTACTCGTTGTAGTTTCAAGGACCGTGTAATAAGACATATCATTCTTTACATTACAATAAAACATCATCATATGCTATTGCAGAGTTGAGAAATGTTCTTTTTCATGTTCTGTTACACAAAACTATTAATTCAGAATCTCCCAACCTGTGTTTTTAATATTGCTCAGTATTCATGAAATGAGATTTGCTTTCAGCAGAATTATGTATGCTTTCCGAGAATTTTCAGTCAAATAAAATCCATTAAGGCAAAAAGTGAGGGAAATGCAAAAACTGGGGTTTTAATGCAACAAATAATTTGCCATTAACCTTACCTGTTATTTTATGGTAAGTAGGGTCTTTGTTATTCTAATAATAACTTCTAACAGAATCCAATCAGGTTGGGATCAGACCGCAACATAAAAAACAGTGACACCGTGACCCTCCATCCATTACACTCACTGCTTTTGGACATGCTGCTTAACAATGGGGCTTTTACGTTTTGCATTTGTGATGTTTCAGCTGTTCCTGACCAACTGTGATGACAAAGAGAAAACAGCCCCTGATATATGATCCTGATCCAAGTCAGTACCACACCTCATTCAGCTGCAGATGATACGCTGTGAGTCTTACAACACAGGCTGACAGAAACGAAGATACATCTGTGTAAGTCTCCACTGCTGCTGTCCTTTTCACTGCCAATATCAACAGAAATGTCAACAGTGAGCGTCTGTCAGCACCTTGTGTCAGATAATCGCAGGAAGTGGTGCTTGTTATGACTGAGTTCATAATGTGCTCCTAAATCCCTCACTGGGCATCGAGTAGGGCAGTAATATTCTCTGATAAGCAGACGTACTGTTTACTCATAATAGGATTATCAGTTATACCTTCTTCCAAACAAACATGACTCCACATGCTGTGGAGCTAAAACATACACATAAAATATATTCACTTGTTTATCATGCTTTGACATTTGAATAACAATCGTGTGTATCTTTTTTAAATGTTAACATCCGCACGGTTCTCTGAGATGTGCTCTTTGGAGTCGTATCTGAGTGCAGAAGTAAGCATTTATTTACACAGCCGATGTGAGTCTGCAGCAATATTAAATGTCTTTGCATAAAATGCTCATAGGAATTCATGCAATAGATCCAAAGTTTGTTTTCACAGTGTTTCTTAGATACTAGAAAGACACGGGTACAGCACAACCGGAGATCTTTCACACAGTGGAAGTTATTAATTTGGTTGATATTGACGCTGTCCCATTGGTATCACCATAATGGCTGAGTTAAGTCTAAGGGAAAATCAATCCGAGGTGCACGCCTGTCTTGGATGCTAATGCTTTTGTTATGTTTTCCTAAAGCACACCATGCAGCTAAAGCAGGGAAATCGTATATGGATGGTGGAAGTATCCCAGGCTGCTCAACAGTACATGCAAATGTTTCTCTTTTCAACTCAGTGCAATATTCTGCTGACATTTGGCAATTGTGTTTGAAATGAAAAGGTTATAACTCAGCAGTCATCGGAGATATCATTTATGCTCTATATGGTGCTTTTGTTTCAATGTTCTCACTCAGTTCTGAAAATCCTGCAGCTTATTCAGACTTTGCAGACAGAGATGATCAGGTGTATGGATCTATGTTCACAGATTCCCGAATATGTTCATATTTGAAGCTAGATATGGTGCTTGTTAAACTGCATGACTGCGTCATCTCTGTTCTTGCTTTATTGGGAATTGCCTCTGTCATGACTGAATTTACTGTAGATACATACTTGCAAGAAAAATGACAAAATTAAAGCTCCTATGAGGGGTTTTAAGCTAGTAATGAAGCAAGCTGGAATAGATGAGAAAAAAAAAAGAGGCAGTAGCTTTAAGTTTGTCTAGTTGTGATGCAATAAACAATCAATCAATCAAACTTTATTTATAGAGCACTTTTCCTGTATGGGCATATAACACAAAGTGCTTTACACTCACAGAGAAAGAAAGAAAAAGCAACATAGACAAACAATTACAAATAAAGCCCCTCCCTCCCACCCTCCATATTACACGTAATGGTGATCCAAGAAGAGATTAGCCTGGACGGAGCGGCAATTGTGCCAAATATGCTTTCCTCAGGGGTGCAATTTAAAAACTAAGTGTGGTTGTATTCACAGTTAAGTTGAGCTACTGATATAGCTTGATTAGTTGATGTAACTGGACCACTGTCCCTGTCTTATTGTACAAGTACCCAACAAACATGGAGTTATTGACAGAAGTATGGTTGCTATGGTAGGTGGTGACATGTCCCTTTTGGGTCACCACCTCGGTGAACTATCACCGGGGGGGGGGGTAGGTGGAAGCGAGAAGACTGACACAACAGCAGACTGACTGTTTTCAGTTCTGATTAGACACTAGTGTTGAGATGGCTGTCTGTCATGATAGCATGTGCTGAGTCGGGGCCAGTACCAGATAAGCACATTAAACTATAATCCACAAACGTAAGGTAACAAACGAAACCTAATGGTGCTGTGACAGCAACGTGATTGAGTTTGAGACAGTGAAAATACATATGGTATGTTGTATGTGAACAGGTTAGCCTATGAGCTAAAGTTACTTAGCACAGATGAAAGTTAAAACAAAGACGTTTAGCAAACTGTTAAAGCACAAAAACCATCGTTATATGAGAAATCCGACGCTGACGCTGATCTGACTCTCCACAAGTTGTCCTTCAGGTCATTATCTTTGTAATGTTTGTGTCTTTTATCAAAAAGCACTCTGTTCTCCAACATGTAAACAATCAGCCAGTCGGCCATGAAATCCGATTGGCCAGAAGTGGACACACAGTATGGGAAACTTTAGAAAAATCAACCGTGATCGGAAAGTAAATGCTGCGATATCGCAGGACGGGAAAACGTCGCTGATGTGAACACTTGTATTGACAGGATACGTGTTCGAAAAAAAAAAACTGACTTCCGAAATAAGCGCATGAAAAAAAGAGCGTGTAAGGACCTTTAGGCTAATAGGATGTTCAAAGCAGTATGAAAACACCATCACCTTTACAGCTCAGTACATTTGTTTGTAACATAGTGAAGTTTAATCTTTCTTCTTCTGTCAAGATCTTGTTTACTATCCGGCCTCCTAGCGACGCATTTATGCTATTGAACTTCTGGCTCAAAGCCCAGTGCTGGGGCATGTGCAGGACGCTTAGGCCAGTTTCTGGTCCAGCTGAGCAGTATACATGGAAGACAGAATCAGTCCACAACCACACCATACAGGTGTGCTAGTCTGACTACAAGGAGTTTGATTCAGAGTGATTTTATGTACTTTTAAAGTCCAGATTGAGATGAACTGAAGTAGATAATAGATTCTTCTCAACAATTAGTAAATGTACTGAATGATGGAACTGTAGTGGCATAATTACTGATAAAGTTAAAGAAGATTTAGATACATCTGAAGTCTGTTTTATGTTATATTTGTCTTAAAGGACGGAGGGTGGGTACCCTTTAATTGAGAGGACTGCTGAAGAGAGAGAGATAGAAAACAAGGAGCAGAGAGCAGGTGAGATCCTGCAGCAAAGGGTCTTGATGGGGAGTTGAAACAACAACTAAGATTATCACCTCTGGACATTCTTGGTTACTGTCGGGTATTGCAGCAAGAATATAAAGTTTAGAATATAAACTGATTTTAAAAAGGGTTTATTTTAGCCAAACCTCAGAGCTCGTATCTCTTTGCTGCTTCTCACCTTTTTATTTTTCCACCTCTCTGTTCGCACCAATAAGTCTGAGGGTAGCTTAACGGCGTCCGCTCATTTGTTTGTTTATTGCACATACTATTATTGCAAGAATGATAAAACTGCGACATATTGTGCAGCTCTACTCATGATTTTCAAATGTACTACATAGGAGTGAAATCAAGAACTGCAGACATTCATGTTTTTTACTTCAGTGGGTTTAAGACAAAAGTTCTGTCTGAGCTCCCGACTTTAAAGACACTATTGTGCATCCCTGCCCCGGACACACGGGGTCGGTAAATAAGAGTGAGTTTACCATCATTGTCTGACACAATCAGAGGAGTCCTCCACACACACACACACACACACACACACACACACACACACACACACACACACACACACACACACACACACACACACACACACACACACACACACACACACACACAGTCGGAGACAGGCTGATACTGCACAAATCAGCTTGCTCAAACACCCTTGTTAACATTTTAAACCTACAGAATCGTAAAAGGTGAGTGTGGGGAATTTTGGACCTCCTCCCCCCCGACTAAATCACACACTCTTGATTTGCAATTCCAAATCTAGAACATTAATACGGCTTCACGGCAGCAGCGTGAATCCAACTAAAAAAACCTTGAATAGATTTTGAATTTTA